ACAAGTGCAATTTGAAAAAGGATGTTTCAAATTTTTGACTCCAAAAAGATGACGTTTGGAAAGAAAAAAAGGCTACAGCACTGCAGGTTCCCAAGTTGTCGCCAACCTCAGTACTGATGCAGCTCGACGATGCTTAACTTCTCAAATCGGACGGGATGAGGTGCATTCATCGTGATATGGCCGTAGCCATAAATTAAATGAAATACATTCTTTTAACTTATATAATTCTTTGTTTTATTTCATTTGAAATGTGCCAACGTGCCAAATATATTAAGGCAATGTCAGAACCTGCCAGACCAATCAAAAGGATGAGTTGTTATATTTTGGCACCTTACACCTTACACTTAGTGTCAGTGCTGTTTGCATTTGACACTTGAGTGCCAAATGAATGAAGTGTGATTTGTATTTGACACTTGAGTGTAAGGTGCTATTTGTATTTGACACTTGAGTGTAAGGTGCGAAATGGATGTTGATTGAAATGGAGGTACTAGTTTGTGAACCTAACCATTCTACTTCGTGTTCAAACGAATCTATCAAACAAAAAAAAGGCATGATTTAATCTCATGCATCTACTTTCCTTTCGTATGTTAGCTTGGACCTTCGTATGAAAGGAGTTGGGAGGCACAAAAGATGATATGTTAACCTTTCATTCATGATGATAGACTCAGCCGTTAAGAAGTATGACTACGAAACAAAAACTGATTCCAGTTCCCTTAATTGTACCCTTCTGATTGCTTCAGCTTGACTTTTGCTGTTACCGTCATTCCCAAATCACTCAAATTCGATTACATCAGCCAACAACAGTGTTGAGCACCATTCTCTTGTTCTTCTCACCGTTTTTGTAACAATTGAACAAAAGTACATGTCACTATGAAGAAAAGCTGGCAAGTTTCACTCCCCTGTTGAACCAAATGAAAATGTTTTCCTACATGTACTGCAAGTGTTTTTCCTCAACATAAATCGTCTCTCAAGTTCATTCAGCAAGCTCTGACATCCTGTTCGACAACTTCATCTCAATCTCTTTCAACGCCGTGTTGTATGGCGCAACATCAACTCAGAAAACAGGTGCTGAACGGTGGAACATTATTTGAACCACTTGCCTCACAACGCTTCACCTTAGAAAATGAGCGTGAGTCTATTCTTCCCTCCATAAACTAAATTTCGTAGATGATCATTTGGTATTGTCGTTGTCAGACGAATTGTCCAAAAATTGCGTTCGTGATGCTGTTTCCTATACTCGATGATGATTGTGTAGTGAAGAGAATTTTGAGGCCCGTTGCTCACAACCGTGAAGACGGAGGTTTGTAATTTCAAAATAATATTTAAATAAATTAAAAAATATACAGGTGCTGATGACACTCGGCACTCAAGTGTCAGGTGCTGTTTGCATTTGGCACTCCAGTGTTAAGTGCTATTTGTATCTCCTTTTTGGGACTACGTGCCATTGCAAACGGCACTAAAGTGTAAGGTGTAAGGTGCTAAAAGGTATGTCCTCCAAAAGGATGATTGAAATAATACAAACACCATAAAAAGAAGCCATCATTGTACAATACAGCTGATGTGCCGTAACGGATTTTAACAAGAAAAATTTAACCAACCAACCTGCTTGCTTTTGAACACCACTGAATCATAACAAACTCATCAACTGAATGTCCTTCCGATCATCATTTGTTACCACTCTTGGTGTGGTATTAATATCGGTATGCTTCTTGCTGTGCCATTTGGTTTCAGCTTCTACACATCAACAACCAACGGCCATGACCAATGATCCCAACGCTTGGATTGATTGCCAGTGTATGTGTTGTGGGATGGACATTTACGAAAAGATTGCGAATCGAGAGCGGTTGTTGAAGAGAAATTTGGATTACGTTCAAGACAATCATCTCTTCTTGAAGACGTTTCATTTCGATCATCATGATGGTTTGAAGGAAGCAATGATTGAGAAGAATTACGGAAATGTGATCGGTAACTTGTTCAAAGCCTTTACTCGTAAATAGACGTGGTGATGATGATGGACTTGTTGATTGTGTGTTTTCAACACACATGTCGAATTGTATTATTTAATGTTTATGTATTAATATGACGCTTGTAAATTAAATGCAAATTATTTCATTGCTGATCTTTGAGCTCGTCGTAAACGCTTCTTGCATGGGATGGCCTTAATAGTATTGTAGTTTTGGGATGGCCTTAAATGACCATTCAATAATCGTGCCAACACGTTCATGACCTTATTTCAATCATATTGTCAGTCAGCCAATACGCGGAGATTTACAAATCTTTTTTGAGTCATTCCTGATAATCGTAATGTTGAGACGAGGTTATTTCTTATGACTAGCACCTTTCTTGTTGGCAGCAATGATTTTGTGAGCTGTATTGAACACTCCCTTTGTGTTTTGTCCACAGCAAGCACAATGTGGTTCTTTCCCACCATTATATCGATCGATGGCACATTTACTGCAAAAGTAATGTCCACATAAGGTCACTATTGGATCTTTGAATGGTTGTCTACAAATAAAACATGCATGAGGTAATTGTTGTGAAGAGTCTTTTTGTGTTCGAGCATCTTCGACTTTTTTCTGTTGTTCTTTTTCCCATGCCTTTGTGTGTTCGATTGAGTTGACATATTTTTCTCGTACGTGAGCAAATTTGCAATTGTCACCATAGCCACAAAATCCAGTTTCGTAGTAATCTTTGCAAATATCTGGCTGATAATCCATTCTGCTTGTTACACGAACGTGCTTTGAAACTTTTGTGGGACCTACATCCTTCTTTTTCTTTTCTGAATCCAACTCATCAAATTCGTTCACGTTGGTTGAAGTTATACGATCTAAATAAGATTCATCTTGTTTTTCCTCTCGATTTGCCTTGATGATGGTTTCATGAATTGGTAAAATACTTTTCGTTTGTTGTTTGGTAGATGATGAAAGAAGAGAATTTTCTTGATTCAATTTAGACTTTCGTTCCTTGATTTTCTCTGCTGTAGATAACACACCAGTATTGTCCTCGTCCTCGTCTAAACGAGTTTTTGAATGTGGACTTGTATTATCAATATTATTTTCATGTGTTGTTGTTGTTGTTGCTGCTGTATGTATGGTGTTTTCATCATCACCATCTCCTGAATTATTTAATGTTGTTGTTGCTTGATTTTCTTCATCCGCCTCTCCATGTTCCGAAGGCTTTGTCTTTTTGGTTGCTCTCTGGTGAGCTGGTTGAGCCTTGTTTGTGCGCTTCTTGATCATTTTTTTTTAATATTAAAAATTAATTGAACCTGAATTTAAAACTTTCATTGGAAAACCAGCACACGATCCCTTGTTTCATCCACAACCATCAATTCTCCAGTGATTTCATTAAGACATAATGCGGTCAAAGAATTTCCTTCTCTTCTTTTTTCAAATGATTTGATTTTGATTACATCTAAAGTAAAGCAATAAATTTTGTCTTTGTCTTTATCACACAAAATCAATCGTCTTGCTGCAGAATCCATGGTGATTGATGCAGAGAAGCTTAAGAAATCTTGTCTAAAGGCGCGAATCATCTTCCAGTTTAGGTCAGTATTTAATATTTCGATTCCGTCGCTTGTTGCCACTGCTACTGTATTGTCGTCAATGAAAGCCAAATCGTATCCATTGAATGGAGATACAATTCAATCATCTGTCCTGTTTCAGAATTCAGAATTTTAATACATTTTTCACATGAATCTACCGCATATATTTTCTTGTTGGCAGCTTTAATTCCTCTAATGGTTTGAAATGTGAAATTATTCGCTTGGTAAATGGAAGAAAATTTGCCAAAGTTCAACAGTAGAGTTTTTAAATCACACTTTACAATTGCTTTGTCTAATCCGCATATATAGAAAACAATAATGAGAGCATCATTGTGTTTTCCATCATAATTTTCTTCAATGCACATATTGTGCGGGTATTGTATCGAAGGCGGTCTTACTGATAATATGTAATATTTTGTTTTTAAATTATACACTTGTATTCTACAATTCAAACAATCGCTTATTAAAATAACAGAATGATTATAAGATATTACAACATCTCGTGGGTTGGATAGCCCTGTGAACGTATAAACTAATTCAAAATTCATTTCAAACGGTAAAGCAGGATTTCTTCGGAGTCTTCGCCTCATCTTTTGTCTGAATTTTGCAATTGGATGATCCGGACCCATATCATGATGATGATCACTAATTGAGGATTTATTCCATGAAGATCCAGCCACTAGAATAAAATCAATGAGAAGTATTTCGACAGCGCCCGAAAAACATTTTTTTTAAGTAATATTCCAGAAACATGTTCCACGTGAAAACCTATCTATGAACACATCAGATATGAATTTTGTGAAGACGAGCTGTATGGGTGGAGTTTATGATGTTACCATTTGGTGGATAGTTTATGTTTTCAATCACATGAATTCTCACCCTTTCACAATTCTGCTGGTAAAAAAATGACCTTCTTTCATTTCGTTTCCACTTTTCTCTTATCCTTTGTTTCTCCGTATGTCGTGTATTATTCCAAACAATCATCATCATCGGGTTTGAAGGAAAAAGATGAACGGAGATTTAGTAATATTGTGGTCGGAATTGTTGCCTATGGCTTAACATTGTTTTGTAAAATGTTTTTAATTGCAGTGGTGATTCAGATGGTACCAATTTACAAAGTGGAGCAATTAATTTTGATGATACCTCTGCATCATCGGGAATGGTTCAAAGTTTGAGTTTTTCCTTTTTAATTACCGAAGTACTGAAAACATTGATTGGAGCTTTGGATTTGATCGGAATTTATTTCTTGCTATCATCCAAGTGGTTATTGGGCGACCAGATTTCACAAATATATGGATGTGCCATTGGATGGACAATGGGAGATAATTTATTGAATCGTTTAATTCCACTTTGGTTTAGTACTCGTGGCTTACAATTTGAAACAAAGGCACTCCAAATGGCTGTCTATTCCAATGTGGTCATGCTCGAATGGATTTGTGTTGTGATTTTCGTTTTCCTTTACAGCAGAAAAAAGTACGACCAAAAGAGCTTTGCTTGGTCAGCTTTAGTCGCTCTTTCTGTGTTTCCTCTCGTGGTTGAAATTTTGAAAATCTTACTAGGACTCAATCAATGCGTATGGTGCTTGGTTGGAATTAAGGCGCTCGTCTATGGTGTGACCTGTTGATTGCCAATTCCAGATACTCACAATTTGAACAACTTCAAAAATAAATTATTGAAATCATGCTCATCATGAAGATGTGTGTTGATGGACCAGTGATACTCTCAGTTGAACCATTGTTTTTTCTATGATTGGTTAGTTCACGTAATACAAGGTACTGAACACAATGGAAAATAATTTATTGAAAACCAATATCTGGTGTCTGGAATCTCTTCAATTTACAAAAAGAAAACTCCAATCTTTGGCAACCAATTGTCTTGTTCCTTCCCACCACTCCTTCTGCTTTTGTTCATCATGGCTTTCAACAGAACGCTCCTGAATTCAGCACTATTAATTGACAATGTTGTCACATCTTAAGACATGCACAGTGTTTTTGGTGGAATAAAACTTACGTCCAATTCTAATAATGAAAGCAAGTAGTGAACTTCTCTTACCAAAGGTTGTAGTTCTACTGGTTCCTGTTGCAAGAATTTTTTTCTCGATCCGGACTCAAAAGGTGGCGTCACTGACAGCGACGCACAGGTCAGACAATTCCGGTTTTGGCCAAATCGTACAATTCAGTAGTAAATCCTTGAAAAAATTGCACCGCCGTCGTTGCCGCTTTCTTGAACCATACGTTTACACACAACGTGCACTTGGTGCAGCAACCTCAAGTGCATCATCACCTCAAGATAATATTATCTGTTGTCAATATATTCAACTTTTTGAATTTCTCTTGACATCCCCTGAATTGAAAACAAAACCACCAAATTGTACTGACGCTTGACTTTCAAATAATCAAGAGTAACATTTACAAACAACCCGATGATAGGATGATGAACCTCTCGAATGATGCCGACGTAGAGGAAAGAGGCTCATTATCCCATAGTACTTCCAGTGTAAACAATTCTCATCATAGTAGCAGTAGTAATTGTTGTACGAGTAGTAATAGTAACGAGCGCATGCCCACTTTGAATTATACTTATACTCCGGATCAAATCAACAACAAGAATCAGCTACCTAATCATACCAAGACGACTCTACTCTTAAAATCATCATCATGTCCGTATTGTTTTCATACGAAATTGGATAGCCTTTTGAGTGATTACTTTCCATGCTCGAGTCGTGAGCTCCGAGAAATGTACGGGACCGAACATTTTGTTGAGTTGAGTTCAAAATTGGCGGGCACGAGTTGCAACACGAAAGAACAACAACAGTATTATCATGCTTGTATGAATCATTATTGCTCTGCTTCTTCATCATCATACGACTCACAATACGCTTCACAAACGCTCACTGACATGGAAAATACTTCAGATCTATTCATGTCACCTAAAGAGAGGCAAGCCATGGTGAATACGATTACACTGAAAACGATCCAATTAGTGATGGATCCAAATCCGGCAAAAATTGCCTTACTTTTTCACCCTCGTTTTGAGCATTCTCTTGGTTTTTCGCCAGGAAGAACCTTTGTAGTGATGGGAAATAATGAAAGTAATTGCTTGGGATGCACAACTAATGAATGGCTCAAATTCATCAAGGATGACACGGGTTTGGAACTCAAAAATCCACAAACCATGTTCGTACCAGAGAACTTTGAGGACGATCAAGATGATTTGTTTGAAACCTTGAAATTATCTCCAAAAATTTATTCAACAAGTGACAGTAGTTCTGAGATTGCATTTGTTGCAACTGGGCATGATTTTTCGATTTTTGTGTTTAAGTGTGGATGTATAGGATTGTGTGGAACATGGGGCGAAGGGGGTGCATCCTTATTTCGATTTACATGGTCAAAACCACTGAAGACTGTTTGCCCTTCAATGTTTGCCACTTTTTACGTGTCAAGTAAGTGTAGTTGTTCAACGATTTTTCGAGTGACATGTATTTTACAATTATTGAATAGGCGACTGTAAATCGATTTATTCATGGGGTTTTAATTCTCAAGGTCAAGGAGTAAGTTTTCTTGTAACAAGATTATTTTCTAAACTGTTATTTTCAGTCCACTAAAGCTGGTGATGCCTTTGTGCTTCCCAAACGAGTCGACCCAAACCTGTATCACAATGAGACCATTAAATTGGTCAAGATTGGATCCGAAAACTCATACATGATAACAGAAAATGATAAATTGTATGTAAAGTTTGGGACATTTGTTTACATTATTACCAATTCAATTATTTGTGTAGATTCGTTGCTGGATGCAATGGAAATCATGAGTTAGGAATTCCATGGAGGGACGTCGCAGAAGGGCATGACAATGACACTCGTTACCATGTCGATTATTTTCTTCCAGAAAACATTCTTGAGTTAATTAAGGAACGAAAAATCGTCACTCAATTCACACAAATCGACTATCTTCCGAAAAAGGTCAAGCTTGTTGATCTCAGTATTGGTGAAAAGCATGTATTTGTTTTGACTGGAGATGGTGAAATCTACTTTACTGGACAAAATTCACACGGTCAACTTGGCTATAGCAACATTACCGAACAATGCATATTTGAAAAACACAAGTGGACGGAAGAAAACAATACTCGAATACGATTAATTCATTGTTTTGCGAATTCTACTATTTGGATTACAGTCAATGATGAAGTCTATATTTGTGGAGACAATGCTCTTTGTGAAATGGGCGTAACAACCGCTGAAGGTTGCATCATGACTCCAATTCTGCATCCAACTCTGAGCTATCAAGGTATTTCTAAAATCATTGGAAATAACAACATTTTCGCCCTCACCAATGATGGAAGAATTTTGTGCTGGGGAAGCAATGAGAATAATGAACTCGGTCTCGACGAGGCAACTCTTAATGATAACCCAGATGGTATTGAAATACCTATTCGTAATTATTTCCTCGAAGGAATTGCACGAACAGTATGGGAACGAGGATACAAGCTTGAACTCTCGGCTGGCTTTAATCATACCATTGTGTATTTTAAGAACGTTTCCAAAATGTTGAACATGATGTTCACAAAGTTAGAACAAGCTTCTAAGGGTGAATACGCTAGTGACTTTTCGGATGTTACATTTGTGAGCACAACGAGCATGCACATCGATGAAAACGTTGACACCAATTCGAGTATGTTAGTGAAAAGAAAACTCATCGCCTTCTCTTCTGAAGAAGATGAAGAGGATAACATGGTCAAGACTCATCATGGCCACACAAAGAAATCAAAACCCTAATGGGCGATTACTAGGATGGGCGAATAAGGATGGAAGAAAAAAATGAACCATGCACGCCAATCGGACCGTTCGTTTCATGTGGTGGCATTTCAAAAAAGTTTACTGAAACATTTATTGAATTGTTACATGTGGAAGGAAATGGATCGAGTCAAGAGTGGTCATGTGCTGTATGATTCGATTCAGAAACAACACTTGAAAAAGCAACATCAAAGAGAAAAAACAAAACGAAAATTGAACATTGATAATTTATTAAATCATTCTGTGAATGATATTTTTCTATTCAAAAAGGTCATGATGTGATGATTGGTTTTTTGGAGTTAATTCTGTGATGATGAAAAAACCACCTTTCCGAGAACTACACCACGAAGGAAAAAATGGCTTCACAACGATGGAGGAGAGTGACTACCTCTTTCATTGAAATTGTTGATCAACAGTTAAGCGGAAAGAATGATCATTATTCTCCACTTTCATCATTTGTAATATTGTGCAAAAGATCGGAAAAAGTTAATTCATTTCCTCATCATTGGGCTTCATTTTCGGGATCTATCGAAAGAAATTCCAATCCACTCAGTGCAGGGGTAAAATCATCCTTGTCAAATACGAATGAGTTATCAATACCAACAGATAGTTACAAGCTACAAATAGATAGAACAGATCATCCAACAACCTCCGATGCTTTTAAAGAGAATGCTTTTGAATGTGCTATAAGAGAGTTGGAAGAAGAAACCCAACTTAAAGTGGGAAAGCAGTTACAATTCATTCGAAGTGGAAGAGTTCAATGGATACCAAGTTACACGAATTCTGAGAGAAAAGGATTTATTGTTTATCCGTTTTTATTTAGATTTCATCTAGCAAATACCATCCAAGAGAACAGATATGATAGGATGGATTTTGCTGCACTGGTAAAAAGAGAATTGGAAAAGTCAAACTTTAAAATCGACTGGGAGCATGACACTTTTGACATTTTCAATGTTGAGAAGTTTTTGCACCAACATGAAGACTCATCATTGCAACACGATTCACCCTCCCTTACCAATACCGTCCCTAATTTAAGAGAAACCCTTCAAAGAGTATTCTTCACAGCTCAAGACTATTCTCTTGCACAAGAAATTGAAACGCAAATTGTTAATAATTTCACTGATGGAGCAAGCCAAATAGCACTCAAATCAATTGAAATCCTGAAAAAGGGAGTTAAATTGTATGGAAATTTAAAGTATGAGGATATTCCTGATTTCTTCAAGCTCAATATAAGCAAAGAGGCTGAAGAAAATCACGAACTTGTTGTGGCACTTTACATTTATGAAAAGCTCAGAGACTTGGTATGGCATTTGGATCACTGCAGAAAGGAAATGCCGTCCACAGGTAATTTAGCTATAATGACATTTCACAAAACAATCTATTTTCGATACTCAAAGGCAACTACTGCACAAGAGAATAATCAGCTTAACGCCCTGAAGAAGATACTTAAAGCGCGGTCATTGACAGAGTGGATCACAAACATGGAAATCAAAATTGAACAAAGTCTCAATCAAATCAAGGAGAACTCAACCAAGATCTCTACCAGGTTCCTTGATGCCATCCAGCAAACGATCAATCCCATGTCCAAATTAACAATCTTGACACACAGCTGGAGCAGCAATACATTACTCTCTCTTCATCAGCTCATGGCACATTGTTGTAGCAAATTGGATGAATTTGAATTAACAATATTCGTCACAGAATCTCGACCTGAAAATGAAGGTTACAATACTGCAAAAGAACTGCTACAGTATGCGACTGAAATCTCTAGCCACTCATCCAACAAGTGCAAAATTAAGGTTCAAGTATGCACTGAGGCATCTGTTGGGTATCTATGTCGAAACCATGTAATTGATGCGATGGTAGTGGGCTCAGACTCTATTCACATGCACGATGACCATCGCTTGATCATTTCAAACAAAACTGGAACTTGCATGCTTCATACTATTGCAGAGGCGTTCAACATACCTTTCTTTCTATTGTCAGACTCTCTAAAAGTCAAGACCAAAGAAACTTTGAATGGTGATGATGGCTGTGAAGAAATGATCACATCACATGAAGAACAAGATGAAATTGGCTCTACTCCCAAACTCTTCAAGCAGCCACTTTTTGAAAGCGTGTTGATCGACACTAAATCAGACAAGAGCACAACACAATTAATTCTCGAATGTGACAAATCTTTGCATGACATTCAATTAGAATTCGATGCTTGGAGAGAAGATGTTTATGGACTGTAGTTGCCATAATGTCTGGAATAATTTTCAATGATGATGAATGGGCAAGCAGAGATAATCCTTCAATCGCTCATGCTTACTTCACACGAATGTGTGTGTTTGTGTGAAAAACAATTAAGTATTCAACCTTCTCCAAAATGAATATGCGCCAATCACCCTCTGTCCCAATCGCATGATGGAAACAAATTTGGCGCCCAAAGAAAACTCCAAAAAATAATTCGTTACAGAAACAAAAAATGTCCTCCATCGGCGCCATAACATCGCATGCAACCTCGACTCGGAATGAGAGAGATAGTAAGGCTGGTCATCAGCAACAACAACATCAGAGAACACAGAATGAAAATTCATCGACGAGGCCAGCATCGGCATTGGTTTCATCCATGCGGGATGTAAAGACTCGATCCAGAGGCAGCAGTAATGTAACGTTTAAGGAGGGCCATGAAGTGTTGGAGGGACCTCCTGCTACGACAACAGCAACCCGAAATAATAGTGCTAATATGAATAGTAGCAATGGAGCAGCTAATAATGCAGCTCGGAATCAAGGTACACCCTCACCGCAACAACAACAAGGTGTACCTTCGTCGAGTAACGCTTCGTCAATGATGCCGCAACATTCATTAATCTCAAGTCACTCATCACGACAAATGCAACATCATGGTGTGGAACAACCTACTGGATCGTCTAATCGATCTCGATTGGATATTATTAGTGATGTTGGTGGCACGCAAATGAATTTAGAGAATACACCAAAAGTCGCTCATCCTCTAATACCAACTCTGCATGAACAACAACAATCAAAAGTGAATAGTGAGCCGAAATCTCCGTTGTTGGGCGGGCCTTTGATAGAATTTGACGAGTTACTGGAGTTTGTCAAGAAAATTGTGAGCGTTAGTGAGGCATTGAAAGACTCAAAATTGAAGAAAAATGGGAATGTGATTCATATTCGGCTGCTGCATATCGAGGTGAGTAGAGAATGCGAAATTGTTCTGACTTACAATAACCAACATGAACAACACATGTATAGGATGAGGTGACACACTGGGGAAGAGATTTAATTAAACAATCGAACGACAAACAAATAGGAAAAGCTCTCCAGTTACTCTATCAACAATTAACAAAAGTATACACCCTCCTTTCCAAAATTCAACGATGTAAATGGTTTGTAGATATAAGATTCTCAAAGAAGGCAAAAAAGCTCACAGAAGAACTAGACAATGTGACGACCGTGTTAGGAGTGAGCATTACCTATTTCAAGGCACAAACTGCCTATTCCAACGTCCATAAATTAGGAATTGTGTCAGGATATCCAGATATTGATATTTTTGACCTTGATGACAAGAATAATCTTGCTTTGGCAGCTGACAGATTTTACATGGGCCATGGTGTGACGCAGAATTTTGAGATGGCTTATCGACTCTATTTACATGCAGCACGATTGGAAGAGGCACGGTCACAATACATTGTTGGATCCATGCTCATTGATGGTGTTGGAGTTGAAAAGGATTCTCGACTTGGTGTTAAATGGATTCTTAAATCAGCATCTCAGGACTACCCCGACGCTCTGAATCAAATGGGAATTTTCTACGAGACTGGTTTCATTGTGGAACAAAATTTTGAAACAGCTGCCAAGTTTTACTTACGATCTTCTCATATGGCTCATTTGGATGGTATGACCAACTATGCTGCTCTTCTTTTGCAAGGAAAGGGTGTCGAAAAGAATCAAAAGAAAGCAGCATGGCTTCTAAAAAAGGCATGTGAAAGAAATTATGCCAAAGCACAAAACGAGCTGGGTGTCATGTACTACAAAGGATTGGGAGTTGAGGAAGCCCCGGATAAAGCTGTCGAACTCTTTACGCAAAGTGCTGACAAGGGAAATGTGTATGCTCTTAATAATTTGGGAATAGCCTACGAAGAAGGAAAAGGAGTGGTTCGTGACTATGCAAAGGCCACTATTTGTTACGAGAAATCTGCGAGACTTGGTAATATTAACGGTTTGAATAATTTGGGATACATCAAATTGTTACAGAAACAATATGACCAAGCATTGGATTTGTTGCACGAAGCCTCAGATCGAGGCAGTGTGGATGCCATGTATAATATTGGAAACATGTACAGGTTAGGATTAGGTGTGACTGCTGACATTACGATTGCTTTCAAATTCTTCTACAGAGCTGCTACATTGGGACATGTCAAATCTCAGAGGATTGTGGCTGATGTTCTCTATTCGGGCAAGTATGAACCCATTCCAGCCAACAAGAAGGAAGCAGCATCGTTTTATTATAAGGCAGCGCTTAATGGAGATGCTGAAAGCTGCAATAATTTAGGAATTCTGTATGAAGATGGTTGCGAAGGTCTACATAGGGATGAACAGAAAGCAATCGAATGGTTCCGACGAGGATCCGAGTTGGGAAGTGACAATGCCATGTACAATCTTGCAACCATTCTGGAAAGAAGAAATCAACAAGAACAAGCAACAGCATTGTTACGGCGTGCAAGCTCTATGGGCAATACGAAAGCTAGAGAACGTATTGGTGTTGTGTTGGAATGAAATTAATGGTGTGGATTGATCACTATTACTTTGTGGTAATTTGTGTCATAGTGGAGTTGTGGTTGGGAATTCTAGTGTTACCGCAGTATCAAAAGTATGTGGCACCAAATAGATCTATTTGCCGAAGAGGCTTGATAATCAATTGTGGCACAACGATTGGAGTGAAAGATGGATTGTGATTGGGAAGATCTTGGCTTATCACATTCCAGGCATGCTTCTAGTAGGAGCACAACTGTCCTAATGTGTGCAGGTACGACTATACTTTCAAATAGAATGAAGGAATTCGTGTGATCATGTGCAAAATAAATGTTTATCAATGTTTATTAATGTAAAACGTTGGACTCAAATTGATGATAACTTCGACGTTGTTAATTCCTTGACATGATTGTCCATCTACAATGGTGCTGTTGGATGCCATGTCCATGACAGAAACCAAGACATCGTTGTGTGTGATCCCAAATGATTCAACCCAAGGCAATAGAAACTACGGCCTTGACATCGTCGAATTTCAACGTTGAAGATCTTTTCAATACTTCAGCCTCTTTGATGAGAACTGGGAATCGACTGCAGTTGTAGCTGTTGTAGATGTAGAATTTCATGTGTGGATACCAAGTTTGGAATTTGAAGAACGTTAATTCCTTGATGTTGAAGAATTCAGCTGTCGCAAAAAAATTGCAACCGGATTGGGGTCTTTTGCATTGAGAGATTGAATCCTTTCTTCTGAGAGGTTGCAATCAGTTTTTCATAACAGTGTCGTGGAATTGAGCATTGAATATTTATTTCTCATGATCAATGTATTGAGATCCGTGTTCACTCAAGTGAGCAGCACTTGTCTTGGCGTCAAAGAACATGTCGTGCACTTCTTCAACATCCTCAGCTGTGACCTCTTCTCTTCCATTTGTCTTGCTCAAAATATTGGCTGGAGTTAATAATTGAACAGCATATCTTAGAGATGATTTGTCACCAATTTCTCCTAGCTTTTCCAAAGAGCCTGGTGCCAATTGAATGCCTTCAGTCTTGGCTCTGAGAGCAATAATTTGGACAATTTCCTGGAGTCTATATGGAGATGTCTTAATAATTAACAATCGATCGAGCAAGTCAACTGGAATTCCGTGTGGAGACACAATTTCTGTACCTCTAACTTACAATTAGCTCGATTTGTTGCAAAAATTACGATTGGAGCAAGAGTAGATTCCAAAGCTCTGTTAAGATATGTGAAACATTCAATATCAAGCATGTGAACTTCATCAATAAATAACACTCCAGGCACTAATTCAGCAACGCCTTGATCAATATACTTGTTGACAATTCTGTTGACTTCAGTTCTCAATTTTTCAGTAATTTCTGTTTTCTTTGGTTTCATCATGCTATTCATAATGCTAAACATGTCGTGACCACCCTGTGGTCTAGCATTGGCAACATCCAAATCGTGTAATGTAACATCTTGAACAACTTCCTTCTTCTTGTGAACATCACCTTTTGGTATTGGCACGTATTCTTCAGCTTCCAAGTCATGTTCAGAAATATATTCATCAGATCGGCCAACTCTCTTCACTGCACCGCTGTTAGCTTCAATGTATATAACGTCACCAATTTGAACCTTTTCTTTTTGAATTGATTCATAAATTGATGGATCCAACCTTAGAGTTTTTGTTCCTTTAGTAGTCTTTAATCCCATTACAACATGTTTAATCACTTTGCTTCCATAGCTTGTAGAAAGTTCATCCTCAGCTTCCTCGGGTGTCAATTGAATCACAACTCCTTCATAGACTTCTTTTTGTTCTTTGATTCTAATTCCGATACTTCTTCTAAAGTTTTCCATGAGAATTTCAGTTTTCTTGACTTCGGACGAGTATACTTCAGATCCTACCATTGGGCAGAAAGGAACTTTCTTTCCCAATTCTTGTGAAATGGCAAGAGAAATTGCAGTTTTACCTGTGTGTAGAATGAAAGTTTCACAAATTCCATTCATTGGTGTTGTTGAATTTTTAATGTATAAATTCAAAAGGATGTCAAAGTTTCGAAACAAGCAAAATCCGAATGTAATTTTCAAATGTGTCATGATACAACTAAACATTGAAAAAACATACCTGTTCCTGGAGGACCAGCCAATAGTAATGCTCGACCAGCCATCTTTTTAGACTTGATTAAATCAACGACAACTCCTGCAGCTTCTCTGGCACTGTTTTGGCCAACTAAGCCTCCAGCTTCGTTACTGGCAACTGCTCCAGTTGTTGGATCCAATCCGAGGCCTTGTGATATCATCCATTCAAAGGAACATAATGAAATTACCAAATCAGACAAAAATCATTCTTGCCAATTAATTTTGAATTGTACATACCCGTAATGTGTGAGTGAGCAGCAATACGGAGTGTCTTCTCAGTGGATGTAACTTCTTGAATCTTGACAGAAGGCATTGTATCGGTATTGTTGTTGTTGTATTTTTCTTTTTTGAATTTTTATTGTTGCTGTTCAACAACGCTGCATACAACACAATTCCGAGCTCGTCAGGATATGTGGTGTATTCTCAATGATTGATCCATGATTATTGCAAATGATATCATTATCCGTGTTGGAATAGTTTGTTTGAAATGGGTAATACACCTTCATCTTCTATTCAAATTCCCGAAAATTCCCATCAATAACATCTACTTTTCTTTGGTTTGTTCTTGATTGGATTCTGATGGTTGTTTTGGAAGCTCTCCTTCCTTGATCTTTTCAATGAATTGATTCATCTTGTGTGGTGTTGGAATGAGCCCGGGATGATGTTGGAAATACTTTTGTTTGAATTCTTTAATCTTGATGTCTCTATGATACTATTTTGATGTGCACAATGCAAACACGTTCCGAGTGTGTACGAGATGTATAATTAATAAATGGTTATCCATCATCCAATAATTAATAATGAATTAATTTTTCGAATCGTATGTTTCCAAACAATAATTGTCTCATCATTATATATACTCTAAGAAAGACATCAAACCTACCGAAACAGTGTCCAAATATTGGTAATCCTCTCTAGTTAATGCGTTCAACGCATAAAAGCTTCCTAGTAGTATGGTCGCTAAAGTGAATCCATAAGCTCCAGTTTTCAGAATAATTCTCGGAATAAACTTCTTCTCCAGTTGTTTAAACATTTCAGGTGTAATCTCTGGAGGAACATTCTGATTTGGTGGTTGATTCATGTTGTGTCTGTATGAGGCTGATTAATAAGCAGGTTTGTTTACGTTTGGCAATTTTTTCTAATGCTTCTTTGTGAAAGGTCATGAAGATGAGGAATCTAGTTGAGATTATTAATGATCAATATATTGATGTCATGAATTACTTCTCCTTGTGAATTCCATAAAAGAAACCAGTGCTATCAAATCTTCGCAAGAAGAAATTCGATTCCCAGCAATTGTAAATATTTGAAAATAATAAATAAAAAATTTCTTAATACGATGATGCGAGGAAACAACATGAGACTGATTGCCAAACGAGCTTCGGCTTTGATTTCTACTTCCTCTGCAACAGGTAGAGCTTCATCTACTAGAATGTTCTCTAGTACAAGTTCAGTGATGAAATTATATGGTTCAAGTGAGATGACTTTGTTTAGCACTGTTTCCTCTTCTTCCTCTTCAAGGTATATATTTTATATTATTATTGTTTCATCGTGATGGATGTAATTCTATGAAAATTGTTGATACTCTGCGCTTTCATGGTTAAAACTTTATTACTACGATGGTGATTGGGATGAAAATTCACTCTCGGGACAACTTTTTGAAATCATTTCGCAACGCCAGAAATTCTTCCTCTAGAAATATAACCATTAGAAATATGGCAAACGGTGCGGCTTTAGGGCAACTTTTAACAGTTTTTGGATCAAACGATGATGATGGTTAGTATGGTTAGTAGCATCATGTTTTCAATTTGGATTTATTTGAATCGTGTTGTCATAACAATTTATCGGAATCATTGAAAATTCAACAGATGGATAGTACTGCTATTGCTTGTATGGTGTGTATTCTTTAGTGGTGAATATATTTTCCGTTTCTTCTTACTGTAACTTTTTGCATTGTGTATGTCATCTTTCATGCTCTGCACAATTCTCACGGATTGGTTGATTCAGCAACAAACATTTATATGCTTACTGGGATGTTTATTAAAGGTGTTTGACACATGCAAGACACGACTCACCCTAAATGTTATTGGAGGTTCAAAAAAGGAATCATTTTCTACCCAACTGTATTTATTAACAATTGATCAATATCTCAATTTTTGGTTAACTTGTTGTTGTTGTTTCTATTAAATCTAAGCACGAATTGTTTCTCTACCTCAATTGAATCGTCATTGGCTTGGGTAGTTCAAAAAGTAATTTGAAAAAAATGCCCGCATCAAGTACGTTTGTTTTGGATTGAATTGTTGTGACAAACCGATGATGATCTTGTTGAAAAAATGTGAACAACGGATGTCTTTCGGGATTGATGATGAATTGAATGATACAACTATTTGTATCGAATTATCATTATGATTGAAAACGTTTGTTCTAATGAATGTGTAAAAAAACTTTGATTGCTTTCACAGAGAAGAAAATTAAGCAAAAATTAAAACAAAAAGAAAAGAAACAAGCATCCAAAACCAACACCGAAGTTGAGGTCGACAAGAAAATTCCACAAAACGCCAATGATTTTCAACAAACATTGGATTCCATTGCCAATCAATTATCGTCAATGACTTCTCTAGGAGAACAGGTGAATTACTATGATGACGATGACAGTGCAAGTGTAGTCACATCACAATTGGCAAAGAAAAAAGGTATTCAAAAAATTCAATCCAAAAAGCAAAAGGATAAACACAAAAAGAATTTAGAAAAAGCTCTTTCCTATCAAGAGCGGTTAGACACAACAGTTGTTAAAGATCTTCATTCACAAATTATGAAATTACCAGAAGAACGGCAACGAAAACATAGACCTGTGAAAAAGTCGGCTATCAAGCAGTAACTTTTGAGTAGCATTTGCGAGACACTTTTCACACGAGTTTAATCAAATTTTGGTATGTTTGATTATGAGCTGTTCCCACTAACTATTACTGACTTGTCAATGATTTGAACAACACAAGTACATAATCGTTTCTAACCAGTAATATAATTATTTGAATTCTCTCAGTTACAATCTTCAAAATTATCTTCTTCTTCGTCACTTCCTATACTTATTTCACTAGAAATGTCAATGTGGAAATTATCAATGTCAATACTTTGCGTTTTTCCAACAGCTCTTCTAATATAATGACTGATTTCTTTGCCTCCACTACTCTTTAAATTTTTAATATGAAAGGTTTTACGAACAGGAGTGGCGCTCTTACTCTCTTGAGCATTGCATGTTTGTTCTTGAGCGCTTGTTGTTGTGACATTTTGAGAATTGTCGGCTGTATTTGCACTACTTTGGGACGTGCCAGTCATAAGAGTTGGAGAATTTTGATCAACACTATCCGTGGCAGACCTGTCTTTGGTACAGTCTATAGACTGATCCGGAGTTTTTACATCAGGACTTGCTTTTTCAAAGTTCGTATCATTCTTATCACCATTTGAAGTATTCACTCTCTCTTCTCCATCCAAAGGAGGAAGATCTTCTTGAGCAGATGGAGTTATTTCATCTAAATGAATTGCCTTATTGTCATGTGACACCACTTGAAATTGGTCTTCAGCAATTTTCTCTAATTCTAAATCTTGAAACAATTGAAGAAAAAACTTGGGCGCTGAAAATACATGTATAGAATTGATGGAGAGGAACATACTATTGTTTGCATGTGCAGTTGTGAATGCAAATATTTCTGAAACATCTGATTCAAGAATGTGATGAATGTACACGTCATTGATATTATTTTGAGAAGGTGTTGAGGTTATGGATTTTCCTGAAGTGGAGTGTGTGGTAGTAATGAGGGATGGAGTATCCAAGTTGGCTTCATCAGAGCTCTTTTTCTTGAATACTTTCAACTCCAATTGAATTTTAGCTGCTTTCTTTTTTGATTTGTTGTCAAGACGAAGGTAGAATTTTCCTTGTGGAAGCTGTGTTAACAGGAGCATGTGAAGAAGCATTTCATCATGAATGCGTAATTTCCATATTAATAATGAGGTAAGCAGTTGAGATGTTGAAGAAAGCAACTTTCTTCTACTTACTGTATATTCTATAGTCGTTGGAGTGAGAGGATCGATGGTTCCTTCCTTACACAATATTGAAATGGATCCATGACTCACCAACACGCTTTGTCTTTTTTGAACCGTTTTCTTCCGAATTTTTTGATCTAAGGCTGACTGTTTCTCCCGATAGTGCTGATGCCCATATTTTGTTGAATGTGGTGCATCATAATCGGTATGGTAGTCCTCTTCATTGAGGTCTTCCAGCGATGCTACTATATATTTTGGCTCTTCTCCACTCTCGGATTTGAGTGAAGAAATAGATGATGAGAAACTATTGGGGTCTTTGGTATTTCTCAACTCGGAATGATGTTGGACGACTGCTGCTCCTCCTGAGGGCTTCTTTTTCATGGAAGAAGAGGATGACCAGACTTGGACCTTCCTCGTTCCGCTGATGAAAAATTGTTGATAGAGTGGTTTGATTTCGTTGCAACACCAAAACAGAGAAAGAGGTTTTCAAACATTTTTTCAAATTCATGGATTAAGGAATTACCTTAATTCTCATCGTACGATGTCTCATTCAACTACAACAATTAACAATTGCATGTATGATTGAATAGTACATTCCACTATTCACGAAATGTATTCGTATTCATTTTGGCTACCAAGAATATCCGTAATTACGGACTCCAATGTTTATTGGCATTTGTGAGTATTTGAAATTTCTTTCGCAGATTGTTGGATTCAGCTAAGAGCTCCAACACCTTTGCCTCTTCTTCGTCAAGCAAAGGATTATGTTCTGTTTCGTCTTCTGGGAAGAGCGCGTGATCAAACACAGATGGAAAGTTGAGCGTTTTGGTTGCTAGTTTGAAGCTGGGCCTGTTCTGAGCACTTTTCCGTTTCTCTAACCATCGACTTGATTGTTCAGAGGCTGATTTGGGAGGAATCTTGTTGCTTGATTTGACTCGTATTAGGGGAAGTTTTGTACTTCCTCTGTTTTGTTGCTTGTCGCCTGTTCCTCCTCTGGTACTGCTCGAGGAGTTTGATCTTGCTCTTCCTCTTCCTTCAACTTCTGACGCCGACTTGGATCTATCATGTGTAATACGTGAGTGAAGATGATTCGAATTAATATTATTTGAAACATTACTGAGTGAAACTTGTTTGTTGAGTGCAGAACTTGTCATGAAATGGGATTGGGCAGATGTGAATTCTTGGCTTGCCTTCTCAATGAATTTCGAGTATTGAGCAGTGGTGGTTGAGGTTGGATAAATTCGTTTGTACTTTCCTTTGGACATGATCTCATCTTCGATTTTGGTATGAGTAGTGATGATTTCCTCTCGAGAGGGCATATTTTCTACAATCTTCTCAACATCATTGCTGTAGTGACCTGTAATTCGCTCTCGAGACATGGCTTTTTCAATCTTCATCCCAATAATCCTCTCATTGGGATTGATGGCCAACATTTTCATGGTTTCTGTGAGTAATTTAACTTGACATGCTTATCCAGAGGAGTGTCTGTATTGAATGAGGGAGAATGATTGACTTCCAACAGCCATGGTTTGATATGTTCATCGAGCAAAATGTCAAAACCGAGAATTTCAAAGCAGACAAAGTCTCCATGTTTGGGAGTTAGAGAAGTTCTATACTGGTGCAACAATTGAGGATAAATAGTGAGAACGGTTTTGATAATGATATCCCCAATACTGTCCCACACCTTGTCTGGACTGTGACCTTGTGATTCGAGATACTTGTTCAAAAAGTTGAAATCTCTCTTACTGCCGACTGAAAAATTATTGGGATCATACTCAAAGCAATCACTCTTCTTATTTACACTGTAATTGGTCAAGTGCATGCAATCGGTTTTGATATTCAAGCTGGAGGGTGCTTATATTTTTCGGTGCAAATTCTCACAAGTCCATCCTTATACATGAATATTTTGAGAGGATCCACACTGAGAACGAGGGCATATACTCTCAAATCAAACTTGTAGCCATCAATAAGAAAAGGTCTATCCACATAGAGCTGAACGACACAATCTCCGTATCGCTCAGCATCCGTTGGGTCTTGTGTTAACACAATGCCTTTTCCTTGACAGCCTGCGGTGGGCTTGATAATGTAAGTTTTTCCAATAATTTTCTTGCTATTCTTGAATTTAAAGTATCTATTGGTATGTATGAATTGGAAACCTTCTTTGAGAGTAGTCATCATCAGAAATACTTACTCTTGAGGTAACACCCAAGTATGAGGAAGAAACGAGAAGTCCTCTGGGAATGCTTTTCGAAGTCGTTTCATATTTCGTGCTAACGGAATTTTTCTGCAAATACCACCCATTGCAGGGAAGTGATTAATCTTTTGAAAGGTTCTCAATTTCATGATACGGTCAGGAGCACTCGATTGGTCCATCCAAAATACTGTGAAATCTTTAGCATTGCTTGTTGGTTTTCGAATTTTCCAACCATTTGCTAAGGCTGCTTCTCTTACAACATTGTATTTCTGGTCATGCAACATTTCATGTCAAAACAGATCAAATAAGATAGTTGTAACAACTTGTCAATTGGCTTGAATCTCGAATGAAAAACATACACAACTTGTTAGATCAATAATAATTGGAGAGGGTTTAGAAGGAGACATCATGTATTCCTCACCTCCACTACTACTGCTTGCACCAGGTGATGAAGACGATGATGTATCTGAGCTACTCGGAGACTCCTCCAGAAGTGAGTCCAAAGATTTTGATTTATCCTTTCTTCGTGGGGTAGATGTATTGGCAAAGACATTCGGTAATTCAATTCCACTCATTGCTGATTGTTCAATAATTTACTTGTCTATTTGTAGGTTCGTATCATAACACGATCGGCTGCGGAGGTGTGTTAGTAATTTTTTTGGATATTATTTTGGATTGTATTTGAAGGCGGGAAAAAAACGATTAAAATTCCCTCCAAAAACGTCCGTTCAATATTTGTGTTTAAAAAATGCCTGCATGTCCTTTTGAAGAGTTGTTGAACCAACTCTTGGTTGCGCCATCGTCGGAATGTTATGGCGCACACAGCTCGGAAACATCGAGTCATCAATTACTGGACTCCATTGCAACAACAATGGACACGCTATCGCGTATTAAAATTAATTTGAAGGAAATTCGAAAGCCAAACCATCCATCCACATCAAGAAGAAATTCAATTTCCAACTTCCAATCCTCGTGTGATCACAACGACCGTACTGATGATTCAGCAAGCTGTACTTGTTTTTGTTCTTGGAGCAAGGCCAACAATCGGGTTTATTTAAGGAATGAATTAAAGAAAGCCTTTGCAACAGATGAAAATGTTCCGTTTCAAATGGTCACACAAGATAAGAGCGTGGTTACTGTGTGCCACGTCGGAAAAATGTTGATGAATAGAATTATGATCAATCATTCGTCAAGCTCTTCGAATTGCTTTTTGGAACTTGGAAAATATCAAAATATTATTAATGAATTGAGAACATGTTGGAGGAGGAGGCATCAACATCGCCCGTTCAAAGATGTCATCTCATGGATGACAAATTTTATTCAAACGTGTAATACTATCGAGAGTTCCCTTCCAATTCATTCTCTTTTAAATAACTTCGAAACATTACAATTTAGAGCTCCTCAAAATATACTCTTCAAACTAATAGCAGCAAAATCCGAATATTTATTGGCCTTGCTAAGGAGAATGTTTTGAAACATTTGAGAAATATTGTCCTGATAGCCCTTCACAGCCTTGTATCGTCACAAACAAACTCGGTCCATGTACTTCTAGGAGAGGAAAATTTCATGTATTGGATCAAGATTGAATTCAAAAAGAGTCTTAAAAAAGCAGTAGTGAACTTGATCAAATACGAGCTTCATCAATTAGAACATTTATGTGCATTATTTGTGGAAATGTGGAAATTAATGGATAGCGTAAAGTCACTGAAAAGCAATTCAGAAGATTGCCAAGTTTTGAACTTGTGTCACAACTTGTTTTGGAAATGAATGATAAATGTATCACAACACACCCCCTACGCCCGAATCAACTTGTGAAACCATCAAATCAAAGGGCACAACACTCACAAAAAGCAAACAAGAATTATTGAAAAGAACTCGGGAAATTTTACAAACGATGCCACAACAACCTTATTCGTGTAGAGCCATTGATTGAAATTTCCAATTCAACAAACCGCAGACAGAACAAGCCAAAATTTTCAAAAGTATTGCTTGTGAAAGGAGTGACTGGTGGTAGACTCACGTTGTTCTTGTTGTTGTTGTGTCATGAAAATTTCATCTCCTCCTCCACCTTTGATTTCATAAGGATCATGTCACAACATTTATCGAACTGAACCCATCAAGCCATATTCATTCAACCTTCCTTTTCAGATTTTCTCATATGAGTGGGTACACACACAATTATATGGTTTCATATGATTTGAGATTTTTAACGTCGTTTTGTTGATTTTCGTTATTCAAGAAAAATGTCTTCGTCCATCGCTGGCACTTCTTCTTCATCTCCATTGTCGTCGTTTTTGGATGGATTTCTTTCAACCACAAAAAGTTCTTCCGGAAGTTGGTACCCTTCTCAACAACATGATAGCAAACGGTTTGGAAATGTTGATCGGGAAGCATCATGCCGACCATTCACGAACAACAAGTAATTTTGAAATTATTTTCCAGAATCATCATCAAATTCATCCACACAACAACAACACTATCTACAACAAAACAACCAATATGATGGAATTTCTCTTACAGCTCTACAACAACAACCCCAATCCGATTCCTTACAATTAGCAGAAGAAATTGCCAATATTTTGAGTATTTGCGTGATCATGTTCAGTTTCCTATGCAGTTTGTTTGTTCTCATTAATTTATGTAAGAAGAATATGAAAGCAGAGAAGGAAGAGAAAGCCATGTTGGCTCGATTTGAAAATTCAAACCCGAGTATCATTGAATCACTCACTTCTAAGAAACATCTCTATACCAAACTAACGTCTTTCTGCATCTTGTGTATGATCATCTCAGATTTACTGTTTACTGCCTTTTATTTCCCAACCAATACATTGAGATTGATCAAGGGTTTTCTCTTTCAAGATTTACCCAAAGCTCAAACTCTGAAATTAGATCCCTATTTTTCAATTCCGATCTATATTACGGCTGAGATTACTGAAATGTTTGTCATTAGTAGTGGTATCTTTTCGTTACTTCTTACTTTGTGTATTTACAAAACGATTAAGAGTATTAAGCCTTCAGGTTCTTCGGCAGATGATCAATCTTCGAATTATTCGTCATCCAATCAGAGATCATCCATTGGTTTAGATTCTCAATATCATCAAAGTGTTTCTCATTATGGAACGAATGGTGCTTCAACAACTCCTTATGGTAATGGGGGAGACCAATCGAATATGGATCCCTATCAGGATCATCAACACACTGAAAAGACTCGATTAATGTCACCCAATTCGGATATGAATTCTGTGAATACACCACCACGAACACCAGAAGAAGAATATGGAAATCATGATGCTCATGTTCAACAACCCTTTTCAGCGAAAGGAAGATATATGAAAATGCAACAACGTAAAAAGTGGATTCAAACAATATTCTGTCTCATTTCATGGGGAATTCCTGCCATGTTTGCCGTGGTGTGGATCATTGTTGAGGAATTGTATTTGGGAGTGAACACCACACCTGCAGGAGTTTTTTATGCCAATATCATTCCTGACATGGTAAAGAATTTGATATATATTGCCATTGAAGTTGGATCTGTGGCTCTGAGAATTATGATTTATACAGATACTAAAAAACTATTTCGTGACACGACCATTGTGGAAAATACTTCAAGTGCAAAGAAGAAACGAGAAAAGGAGAGGAATTTATTCAAACAATTACTATTTTATGCACTTCCATTCTTTTTGTTTGGCATTTGGGTCATTGTGTATCGATTAGCCACAGATATTATTTATATTGTCCGTGTTGCTGAGCATGGCATTGATTCTTTCAATGACGACATGGACTTGGCAGGCCTGATTGTTTTAAGTATTCACCACATATTGAGTCCTCTCAGAGCCTTTGCCAATAGTGTTGTGTATTGTTTACTTTCGAAATGGTTCAGTGAACGAGTGAAAGGTTCCTTTAAGAGGTGTTGTGGTCATTCCCAGTAATTTGAAAATTTCCTCATAATTTATTAAAACACTTGTCCTTTATGTGACAATCTCATTTCTTGTGCTAATTAAGAATTCCTTAATCTTGAGGATTTGAGCTAAGGACAACAAAATGGTTTCTTTTTGTGTTGTACACAGTATAGGTAATAAATTCTTGGGCATATCTCCAATAATTATTCCATAGCTCATTATTTTCTATCATTGCGGTAAAGTCATATTGAATGAGATGATCATATGTGGGATGTTCACTATCAATATCAAGACTTTCTTTTCGTAATGGTGCAAATGTTGTTGGGAGGGCTGGTTTTGTTCCATACACAGATCCACTCGATCTTGTAAAAATGTCCAAATATTCTGACGTTGGATACAAATTTGATTACCTTCATTGATGGAATTGTAATCAATCGTCATTTCTTCTGAGGTGTAATAGTTTCTTATAGGTTGTAAAATGGTTCGATATTCTTTTGGAATTCCATGTGCTTGTTTCATTGCTTGGAAATCACCACACATGTGAATAAAAAGCTCTCCTGGCAAAATCTGAATTTTACGTTGAATTTTCAATGATGATTCTGTTCTTGAGATTGTCTCATCAGTAGTAGCAGTAGTTGCAGTTGTTGATGCAGTGAATAATTCTCCAATCCAATTATATAATCGGTCAATGAAATTCATAGAAAATGAGCTTGGAATCACAGACTTGAAAGGAACGAGTTCTTTAGAGAAGGAAACGTCAATCCAACGATTATGATCAACTGGACATTTCCAAAATAAAGGTAAAACATGACACATGATCATAAATTTGTGAATTAAAAATTGACATTCAGGATCCAATTCATGATAACACTTTTCAAAAACAACACAGAGAAATCGACATGGTTGCAAAAAGCTAATGTCCACAGATCCTCCCATCAATAAAAACGTTTCATAGGACAAACAGACATTAGAACCGTTGCTGTAACTGAAAGGCGTGAGCATCCATTCCTTAAATAGATTTCGGAAAGGTCGTTCATGATGATGAATATTTTCATCGGAAATGGTTTTACATAATTCATCATGAAGAATAGTCATGATGAGTTGTTGTGTAGGAGGATGATCATTGCCCATCGGCAGGAACTTTAGATTTCCATTGAACAAGGTATTGAATAATAGTTTGGAATAAATCGTACGATCATACTTGCAAATCAATTCATGAAAGGTTTTGCGCATTGTTCCAACCATTGGATGGTTCTAAAATCGAGAAATTGAAAGACATGTTCCGCTAAAACTTCTTCCAACTCTTCTAACAGCATTGAGAAGTTATCATAACCATTGTCAACGATCGTTGTGTTTTCATCATGACGATGGACCTTAATGTGGTGTTGCATTTTTCTTGAAAAAAGTTCAAAACTGTTTGTCAGGTTCTTCTCAAAAACGCACTCGGCGAAAAGTCTCTGGTTTGATCAATTTCCAAACTCTTATGAGATTTTGTGTCAAGTCTTGACTTTGAACTGAGATTCAAACAAGTAAAAGGTTTATTGAGCTTTGGGTGGTAGTGAAAAGTTGTGGGAAAAAAGAGTCAGGGAAATAGTAATGGAAAACCATGATGAGATGTATGTAGCATTTGCTCGTCCATCACACTCGGAAATGAGTATGGAGATCTACATGCCACGAACATCCATCATCATCATCCATGGATGATGGTATCATAAGGCTAGAGAAAAGAGTCGTGATTAAAACATGGAAGAAGTATCCTCATCTCTCAAATATTGACCAACATCGGCCTGATGGAAACAAACAATATCTGTTGGTTTTACATATCTACACTCTTCCGTAGATTTGGCTGTAACACCAAATCCCAACGGAACATCATTCATATTCATAACAACAACTCCTTGATATTGTGGGCAGTCTTCAGTCATCTTTCCGAGACCAGTCTTCAAAATATGATTTCCGTACAGGAAGGAGAGTTCCGCCTGAGGTTTCACCCACACTTTATACTCGGCATATTGAGCCACATAGTCCAAACAAGTAATCTCCAGTTTAAACTTTTTCGATTTGCTGAATTTACCGAAACACACACCCATGGTTTTCAGTCGTTCAAACGTTATATTCTCTGCAAATTGTAATACTTGATTGCTCAAATAAAACACCTTATCTTTATGAAATCGGAACGAATATTTATCATTGATGAGTTGTTTGACATTCTTTCCAATGTACTTGGTGAGTTTGTCAAAGAAAATTTCCATCTCTTCGTCGGTAGTGGTCTCATTTTTTTTGTTCAAACTTTTGTATGAATTTCGTTTCCCAAAAGAATCATCATGGGATTTATGAAATGCGTCAAATAAAAAGTAATTATTGAACGTCAAGAACCTGAATATTCTTAAAAGTATTTGAAATTCTTTCTGTCTCTGAGTGAAGTAACATTATGGAATAAGAAAGCTATTAATAAGTTCAGATCATCATCCAGAAATCAAAAAAAATGTCTTCATCATCATCCACTTCCTCCGCCAAACAACCTCAAGCCAAGCAAGTCTTGGCGATCGTAGAAAAGATCGGATTGAAAATTGGAGTAGTAAATGGAGGAAAGAGTCTTGAAAACATGTTAGATACTCATTTGCCACAGTTATTAACATTATTGGCTTTTCCCGATAATAGTGTTCGGACCAAAGTGATTGAAGTGTTGAGTAATACAGTAAATAAGAGAGTAAAACTAGAAACGTCCATTAAATTACCATTCGGCAAGATTTTGGAATTATTTCAAAAGGAATTATCTAATTCGTTCATCAAGAACTTTGCAGTCATGTACTTGGACATGGGCTTTCCGCAATTAAGCTCATCCGAGATCAATGAGTATTTACCATCCTTCTTCCAGGCTTTACCTTTACTTGCTTCGAACGTGTCAGGAAGCGATATCTCTCTTTCGAATCGACAACATCAATCCATGTTTTTGAGATTTATTTTAGAGTCTTTGGGGCATATTTCATATCCTGAAAAAGAAGAAGATGCTCTTGAGAAATTTCAAGATATCCGAAATAATGAATCTGGAGCTCTTGATATTTTCTTAGACTTTGCAACAGATTTCATGATGTTCAAGCCGTCACAAAAATCACAAGGAACTCTCCAATCGGTCATACCCAATGGATTGAATATGATGAAAATCAAGAGAATTCTTGGAAGTAAGGAAAACATGGATGCTCAAGAAGTTCAAACGAAGAAAATGCAACTCATTGACTTTATCACAAAGAGTACATGCTTTTCAGAGAATCAACAATTTTTAATATTATTGATTGGAATGTCACAACAAGAGTCAACGGACCAGCTCGGATCTAGATGTGACGTTCTATTGAAGAAATTGAATCCCGACTTTGAAGAGTCAGCACTCGTCGACAAACTCTATGCGCTCTATCTAGGAGATTCTTCAAACGGTATTTCACAAGCTTCCCTCCCACTCAAATACAAGATTTTGACCTACTTATGTAAATCAACCCAGGCCGCAAACCACTTCCCAGAAACTCATCTCGTTCTCATGGATTCATTATTTAATGAATATGCCTCGATGAAATTGCGTGGTTTCGGTATGCAATTCTTCATGTGGATCATTCAGGAAGGAATTACGATTGAACCCAAGTATGCCTCTGAAGTTTTTAGTTCCATTCTTTCCAATGTAAATAGATTGTCCTCATCAGGTTCCAACACTACTGCTCTTTCCTTGAATGATATCACCATTCTCAAGGAAAACATGTATACTGCACTCGGTTCATTCACCAGAAAATTTCCCAATTTTGTTCTGGATCGTTTTGATTTAGTGGAACGATTTTTCGACGCTCTTGCCTTTGAAGACTTAAATGTTCGCGTTGCTGTGTTGCAAGGACTCAGTCATTTAACGCACGCTTTCAAAGTTTTGTTCATGAATAAGCCTGAGAATGAGATTGCTGACTTGAAAAAACAGTTCGAAAATTTGTTTTATGAATGGATTGTTGAGAGAAATACTGGCCTTACAGATCTATTGAGAGGTGGTACATCACAATATCAGAAAATGACACCCTCTGCTAGAACAGCTGTGACTTCTGCTGTTTTGAGATGTGCCAATAACTTGTTCCCATTCGACCACGTCATTTCAAGATTTTTGTGTTTGTTTTGTACAGCTGGTGGTTTCGGTTCAACAACATCGTCGACTGACAATCAGAGTCATCAAATCCGAGAGGAATGCGGGAAAGGAACTGATATTGAAAAATTCACCAAGTTTAGGCAATTAGATCATTGGATCTTACAAAAGAAATCAAATGAAGAGAATAACAAGAATACTGACATGGATGTCGATACAAATTCTGACAGCACCGAAGAAAGCAACAGCTTGCCCATGTTCAAAACTGTACATTTCACATATCCCTCTTTCAAATCGATGGTCACCTTTATTTATGACTTTATGGCCAAGTTTGACGTATCCATCACCAAGAGTACCAGTATGCCTGCTTTAAACAAGATTGTCACACCTTCTGCACATTCTGCCATGATCAATTTCTGTTTTGATTGTTTAAAAGAAGAGACCAAACAACAAAATATTTCCATGTTGCAACTCATTCAAAATATGTCTACGCAATCCAACAATATGAACGATGAGAATGAAAAGGATGATTTTGAGAAATTCCTGTACATTATTGAAAAGTCATTTGATGACAAGATATTGCTGCAATCAGGCTCAACATCTAATGCCACAGATCTCTTGCGTGAAGCTACTGATACTTTGCTAAAACTTTTACTGTCCTTGAAGGACCGAAAAGAATTCATCGAGCATATTTCAAGGAGATTTAGTTTCCTATTAGAGGACAGAGGTCCATTCCTCTTCGATATCATGATTGGAAATTATGATGAAATTGCGAGAGAACATTTCTCCAAGTTTATTGCATTGTTATTTATTTTCGTGAGACAAGATCCCAACAAAACTCAACAGTGTGAAAAGTTAACTGTGTTGTGGAGAGACTTTATTCAACGCCAACTGACATCATTTTCATTATCAGATCATAGAGGAGAAGCCAATGCATTGGGAAGTATTCTCACAGTTGCAAATGTGATCAGTTTGAATTATTGCTTGAGTTATAATGATCACAACGAGCCTTATCTGATTGATTCCTTCCAACTCATCCTTGACATTATTACAACTATTCCACTTTCAAATGTTAGAGAGCCACTTCATCAAGCTTGTTACTACGCATTGGGTGAAATGGGAAATAGCGGAGCCTTGCAACATTATTTATTGAAATTTATTAATCAACAAACAGCGACAACTTTGGGTGAGACAACACCATCTCCAACCGCGACATCTACCAGTGAGGACCCAAAAATCAAATCCATGAATGAGTTAACATCAATACTTGTTAAAAGAATTGAAAAATATGCATCGCTTGCCCGTCAAAAGAATGCTTCAATTTCAAACGAGAAAATACTCGAGAAGTTGATCACTGCAGTGGGTCGCTTAACTATTGGAACTTTACCACAAAATGATCCTAATGTTACTTCTCACTTGGAAGCATTTATTTCTCAACTTTTCGAATTGAACAATGTGAAATCTGCCTCAACGAATACGGGAACTGGAGGTTCATCAAGTAGCAGTAGTTCTAGCACAACTACTTCCTCATCGGCAACTCCACAAGTTTCCATAGATGAAAACATTTCATTTACTGTTGGAGAAGCACTTTCACTCATGTCAGGAGGTCTCAAATATTGCACTCTTTCACATTCTGATAGTTATTATGAAATTTACAAGATGAAGCAACAGTTCACATCAGAACAAGAAGAAAACGAACACTATGACTCTAGAATGAGATATGTTCTAACAAGACTGGTCAGAGAATGCGTATTGAATCCGAAAAAAATCGTTCGTCAAGCATCCAGTATTTGGCTTCTTTCTGTGACAAGATATAGCGGTGTGAACAATGAGTTCTTTAGAAAGTACATTAAAGAGGTTCAAAAAGCATTCTCACTGCTAGTGACCGAAAACAACGAGGTGACGTCTGAAGTAGCTGGACGAGGTCTTGGTTACGTGTATGAAATGGCTGATCCTTCGGATCGAAAAGCACTTGTTTCTTCTCTCATGACATTCCTTATTGGAAATAAGAAGCCACAAAATACAGTCCAAGACACAGAAGAGCTTGTATTGTTCCCTGCAGGTGAAGAACATCAGAAGGGAGGAAAGAACGCTCCAACACTATCAACCTACAAGGAACTTGTTGATGCGGCTACTGATATTGGAAGACCAGAAATGATATATCAATTGTTGGCTGTTTCTAATCATAACGCAATTTGGAATGCCAAGAAGGCGTATGCCTTTTCAATTTCTTCAATTTTAAGCAGCGTGACCGGTGACAGTTTAAGCAATGAAGAGTTTGAAAAAGCAATGCCTCAATTAGTTCCTAAATTGTATCGTTTCTTATTTGATCCAAATCCTGCAATTAGCAGCTCAATGAAAGAAATGTGGAAGTCTTTGTTTGGACAAAATGAAACTGACAAAACCAAACAGAATATGATTACGTCCAAGTATTTGCCCAGAATTATGAGAGAAATATTGAATGGATTAAATCAGGAATTGTGGAGAATACGAGAAGCCTGTTGCTATGCAGTTTGTGATCTGTTTGGAGGAGGAAGCGCAAAAACCTTTGAAGAAATGGCTCCCTACATTAAGGAGTGCTTTCAAAAAGTTTGGAGAGTAACTGATGACATCAAAGATACATGCAGAAAAGCTGCCAATAGTGCATTACAAAGATTGAGTGCATTTGCCATCAAATCATGCAATCCAACCTATACAAGCAAGAGAGAAAATGTGAGTCGAGCTTTGTCTATCGTAATTCCTCTTCTACTGCATGAAGGTTTGCTCTTTCCATTTAAGGATGTTGTTTATGTGAGTCTTTCCACACTTAAAGAAGTTGTTCATGTCAGTGTACAGTATATCAAGCCGCACATTTATGACATTATATCGACCATCCTTCAACAAATGTCTGTTTTGGAACCGGCTGAGTTTAATTATTTGCAAATGAATGCCGAAAGATATGGTATTTCAGTGGAGCAATTGGAATCATTGAGATTGTCTGCAATGTCTAGAAGTGGTCCATTATCAGAAATTATCATGGATTGTGAACGACACATTGACGAAAGTGTCCTGCAACAATTAGTTCCAAGTTTATTAGAAATTTTACAACTTGGAGTTGGACTACAAACACGTGCCCATTGTGCTAAATTTATTTCTCATTTAGGAAAATTCCAAGGAAGATTCCTGAAAGACTATGTGAATGAAATAGATGCTGCCATTATGAGCGCCATACTTCAGTCAGAATCCATCGCAGAGCGTAAAGAACTTGCCACTGCTTTGTCTCAAGTTGTGAAGAATGGTAAAGCATCCGAAGGAAAGCGAGTGTTACAAGAAATTCTTGCACTCTACACTCAAGAAGAAGGAGTCATGAGCCAAAGTCATGAAAATGAAATGTCACGATCTTCTGCGGATGAATTGCGATTGATTAGTGCCATGATATTGGAACAAATTAGCAAAAATTGCCCCATTCTCCTTAAAAAGTTTTACGATATTGCTCTTCCTATCATGTTCATTGCAAGACATGATAAAAGTGAACGAGTGAAAAAATGTGGGAAACTGTATGGGAAGAATGTACCAATACTTCTGTGAAAAACACTTTAGAACTGCATATTAAGGTTGTGGTCGATAAATGTATCGCTCTGTTGGATCATCCCACTTGGGAGTTGAAAAGACAAGGCGGTAGTGCCCTCGCAGAAGTTTCATCTTCATTGGGAGTATTGTTGAATGAGAAACAGGGTGAAAGAGAACGAATGATTAATGCCTTGTTGAATTCCATTGTAGGAAGAGTATGGGAAGGAAAAACTGTCTTGTTGAAAGCGCTTGGAAGTATTTGTGAAACCTTTGTTTCAAAGGAAGATCAATCATTGTCCACCAGCAATCAACAAGAAATGAAAATTCTTGAATTGTTACTGAAAGAATGTAAAAAGAAAGATCTCGATTACAAGTGTGAAGCATTGAAAGCGTTCCATTCTGCAGTGAAAACTTTACATTTCACTACTCATTTCATTTCACAAGAATTTTATGAGCAAGCAAAAACAACCTTCTTAGAGGAGATGCAAAATATTGAAAAGGAAGAGGAAGAAGAAATTCGTTCGGAAAATTCAAATGAAAAGAGAACAGAACGAGTGAACAACGACAAGACCTATCATGAGGAAAAACTGAAACGAGATTTGAAATCGAATAAGAGAGAAGCATGTCTTGTCCAAATTATTCACATTTTATCTTACTTGGTTCCATCTTCCAAAACAAATGTTTCAAATGAAGAGCGAAAGAAAGCACTCGAATGGATTTTCCATCAATTCTTGGCACCTCGTTTAACCTTATATTTAACCCCTCCTATGAACAATGCCTTGTTGAGTGCCTTGTTGCAATATGTGAAATTAAGAAAGAGACTTTCACAAGAATTACCTTTTATAGATTTGGAAGAACAACAGAAAATTCTGCAACTCTTAGTGTTCAATATTGATCCAAACAATAGACAAGTCAACGTGAGACCAGTAGCATTTAACACTTTGAAAGAGGTGTATTCACAAATGATTTGGGATGACTCTCACTCTTCACTGAAATCCATGTTGAAAACACAACTTGAGGAAATTTCCAAACGAATCATGGAACCACTTTTGCACGATCAAGTGACCAATTTTTCAAAACAATTGCAATAAGAAGGTCCTTGTGTTTGTACATTTCCAAAAAAACTCCCAATTCTGTACGAAATTAAGAGTGACACACAAAAAGAGTAGGCATATGTTTGAATAAATACATCCAAAAATTAATAGAAAAACTGTAAACAAATGCTTGTATTTAGACAAGATGATCTTGCAAAAGGCAGAAATACGTGGATGCAAGTTATTGTTCAGTGATCAACGATGACCTTCAAATATTGGCCTGTGCCTTGTTAAAATTTTAAAAGAAGAATTATTGAAGGCCTTGTCGTCCCTGATGAACTTGAAAAGAGAATTGAAAAAAATGTTAAAGAAACAAGGTAGGCCTCAGCTTACACTCATCATAGCGGCCATAATGATCATCCTCATGATGAATCATCATCATCATGGAATTGCTGCTCATTCTGAAACTCTTCCAGTCTCTCAAAAGATTAAAAACTTTTTACAACAACATCGTTCCGATGTAAAGAATTTGGAAACATTTCAACGATGGGTCCGATATCCTTCACTCCCCGAACATGAAAAAGATATTCAGCTGGATATTGCCAAGTATTTGAAGGAAGAACTCCATTTCAACAAGGTAGATATTTGGACCATGGATCAACAAAAGGTAGAACTCGAAAATAGTAAATTCTTTAATACGCCTCGTAATTTTGAGTCGTTAAAGAAGAGTCCGATTGTGGTTGGAGTCTTGGATGGAAGTGCTCCAGAAGATTTAGTAGAGACTTCTCAAGAAGGAGCCATTCAAAACGCTGCAACCAAGTTTAAGCCTTACAAATCTCTCATTATCAATGGACATATTGATGTGGTTCCAGTCGGTGATCCAAAGGCTTGGTTTTTGGAAAATCCATTCAGTGGTCATATTAATGATTCCAAAATTTATGGACGTGGTACTACCGATATGAAAGGTGGCTTGTACGCTGGTTTGTTGGCCATTGAAGCCATTCAAAAATCTCTCGGAATTACTAATATGAAAGGTAAAATTATTGTTCACAGTGTCGTTGAGGAAGAGAGTGGTGGTGCTGGTACTGTGAGTGCCATTTTGCGTGGTTATGGACATGCAGATGCAGGTATTTTCCCAGAACCATCGAATTTCTTAATCTTCCCACAACAACAAGGATCTTTGTGGTTTAGAATTACAGTCTATGGAAAGAGTGCACACGGTGGTACAAGATATGATGGAATTAGTGCTATTGGTAAGTGTTGACATGTCCATACTTCTCGTTACTGACGTTATAATTTCGTGCTATATGCAATTTTCATCATTCTCAGAGAAGGCACAAATTGTTTTGAATGCAATCAAAAAGTTGGAAGACGAAAGAACAGATCTCATTCGAAATGTTCTCAAGAATAAGCTTTTCGAAAATATTACAATTCCAGTTCCAATCAATGTTGGAGTAATTAGAGGAGGTATGTACGGCAGTGGTTCAATCATTGTTCTCAACATTTCGTTGGGCTGCTATTCTCGCTTGGATTTAATAATTTTATCATTTTTGAAAATTGTTGTGCATTGAAACAACAGGTGAATGGCCTAGCTCTGTACCTGACTTTACTGTCATTGAAGGAAGATTTGGAGTGATTCCAAATTATGAAACTGTGGAAGATGCTAAACAAGTGTTGCATGATTTGGTTTTCAAGACAATTCCTGAACTCGATAAGGAGCACTTCTCTACTTATCCTTGTAAATTGGAGTTTATTGGTGCAAGTTGGGTGCCTGGGTATGTTTTTATTTTTGCAATTATTCATCATTTCACCATGAACATGACATGTGGTGCATGAAACAAAACCAATATCGTGCTAACCAATGGTTATGAAAAAAGCTACGTCCCATTGGAGCATGAATTTGTGAGTCAATTATCCAAGTCATTTAGCGAAGTCACCGGTCAAAATCCAATAATTGCCTCAAGTCCTTGGGCCACGGATGCAGGTTACGTCAATATGATGGTATGTGTTAAAATTTTGGCATGATACAATCCAGAGCTAATGAATCAACGCGCACAAATCATCATTAATAGGGAAACACACCTTCTGTTGTTTTTGGACCTGGTGTCACTCACATGGCTCACCAAACCAATGAGTACATTCCAATTGACAATATTTACAAGTCAGCTGAGATTATTGCTTTAACCATTGTTGACTGGTGTGGAGTTTAAATGGTGATCATCTTTTATTTATTGAAACAGCTTTTTTTAATTCTATTAACAGCACTTGTTATATGTGATTCTTCAATTACATGAATAAATTAATTTTTCTTAGTCATGGTGACAGCATTATTCGTCGGACATCATGTTCTTATATTTCTCAGCCAGTTCAATAAGTTCTTGAGGTGTAAACTCGCTATCCAAGACATAAGGTGAATCAATGTTGCTGAAAATCCACTCCACAGCTTGTTCAACATTCAAATCGTTAAGAATGAGAGCCTTCTTTGCTCTGTGCCTTGAAAATCCTAGTTCCGTAATTGCTGCAACCAAATCTTCCGTAACAGGCAAGCTATCAACTGTAATTGGTGGCCCTTGTTGTGATGTTGTGCCAGTGCTTGCTGCTGTTGTTGTTGTTGAAGTGCTTCTTGGAGGATTCTGTGTGGTCGTTGATGCTGAAGAACTTCTTGGAGGATTACTGGAAGTGGTCGTTGTCAATGTTGGAGGTCTTGTTGTTGCTGAAGGTGAAGTCGTGGAGCCAGTACCACTTGTGGTTGGATGAGTACTGGTAAATTCAGCCATAATTTGTTCCAACTGATCCGATACAGAACCTCCCGAAGTAGAAGCTTGTCTATTGATTTCATTCATGGTCAATGAAGCTACATAATCGGCCTCAACTTCCTTCTGAGTTTTATATCTCTTCGTGGAGTGATTGATTGGAATCATCAACACAAAACCCTTTCCCAAGGCATAATCACTTAAATTAGCTTGATCATTCAATTCGACTCCATTCTGATAATATGCTGAACGCCCCGATCATAGCCTTTTAATTTGTTTAGATAATTCTTGAGATCGGAAATGGTTTTATTATCATGTCCAGCATCATCATGAAGCGGAACCATCAACGTACCATCCAACATGGTCCGAATTGCAATACGATTTTGAGACATTTTTTTATTTTTAGATTTATAAAGCCATCATGAAACTAATTGCTTGTGGAATTCTTTTAGTTCATTACTCAACGAGATATGAAATGATAGGTTGGTTACTTTTTAACTTTCTTTGATTCAGGTTGGTGGTTTACATTTTCACTGCCACCAATGTTGTCACTTTTTCTCTTATTATCACAATTACTAGATTTGCATGACGTACAACCTTCCTTGGAGCATCGACAATTCCTACAATTTCCTGTTATACATTTACAGCATTGCTTCTTCTTGATGGAAACTATTTTCTTTGATTTTTCAGAAGAATCCAAAGAATGTGCTTTGTCTGTGTCATGCATGGATGGTGTTGTGACATTATTGAAACAATTGAGGCTTATTTGATTATTGTCAGGGAAGAAAATTGATGTGTAGTCTTGAGTGTCAACTGTTTCGGTAATGTCTAGCAGTTGCAGGCATTGTCGTGCAGTTATCCTTTCCTTTCTTTGATTGTTCACCATCTTCTGGAGCATGGTAAATATTATTTGCCCTTTGGATGTATCTAAATCTTTACATTTAGCTTCAATGATGGTCCATATTTCATCATTCATATTTTCTATTTGTTTCTTATTAATTTCACGTTCAATGATCAGCTCAATAAAAACTAATCCAAGTGAAAAGATGTCTGTTTTTGGATGAATGAAGTTTGATCTAATTATTTCCTTCTCAGGTGCATTATACTTAGACGTTCCAGCAGTTGATTGTATCAATGTTCCATAAAGATAGCAAACATCACCATCTTCTTCATCAAATGTCTTGGCTAGCTCAAAATCAATGAATTTACAATAAAAGCTTGGATGTTGTTCATTGGCAATAATATTCTTAAAATGTTGTTTTTCCACTATTATGATATTACTTGGTTTGACGTCGTTGTGAATAATTTTTTTTGTGTGAATGTTGTCAATTTCTAAAAGTAATTGGATGATGATGTGTATCTTTTCTGCAGGTGATCTTGTTTTTGCAATACTATTCAACTCCTTCCCTTGGATTGATATCTCCATGTATTGAGAGCAAAGTGTTCCGTTCTTTTCCACTGTTGCACTAGGAAGAAATATATTTCCGAGAGGAAGGTTGAATCTATTGGAATGGAAAATTTTTACAAAAACTGGTTGAGAGGAATGATCAATCTCACCAAAGAAAATATCTTTTGGAATATTACCTTGACGAGGAATGGTACTTATTTCGAAGAGATACTCTTTTAGTGTAACGGTAGTTGTCAATGACGTTTCTGTTGTTTTTTGCCAATGAATAACCAACTTGTCACCTTTTGAAAAATCAGATGTGGTAGATAGTGTGTTTGTTAGTCTCTTTCTTCCTATAGACTCTTGGGTTATTTGTTTAATCCACTCATTCTCTTCGAAAATTGTTTGTCTACTTGCTTCTAATAAAAATGAAATCAATGTGTCGAGATGTTGTTTTTCCTCTTCTGTTGAGGGTTCTATTGGGAAAACTCCAACGTTAAATAAGTGGTATTTGTAGTTGTTTGGGAATGAGAAAATTCTGGAACAAATGCCTTAATTCCAATCACACGAACAAATTTCTTTTCGGTCAATAATCCATAAGTTACCAAATCCTTGATTTCGGATACAGGCTTCATATTTTGGAGCAATGTACTGTAAAACATTCTTACATAGCCACGACTTTCAAAAAATTAGGATGGGCATAATTAAGGTCTACTTTTTCTTCTTGTACAAATTTTATCCTAATGTAGTCCAGGGATTCGAATCCAGAAAAGTAATCAGGGTTAGTTATACCCTCCAGTATCTCACTTACTTCCTTACAAAAGGAGTGTGAATGATGAATGATATTACTGATTGAGAGACATTCTTATTTGTCATGTTAGCGCAATTGTAAAATGAAACTTACGCATTCATTTTGAAGCCATATAGAAATGGCAGTTGTAATAATTTGTGATATTTGGTATTGATATGAAACAATTCACTACCTTCTCCTAACGAGTCTATTTTAGTTGGGTGTAGGCAATCTAATAACAGTTGATACGCTCCACTCATATTTACAAAATTAAACACTTCTTTGGCTTCAGTAAATCTTTCAATCACCAAACGAGAATATTGAAGATGTTGCAGATATAGGCTTTTTTGTCCTCTTTTTTGAAGCTGTTAATGTGGGTGGACATTTGCTCTATTGAATTTCTCAAATCGGTAATTATTGAAACTTTGCTCTTTGCCTTTTTGTAATTATGATCTTCATGCTCGGATATCCAAGTAACTTGAAGCAAATCCTCAGCGATACAAAGTTTATGATTGAATTCTTCGGAGCCTTCACTCCAAATATTTGTTCTCCTTCTGAATTTTCTTTGATGAATTTCCTCCATCTTGGCGTCGAAGGATTTGGTCATTTTTTTTGGCGGGTTAAGACTGCGTTGATAAAGAAATCATTTGGTGTAAGAAATATTATACAAGGTTTTGAACTTTGAAACATTTCAATGTGATGACTGGTCGTGAGTTTTGTGGATATGTCAGACACATAATTCACTTTGATAACAAGCTCGTTGTTGTAAGAAGAGATTGTTCGATTTTGTTCAAAATCAAACATCAGTTTCACTTCAAAAATAAAATCTCCAATCCGAAGATGATCTTGGCACCTTGCTGGATGGCTTGGCAAAAATCAAGCATCCAAAATTATCTTTCCGTTATAGAATTGATACAACGGATGTTGAAAGCGTGAGTGGTTAAATTTATTGATTTTCATCTTGTTTTGGGCGAGTCCAGCAAGTTTCACAGTTTTTAAGAACAGAATTTCCTATTTTTCATTGAATTCAACAATTTCCAACGAATTCTCTGACACACACATGTCGTTTTCATGACATGACCACCATGATTTAGGAATACAATTCCAATTGGAATACTCTTGTCAATAGACTTTCAGCACTCAACGGCAGTGCATTCATTAATCGAAATCCACAATAGACCCATGGGTTACTCAAGTCAATCACCTTTTGTCCTTGTATGAGACCATTGAATATTCTACGGGCAGCATCCGTGGAATAGATACTTCCAGGAATATTTTCTATATTTCTAATTGATTCTCCCATTTTAGTATCAATGACACCAGCTGGAGTAATGACATGAAATGAAACTTGATTACTATTGGCATATTTGCGAGTCCATTCTCTGAAAACTCTTACATTTTCAGAACTACTCTCTGTTAATAATTGAATTCCATTCATGGAAGTGCTTTCAATAATGAAATCCATGAGTCTGAAAAATTCAAAGAGAAAGGTTTTTGTAATTCCATAAGGACCCATCAATTTTCCAAAATATCCAACAGAGCTCGAAATGATGGCAATTTGTTTTGGAGAGTGAATTTGTGGATTTCTCAGTTTTTTCGCTTGTTTCAAAGCGGGAATCACTGTATTCAGTGTTCCATTAATATTGACTTGAAATTCTTTCCAAATGACATCTTCTTCGTCAATGACAACATCACTCGCACTGGTACTGGTCATTCCTTTTTGATCCACTTGCATTTCACGTGCAAGAATTTGAGAATTAGTTGCAGCACCACAAATCAGCAAATCATAATCTACTTCAGTGACGATACTTTCAATGACTTGTTCATTACAAATGTCACACTCTCGAACAATGATTTGAACCGAGTCCTCACGAAGAACACCTTCACTTTCAGCAATGATTTTCATCAATTCTTGTTGAACCTTTTCTAATTTGGAACGATTTCTTGACACGAGAGTGAGAGTTTTTGGGGAATTCACAGTAAGAGTCGTGTCGGATTCTTTTCGATCTCTGGCAATGTAGGCATTTCGTAACCAATGAACAATGACTTCACGGGCAAGGGCTCTTCCTAACCCTGTACTTGCTCCTGTGATACATACCGAGTCTAATTTATTGGAAGAGTTTGAATCAAGCTGGATTTGTACCACGTGGTTGTAAGCCCTTCTTGGTGAGTTGATAAAAGAATCGAAACGATTGAACGAGAAAAGCCAAAACGGAAAGAATGGGATAACAAATGAAAACAATGTGCAATTCGAGTAATTCTTTGAGGAGATGCCACAAATTTACAGGGTCATTGTTGTTGAATACAAAGTGAGTGAAATTCATCCACAGATGAAGAGGATTGGTTTCGAAAATCATTTTTTTCAAATGAGGGAAATTGCAATGAGTGGACAATGGTGCATGTTTCAGGAAAGTATTCGAATTTGTATCTTGACCTTTTTAAGGAAATGACCACAATGTTGACATGATGTGAAATTATCTTCGCTTAATACTTTGAGTACAAGAGTATAATTGAGCAAACCAATTTCGGGTTCAAGTTCAAGTATCATGGCCTCACAACTCTTCAAACGATCTTACAAATTACTTCCGAGAGAACCAATTTGTAGTGGTGTAGGAACGTGTTTGGAGAATTTAACATAAGCACTAATAATACAAATTGATGTTCATGGAAAAAGACTCCGGGCATAGAATACTATTCAATGAGAGTATGGCCAACTGTTGTTGATATTGTTGGTTAATTTAACAATAACATAACTCTAATACAATTGTTGTTCATCAATTCTCGTTCATGGAAAAAGGCTCAGCGAAGTGTTCATGAATCCATTGAGCTAGTCATCTCTCCAAAGAATACTTTTCAATTAGAGCATGCTGATTCAGGAACAGTTTTGAAAAGATAGAGAGATACTCCGTCGCAGATTCACCAATTTTAGCGTCGGATTAAGCATTAAAAAAATGCAACGCTGTGCAAGTCTCTATTGGCCACTGGTGGCTCTTGTACTGTTTTTAGTGACCACTCCGCATGTCTCACGTGCTGCCAATAGACATGAACCACACAAGAACACCATTCGTCCTTTCATTATTCCCTATGATCATTCCGATTATTTAAAATTACAGCATCGATTGAATGAGACTCTCTATTTGATGAAGACGGAATGGAAACAGTATGGAGCCTTCCATAGTTTATATTCTACTCCAGCCACGAGATGGGAAATGGGTACTGATCTGGATCAACTCATCGAGTTGGTTCAATATTGGCTTGATGAATTTAATTGGAAGCAACAAGTGGAAAAATTAAATTCAAAATTACCACATTTTGAAACGACTATAACTTTGGAAGATCAAGAGGATTTGATTCGTTTTGCATGGAGACAATCATCCAAACAATCCGATTTGCCATTGGATCAGAGAAAAGTCCTTCTCATTATTCATGGATGGCCAGGAAATGTTTGGGAATTTCACAAAATTGTGAACGAGTTGGTTGAAGAGAAAGGCTTTGATGTCGTGGCACCTTCCATACCAGGCTATGGGTTTTCTTCAGCTCCTAAAACGGAGGGTTATGATGTGAAAAAAGTGGCTTCTCTCTTTGTCAAGCTCATGAGAGAGCTCGGTTATGGCAAGTATGTCGTTCAGGGAGGAGATTGGGGAAGTTTGATTGGAGAGAATGTAGCTCGATTGGATTCGACTCATTGCATTGGTTATCATTCGAACATGTGTGTAACATTGCCTTATTGGCAAGATTGGCTTCAAGTTGCAGTAGACTCTGTGAAAAAGATCATCTATGGAACTCCTCTCATTGAGAATACTGAATCTTTTAGTTCCTTCTTATTGTATACTGTAAAATATTTTACTGCAGATGGTGGTTATCAACATATTCAATCGACAAGACCTGATAGTTTGGGAATTGCATTGTTGGATAGTCCTGTCGGTACGATGGCTTATATTTTAGAAAAATTCATTTCATGGACCGATATTCCACAAAAAGATACTTCTCAATTATTCACTCGAATTTCACGAGACGACTTTTTGACCATTGTCATGATTTATCAATCGACACGAACCATCGCCTCAAGTATTCGACTCTACTATTTTACCATGGCCAATAATGCTCAAAAGTCCTTTGGTGAAGACAAACCCTATCTCACAACACCCACAGCATGCGCAGTGTTTAAGGATTTATTTAGAGCCACTCGATATACTGCACAGAGAAATTTCAATTTGGTACAATTTAATCGATTTGAACAAGGAGGACATTTTGCTGCGTTGGAAAATCCAAAAGCATTGGTGCAAGATGTTGTTACCTTTGCAACAAATAGGTTTGACACTTCAATGGAAAGCAAAAAGAAGGAAAAGAACGAGTTGTAACAGTGACAGTTTTCTGCACAACAAGTAGGTACCTTTTTTTGATGTGCGAAAGGATGAGATACCCGATGACATTAAATTATCCATGATGATGAAGAATCCAAGACTACATCTTTGTAAACTCGAGCTCCAACAGACAAAAAAAATGATCCAAAACGGAAGACGGCTCATTTCATCCTCCTCACAGCAAGAGCAACGAAGAGTGGCAGCTCAATTGCTCTTCTCTTCTTGCCTATCATCAGGCAACACCAGTAATTTGAAATTGATGAACAATTCCAAATCGTTAGGAATGAATCATCCAACGAAATATTCGTTTCATACAAGTGCCATGACTGGCTTGAATAAGGATGAATTGTTGTGTCGAGTCATTCCATGGTGAGAGCCTATAGAAATTACGGACATCTTGAGGCTGATATTGATCCTCTCGGAATTAATACTCCCAAAAAGTAGGTTGACACTTTCAAGTTATTCCAATGATTTCATTCTGAATACTTTTCTTTTGAATATCGATATATGAATGAATATATCGTTACTCTGATCATCACTCCTGATTTCTCTTTGTCCAAATATTTATTTGTAAAATCAACGATTTTTTCATCATGTCATCTTTTATACAAAATTATCTTCGGGTGAAATTCATCATCCTCACTTACCACACACACAGAGGAAGCACCATTGAATTAAATCCTGCCATATATCATCTGAAAGACATAGACCAAGTCGGATCCACTGCCGTTGATATTGATGGAATTGTTCATATCGGAAGTGCTCAATTCCCAAAGAAAACAGCAACCATTCCAGAAATTGTGAATCATCTCAAAGATGTCTATTGTGGAAATATTGCTGCTCAATTTTCTCATTTGGAAACAACCAAGGAACAATTGTGGTTGGCTAAACAATTGGAAGCTTTGCAAAGCGAAAATATGTCATCGCAAGAACAAAAGAGAGCAATGAAATTGATGGTTGAAAGTGAAGCTTTTGATCATTTCATGGCAAGAAAATTCCCTGGTGTGAAGAGATATGGTTTGGAAGGATGTGAGTCCATGATTTATGCTATGGATGTTGTGATGGAACAATTAGCACAAGACAACATTTCAGATATTGTTCTTGGCATGCCTCACAGAGGTCGTTTGAATTTATTGACTGGCTTGTTGAATTTCCCAGCTCGTGCCTTGTTCCACAAAGTGAAAGGAGGTTACGAATTCCCTGAAGAATTGATTGCAACTGGAGACGTTCTTTCTCATCTTGGTATTAGTACTGAACTTGTTTATGGTGACAAGAAAGTTTCCTTGTCCTTGTTGAACAATCCTTCTCATTTGGAAGCTATTAATCCTGTGGCTCTTGGTAAGACACGTGCCAAGATTAGTCACGGTAAGAATGCTGCTTGCATTTTAATGCACGGAGATGCTTCATTTGCTGGACAAGGAATTGTTGCTGAAACCTTCACCTTGTCAAGATTACCATTGTTCAAGACCGGCGGTACTATTCACATTATTGTGAACAATCAAATTGGTTTCACTACTGCTCCACATCTTTCAAGAAGTACTAGATATTCTGGAGACGTTGGTAAGATGGTTGGATGTCCAATCTTGGCTGTTAATGCTGAAAATGTTGATGATGTCAGAAAAGTCATGATTATTGCTGCCAAATACAGAGCCAAATTCAACAAGGACATTATTGTGGAATTGTTTGGTTATCGTCGTCATGGCCACAATGAATTGGACGAACCATCTTTCACACAACCAAAAATGTATCAAGTCATTCGATCCAAACAAACCTTCCCAGTCGCTTTCTCTGAACAATGTGTGAAAAATAATGTCACAACACCACAAGAAGTGTCCAAGATTAGAGAAAACTATACTCAACATTTGGACAATGAATACAAGGCTGTTGATACTTACAAGCCTGAGAAACGTTATTTCTTGGGAGATTGGCACAATATTATTCAAGCTACTGACTTTTCGAAACTTTCTCTTCCAATTACTGGTTACAATATGAAGAGATTGAAGGAAATTGCAATTGCTAGCGTTACTATCCCATCTGGATTCAATGCCACAAGCACTTGGAAAAGTATCACATCAGTCAACGTTTGCAATCTCTTCAAAAGGATGAAAAAGATATCCACGTTGATTGGGCTACCGCTGAAGTGATGGCATTTGGTTCCCTGCTCGATGAAGGTTACACTGTCAGATTGAGTGGTCAAGATGTTATTAGAGGTACTTTCAACCAAAGACACTTGGAATTTGTTGACCAAGAAAATGAGTCAAGAATTCTTCCAATGCTTGGCGCCATTCCAGGAGCTAAGGAAAGATTTGAACTTGGTCAGTCACCACTCTCTGAATTTGCAGTGATGGGCTTTGAATATGGCTACACTATTGATAATCCAAACAAGTAAGTTCAACACAATGTGTATGATTCATTTCACACTATTTTCAACATTATTTACAGCTTCTCTGTCATGGAAATGCAATTTGGTGATTTCTTTAATGGTGGTCAAATTATTATTGACACCTTCATTGGAAGTGGTGAAGATAAGTGGTGTTTGTGCTCTGGTTTAACCTTGTTGCTCCCACACGGTATGGATGGAGCTGGTCCTGAACACAGTAGCGGTCGTATTGAAAGATTCCTTCAATTGTGTGACAGTGACATTAATACTGACGAGTTGGTCCAGAAGCGAGTCAATATGTGTGTCGTTAATTGTTCGACTCCTGCTAACTATTTCCATGTGTTAAGAAGACAAATGAAGAGAAAGTTCAGAAAGCCATTGATTGTCTTTACACCAAAGATTTTGTTGAAGAAGAAGGAATGTGTCAGTAATTTGGCTGAATTCGCTGAAGGTACCATTTTCCAAAGAGTGTTGACTGACGACTACAAGCACAAGGATTTATCTAAGGTCAAGAGAGTTCTCTTCTGCAGTGGTAAGATTTATTATGACCTTTTCGAAGAAAGAGCAAAGAGAAATATGGAAGAGCAAGTTTTGATCATTAGATTGGAACAATTGAGTCCATTCCCATTCGAACAATTGTATGAAGTTATGAATAACTGGAATAAGGAATGGATGAAGACTGTTGAGTGGACCTGGGTTCAAGAAGAACATGAAAATATGGGTGCATACGTAAGTACTCATTCTATTTGATATTTTGCTTAATATTAACATGCACAATATTCAATTTAGACCTTTGTTGCTCCAAGACTTAATAAGGCAATTAACACAGTCATTCACGGTGACAATAGATATAACTTGATTGGATATATTGGAAGAATTGCAGCATCAGCACCAGCCACCGGTTTGAAGTATGTTCATGAAGCAGAAGTGAAACACATCATGAACTCTGCTTTTAAGTTCTAAGTCAATACAATCATAGGTCGTTTCTAAATGCTGAATAAATTCTAGCTTTTTAATATATCGAGCTTAGTCCACTTTTCCTAGGTATATTTCAAGATTGGCCAAATTACTTGCTAGTGTTGTTAATTCCTTCTCCATGGCATAGGTCGTTTCTAAGTGCTGAGGAGCAAATTTGTAAGCTTCCACACCGTATGATGCCGTGTCATTCACAGGCACACAATTTTCTTTCAACGGAAATCCTCGTCGCATTACTTTTTTCAAAGTGTAAATATCTACATAAGTTCCAGTCTTTGAAATAAAACGATATCCTTCCTTGACATATTCGTACACAAACCTGATCGTGAATTTGAGTGAATATTCGAAATAAATTGTCACAGTAAATGAAATGATCCAGTTAATTAAGCACACATATGATTCACATAAAAAAACTCCACAATAATGACACATACTCACAAGCCAACATTTCCAACATTGTCAACGGACTTCCACCATAAACGCCACTCAACGATACCGTCCTCACATTGGATTTGAATGGCATATCCTTTTGTGGTAATACATAAACCCCCAATGATTTAATATCTTTCCATACAATTTTTTCCGTTTCCTTTACTTCCATCTTTTCCAAAACATTTGTTTTTACCACATCAGCGACCACATGTATTTCAAATTCTTTTGAAAGAGATAGTGAAGAAACCACGGTAGCATCTTCGGATTGTATAGTTGATGATTGTGGTGGAGGAAGCGATGAAAGAGTTTTATATACATTGGTCCATTCTTTGAAAGGCTTTTCTTTGGTTCCTAAAAGTCCAGTTAATCGTTCCATCATGGGTTTTAATTGATCATCACTAATGATCCCTGAAATTTTAATTTCATTCACCGTCGTATTAGTCGGAACGGAAGAAAAATTCATGATGATCAACGTGTTGTCGGGTATTTTTTTTGCAAATTATTTTCTCAACTTCATAATTTTCTCCAATTATTGATCTAATAGTATTTGCAAACCATGACTTGTTTGGAAACAATTATTCATTATTTAACATGTGAATTAATGGTGGGATGCTTATAAAATATAGTTTTTCAATAGATGTATTTTACTCCACAATACTCTTCATAAAATTCAAAAATCTTCCTGCATACATATTCGGATCAACCACACTAATTCCACTCTCCTCTCCAAAATAGATGGTCTTGATTAGATTTTCACCTCTCTTTTTCAAACCATACTGAATGAGAATGTCAATGATGGCCACAAAATAAATTTCTTCTCCTTGATTCGTCGAAAGCATGCCTCCATAATCTTCTTGATAGAACGTTCTGAATGATGATGAAGGAAGTGTGGTATAGATGGGATCTTGGTAGTGGATTGGTTTTTCACGGAATTTTTTCGTTTCATGAATACCAACGAGGAGAGAATAGTCAATAATTTCATTGCGTTCGAGGAATTTTGTGTCATCCATGATTTGTTTCAACAAGCGTTCTTTTTTGAGGGGATCTTGAATGCGCATGGTCTTGTCAGTGTCTTTCCAATTTAAATCTTTCAAAATTCCAACTCCTGTGGAATTGTATCTTCCAATAGTGCTGCCTTTTAGGTCATAAATTTTGTCAATGGGAAGTTGTGTATCGAAAACATTGCCCATGACAATGAAACAAATATCATTAATTTTGTACAGTCCATAAATTTTGGTCAATAATGTTTCTCGGTTATTGTACAAGTAGGAATAATAATTTCCTAAAAATTCCATGGTTGTTTCAAATTCGGCTGAGGATATGGTTTTGCATAAAAATCGACCGTTGTGAGTATAGAAAAAGAAATTACCACTCTTTCCATCAGTTAAGCGCTCGCTTAGGGTGGTTAATTTACCCATTAATAAGTTACTGAAAAGCATTTCTGGTCCAAATGAAAGTGCATATTCCTGAAGTGTGAAAAATAGAAAAAATAAAACAATCAATTAAGTAAATAGGTGTAATAATATTGACAATATGTCCGCAAAAAAAACTGTTAATACTGTGTGTGTTATAGTTGCTACTTACCTCTTCACTCACTCCAAAGAGAGCTCGAATATTCTTAAACACAAGAGGAGCACAATCAGTAAATGTTGTCTGTTCATCAATGTACTTGGTGTTGGGATCATCAAGATTATAGTGGATAGGTGGTTGGATACATCTTAAAAATTTTGGTGGCGTAAGTTCAAAGGTGTTCATAAATTTAAAATCTCTATCGGTCAAGTATGGACCTGATATGCTTGGCCGTATTTCTTGAGAAAGACGAATTCCAATCATCATTGATAACACTTTGTGGAACGAAGGATGGCCGAAAAACACAGGTTGTCCTCCGTTTCTTGATAAATTTCGTGTTAGCTTGAGTTTTAACGAGTCATTAATAGGTATTTGTGAAAATCCTAGTATTAAGAATGGATTCTCCTTCACCGCTTTGCAATATTCTGCAACAGTGATCGAGCCATTATTCGTTTGATCGATGCTTGAAAATATTTTCTCTGCAATAGTGACGGCATGTGACAATATTTCAGAATGGCCAACAAGTAAAAAACTGGATGGAGAATTAGATCCATCGGTGGTTGCATTTTTGTAAAGTCCAATAAAGTCAAGTGTCGAGAAAATTTGCTGAAACACAGTGATAAAATCTTGTTTTGTGGCAATTCCGTCATTGTCTCTGTCAAAAATGTTGAAACCAAGTTTTGCTTGTTCCTCTACCCCAACGTTAGAATAGAGCGTTGAGGCTGATTCTTTAAAATCAAATATTTCAATAGATCCGCTCTTGTTTAAATCCAGTGCATTAAATAATCGTCCGGCAAATGTTGGCTGTATTTTAGACTTTTTGATGGTAGGATACGGAGCGTTAAAGTCAAACATGAAGGTTCTATCAAAAGCTAACAGCGACAAGTGTTGCGTAAATTCACACAAATCCAAATAGCTATCCTTGGATTGTGAATCAATGATGTGGAACACAAAGGTCAAGTATTTGTGTTCTTCTTCAGAAAATTTGTTGGTAAGATCTCGTTTGTTGATACTACTAATCATTCGTTGTGATAGTGATCGTCGATGTTCGCTGCTGCTTGGCTTTGCAGTTCCTCTGGGAGAAGTGAATAAATCTTTGGCAGTTGTTGTTGTTAAACGAAGTGAAAGTCTGGGGTTGCTTGCATGTGAATTTGACGATGAAAGATCCTCAGAGCTGCGTTGTGACCGATTGACAAATGGTCTGGGAGTAGCTACGGATGTAGTGTTGATGTTGTCCTTATCAGTTGTCGTTTCCGGTAAGCTACTGGATGAAGTCATTAAGGTGTTACTATTTGGAATCGTTTCTGAGAAAGAAAGTGACTGTCGTGAGGACGAAATTGCTGCTGAGAAGGAGTTAGTTTTTCGAATTGCTGTGTTATTACTATTTTCAAGATTTTTGTTGATAGCATCGTAGTAAGCAATTTGTTGTTTCACAAACGTCAAATTTTCCAAGGTTTGTTGCTGGTCACTAAGCGATGTCATGGGCGGTTCTTGTTGTATATTGTCACTTTGTGAAGATAATTTCGATGATGTCATTTCAGAATTTTTTGCAGACAATTTCGAAGGCAGTTTGGGTGGTGCTTTTGAACTTGCATTGTTTGGGCTTGTGTTTGAATTACCTGTGGTTGCTGAGCTACTAGCAGCAGCCGCCGAAGATTTTAAATCTGAAGGTGATGATATACTGCTACTTTTTTTTAAAGGTGGAGGAGTTCTTCTTGGTGAGGAATTTCTTGTATTTACATTCACTGTTTCTAATTGTTTGGGTTGAATGATCGATTTGTTTAGAGGTGTTGTCGTCTTGTTGGAATTTTGAGTATTGATTTCTGATGATGGTTTCGTAACTACAGGTTGCATTGTTGAGATCGTCTTGTTGTTATCAAATTTTTGATATTTCTGTTCGGTTTTGTCAAAGCCTTCACCCAATAACAATCCACCTCCATTTCCGATATTTCCATAATTTTGGTTTGTTGATGAAGATATGGATGGATAAATATTTGAAGAAGGATGAACATTTGGATTGTAGAGCCATGATGGTATTGATTCTTTTTCATGATGATTCAAGTCCTTTGAGTGATCAGTTAAAACTTTTCCTGAATCACTTCCTCCTCCGAAATACGATCTCTTATCATTGAATATGATTTCACTCCGATACAAACACTCCCTTGCAAAATAAAATAATTGATCCGTTTTCAACTGAACATCTTGAGAATACAAATCCACATGCGAAATATTCATCGGAATGGTTAATTCTCTCAATTGTGAAGTGATCAAATCAATACAACACAAATACTGAGCAAAGGCTTCTACATAGTGCTTTTCATCTTCAAATTTCAAAGCAAAAGATAAAGATTCCCGTACTTGATGATTAGACATCCATGAACAGAATAATAGGTAATTCCGATTAGACAATGCGATGATAATAAAAGTTTTTTTTTGAGATTTTAAAATAGCATTCCTTGTTGGACTTGGAATTTCGAATAGAGTTGAACTTTTGGGTGTTACATTGGAGTTAGAAGAACGATTCCATTGTATTTCCTTGGATCGTGGTAAACCTTATCCAACAACATTTATTACAGGAAAGATGATATTTAACGGCTGTTGCTGTTGATTGTATTCTTCCGTATGATTCATATCCGAAAAAAATGTTTACCTCCAATCAAGAGGACGTTTTTCCTCCAACCCCCACTCGGAAAGGTGCTGCGGGAAGTATTAACTCTAGTTCCAATCATCATCATGGACAAACATTGAAAAAATCAATTTCGTTGGATTCCATTCAATTGACGTCTTCATCCTCTTCGGAGAGTGATTCCGATCGTGAGGAACATGTCGTCTCATGGTCGTTAAATCCGACCAACAGTAATAAGGGATCACCAAGAAGAAGAAATGGAGGAGAAAATTTAGAGGATTTTGTACGGAGTAGTAACAGTGGCATGAACAATAATAGAATTCCAAGTGTCGATTCTTCAAGTGATACGTTATCAATGTATGGAGGAGGTGTACCACTCTATTTACCTGCAACTTCAACGGAAAGCGATCGAAGAGAATTGAAATATTTGAAATACAAACGGAGATATAAATCACCAAAACCCAATGAAGTGAGAAACAAGACAACAGATCAATTGATTCGTTTGGGTTACTCGATGCGAAAGGAGAATATCAAACGTTCTATTAAGGAGATTGCAAAACATCCTGGAAAAACCATTGAAAATATTCAAGCAAAGAACGTGAAAAAGTCTCTCATTTCCTTTATCAAATATTTACCACATATCATTATTTACTTTTTTGTGATTATTATTTATTTTCGAGACGTCATTTTGAATTATTTCCGATTTTCGCAGTGGCCATCTATTATTTTCATTCCATTCATGTTGGTGATTGGAATTCAAATTCATGCATGGGTCATTTGGTTCAAAGAAGTTTTGAATATTGTCATATTTTATAATTTAATTTCGTTTGCAATTTTGGGATGTGCAATACTGTACTTTGGTGACTGGATTTTAGTACATTTATTTCCCAAATACACGGCTCAAGCTCTTGACGGACACATTTTAGAAACAACGCTTACCAAGTTTTATTCTGTTCCAGTAACGCACAGTTTTGACATTCCAATGTTTAGTTTAATGCCCTTCTATAACAAAACAACTCCTATTTATTTAAAAAAGCTTAGACAGAAAGCGGAAATGACCGGTTACGTCTCGTATGCCATTGAGTCACAAAATAACACATCCGTCGAAGAAAAGGACGAATTACTCGACGATAAGGATTTAAAACGGCTCAAAAGAAAGCTCCTCTACGATAAGCAACATCAATATCCTTTTGATTTATTCCGCAAAATTGGAAAATTAGTGACCATTAAAAAGAAAGGTAGACTATCAATCAGTGACGAAGAAATGTTGGAACGAATTGCCAAGCTGGCAGAACGAGGAATGCGAGATTTGGATGACACTGATTACGGTAGCGATCTCATGAAACAAATTACTCCCTACAGAGATTGGTTTCCAATTCACAAAAATTGTCGTGTCACTTTATATCACGATGCACACAACTCGTTCAATGGCAGAAACGCCTTCGAAGACATGTACGACGCCATTGAAAATGCCAAACAGCTGGTCTACATCACAGGATGGTCCATCAATCCTCATATCCGTTTGAAACGAGACGCTCTTGAAGATTCCAAGGAAGCGCGAACTCTTGGACAATTACTTATTGATAAGGCCAATGAAGGTGTTGCTGTAAATATCATTCTATGGAATGAAACAGGAAGTACCATCTCTTCAAACATGGATACCAACGATGGAGAGACTATTCAATATTTCCAAAATACTCGAGTGGTCGCTGTTCTTTCACGACGATCAGGATATACCGGACTCATCTTTTCACACCATCAAAAAACCTTAATTTGTGACAAATTTATTCCAGAAAAGAACAAGAGAACGGTCATAGCTTTTAGTAAGTTTCCAAGTATCATGTTACAGCATTGGGTTTAACACATGTAAATTTGTCACGATTCACAAAACATAGTTGGAGGACTTGACTTGACCAAAGGACGCTACGACACACCAGCTCACCCTCTATTCTCAACTCTGGATACTTATCATAAAGATGAAGTTTACTCGTCTCGCCCGCTCGAAGTGAAACATTTAGGACCACGACAACCTTGGCATGATATTCATTGTTTGGTGGAAGGAAAAGTTGCATTTGACATTCTACAGAATTTCGAAGAACGATGGACTTCTCAACTTGGGGTCTCATTGCCTAAACGTCCACCGACCTATGCTGAAAATTTTAAGGAAAACTCGTGGTGTGTACAAGTTTTTAGATCGTGTGACTCTGACTCGATAAGACCTTTCGCCAACAGTTTTACCGTGTTTCCAAGAATTCAAGAAGCATACATTAGTTTGATTCAAAGATCCAAGAGGTTTATTTATATTGAAAATCAATACTTTTGTGGATCGAGTTTTTTATGGGAGAATCGATTGGATGCTCAATCATTGAATAATAGAATACCTTTTGAAATTCTTGAAAAGATTCATGAGAAAATTCAAAGTGGAGAACCGTTTACAGTGTTTATTGTTATTGTAAGTAGGAGTATTGCTTGTGTTCTTGTGAATCAAGAAATAATTTATTTTTCTATAGCCATTGTTGTAAGTATTTCCCAGCGTTTAAGGTTATTTCATGATGACAAAATGATTACCATTTGTAATGATCCAATAATCAATGCCTTTGACTATAGCCCTGATGGATTTAATTCGCCAGAGAATCAATTTCAACAAGAACAAATTTTCTTCACCTATTCAACGATTAAAAGCATGTACAAGGTTATTGGTGAGATGATTGAAAAAACACAAATGAAGAGTTATAGACCTACCGATTTCTTAAAATTCTTTTGTTTGGGACAACGAGAAGAATGTGAAAACTTGCAAGAAAAACTTGAGACCGTGACCAAACATTCACCACAATACAAAATGCTCAAAGCACAAAGAAGTATGATTTACGTGCACTCGAAAATGGCCATTTTCGATGATGAATATATTTTAGTGGGCTCTGCCAACATTAATGAGAGAAGTTTGGCTGGTGACCGAGATACTGAAATTTGTATTGGGGCTTTTCAACCACGAGAAGACTCCTCCAACGAATCTGAAGCTTGTGAAATTAAGAAATTTAGAAAAAATTTATTTTGTGAACATTTGGGACGAAATTCTGAATGTAATGATTGGGAGGATCCGCTTGATTTGTTCACACAACGTAAAATTGATGAAATTGCAGAAATTAATTGGGAAAGTTTTACAGCCGAGGAATTTACACCCATGCATTCACACTTGATGCATTATCCAGTACTAGTTGAAAATGATGGAACTGTGAAGCCGAGAACCAAATACTTCCCAGATACGAGAGGAAGAGTAGAAGGAGTGAAGAATTGGTTATCTCCTGATATCTTAACGCAATAGAATCGTAGTTTTATTAAAAGTATTTGGATCATTGCAAGAGGTAAGGAGGGCAGAAGTGTTTGTGCGCATCGGACGAACCTTGTTGTAAATAATCCATTAAAAAAAATTAAGCTCACACGAACACTTCTTTCACTGATGAAATATCATATCGAATATTGTACTGCCTGAGGTTTGTATTCGTGTTTGTAACCGACGACGTTTTTTTTCAAAACAACAATCATCATCAAGGATACGCCTCTCGCTTCCGTAACGCCAAAACATACATTGAAAAGCATGTTCCTGGTGCGGTAGTAGAGGGTAACACCAAGACCAAAGCACCAAGAACCGGTGCCTTCGAAATCACTGATGAGAATGGCACTCTTTACTTTTCCAAATTGGAGACCGGAAACCATATCACCGAACAAGATTTGGAAAAGATTGTTGAAAAGATGAAGCAATAAGTTTCATCTTTGTGATGTTGCATTGTGAGATCGTGATTGATTTGATGTCATTGAACGTTTTTATTGGACCATTTGACGTGTCTCTAAATGCACATCCAACAATACTCTTCGAGTTCATTATGATTTTGAGGAAGGTGTGAATGACAAGGGGAGGTAGTCTGGTATAATGACGATCCTGTAACCTTGAATGATCAGAGTCTGCATCCTATTTAGATCAACTCTGAGGGGTTCTGGAACTGAAAGATCAGGTATCGCCCGGCGTTGTTTGTCATTCTTTCAAAATAAATTGAATGAATTCCCAAAAACGATTTTTGTTTTTACTGAAAGTGTTTAATTCAAAGCAACATCAAGGCATTCAATGATCGAATAGCAAAACGTCACCTGTCGTGATCTAAAGAAAATATTTATTTTTCACTACTTCATTGCCTATCTTAATGCTCGTCGTATCTCAGACTTTAAGCCACTATAAATTCATTCTCCAGAAAATTCACAAATGTTGGCTCCAATTCAAACCTAAACACACGAGACAATCTCACTATTTCTTCATGAATATTCTGTTTTGTTTCTGGATGAATGAGGTCACTGAATGTTTCTAAAAACTTCATTTGTCGTGTTTGATTTAACAAACTTGGGTTTTGTTCTTGACTGGTTGGCCCCATTATTTTCATTAAGGATGGAGTCGATGAGTGATTACCGCTCGGGTAAGCTAAATTCGCTGCTACCCAATCAACAATCAACTCTGTGACATATTTGAGTGGCATTTTCATAGGTTTGACTTTTCCAGTCGAAGTATCCACACTAATCCAATACTCCAAATGGTGTGGATTTCTGTTTTGATGATACAGGAATCCATATTCTTCTTCTTGGTGATCATCTTGGTTGTTAACCTGTTCTTTTGTCATCATTTTGGAATTAAAATTCATTTGAGCTTGAAGAAGCTTTTTTGTTTTCTTGAAATATCCACGCCATTCGCTTGGTGTAAATTTCGACCAATCATGAACCAGTAATTGTATCCATGACAAACCCATTTGATATCCAACAGTGGCAATGATCAACTTGTGATAAATAATTGTGCTAAAGAGCACATAATGGACATGAACATGAAACGGAAGCAATTGTTTGATCAATCCCGAAATGAGTTCGTGCAAGAAGGCGCCAACGAACAGCAGTTGTCGCATTTTTTTTGAATTTCTTGATACATGAAATTGTAAATAGGATTCAACAACCTCCTAAACGTCATGAGTGCGAAGAGTGTCCTTCTAATGTCTTTGACATTATGTGTGTGATTGGAAATTCCCTTCACAACATATGCAACCATTTCTTGATTTCTTCGAGTGGTGTCATCTAAGATGAATGATCACTACTAAATTTCCATAACGCGAAAATTGCTTTATCCATCTGTTTCGATCCATCCATTCTGAGTCGATGGTTGTAATGACGTCGTATATGGTCGGATGGTATCTCAAAATTAACGACGAGCTATTTCTCATCATTCGGTGGCATGTCCATGGTTCATGTGGTTGAGACCAGAATTCGAGGGAATTGCGTGGATCAGCGAGAAATTGTTGAACACTTTCCGAGTCATGATCATTTTGTGTTGAAAATACTGCAAATCTAGTAGTTCGTGTTCTTAAAAATTCACAAATTCATTGTTGAACTATTTCTTGAGTGTTAATACCAAACACTACGATGTTGTGATGTTGTAATAAATCACACAAATCATGCACAACATCCAACTTGACTTCCACTGAATGGCATGATATTTTGAATTGCTTGATATCCATAAATTATACACTTCGTCGCTCAATAACTATATAGTTTTTCATAAACTTTTTCACAATATTAGAAATTTGAGGATCTGAAAAAGGCGAGCTTGATGAAGTCGATCAACATCATTTGATGAAATTTGGCATTTTGTGGTAGGAGTTTCAATCAAATTATCGTTAACTTGAAAACTGGAAAGATTATCACTATTTGACTAACGAAAACAAGTATTGATTTGCAATAGTTGTACCAAGTGAGAAAACTATTATCCATTGTGGAGGGCCTGGACAAATTCTCAAGCTTTGATCAAACTTCACCAGCATTGAATTGGTCTTGAGCTCTGTCAAGAACACGTTACAACAGGATGGCTCGCTCCAGCCTCAACAAACAGCAAAAAGACCATGTCCATAATTATTGTTCATTGAAGACTAATAATTAAGCATACGACTGTCATTTCTTGAACATGCAAGAAGAGAATACTTTTTGAAACGTATCACAAGTTCAACCGATTCGACAAACATTATCTGATGGAAACAGATCATTGATCTTTGTTTGAAATTGACAAACAAACCACCAGAAATTGGTGGATGAAGATCAATTACATATTGGCGAGTTGTAAATGGAATAACACTTGTCGAAAATGATTAAGTTTTTACAAAATCATTGTTTTGGATCATGCAGCCAGTTTGAAAATTGAGTTGGATATGATGTCAATGCGTAGGAAGAAAATTATTCTATCTCCAATTAATACACAATTTCACATGTTTTTCTTTGGCCATCTTTGTAATCTCATCCTTAACATATAGTGGGACCGTTTTCTTTTTAGTATATATTGTAAGCCTTTCTATTGATTTAATTTGAAGTGCAAACTTAATGCCATTGCTGTTGATGTTAGACCTCCATAATGTGAGATCATGAATACGAAGATTTCCATTTGAAAGAAGTTCCATAGCTTTGTCTGTTACTTGATCGAGTTCGAGTTGCAATGTGTGCGGTAAATATGTTGTAGCAAAAATACCTATACCATCACTGGGTATTTTACTAGCTAAACAAAGATTCTTTAGATTTCTTAATTTTCCTTTTGCAAAATATTTTAGGTCAGTATTACTAATTTGGTAATTAATTAAAGAAAGATCTGTAAGAGTTTCCATCATAAATAAATATTTTGCTCCTTCAGAACTAACATTCCGAATACCAACATGTAAAGTCGTCAGGTGTTTCAATTTAGTAATGTGCTTGACACTTGATCCGATATTACATTCTGTTATATCGAGAGTAGTCAGAGTTGAAAATTTATCACAAAATAATTCAAGTGAATTCGTGTCAATATTTCCATCAAATACTATAAAAGTCTTTAAATCGTCTATAATATCACATATGTTCACAATATGACTGCTGTTGCAATAGGGTAGAGTTAGATGCTGTGTATTATAGGAAGTAAGATAATGCAAAACATGATCAGTAATCTGATATTTAGTGCTTTCAGAAGCTTGGTAATAGAAGCTATTAAAAGTGGATAAATGAATTTTTAGTTTGTGGAGTGATGGAATTTTGTCAATTAAGGAAAACTGAGATCCATTTTGTGAAAACAAGGCAAATCTTTCAGTAATGAATAATTTTAGAGTATAAAATTGAATTCCACTATTAAGTATTCTTTTTAAGCTCATTATGTCCAAATCAATGTCTATAAATTCAAGGCTTTGCAATTTTGGAAATCTTGAAGAGTCGAAATTGTTAATTCTTACGATTTCCATGGAGTAATGTGGATCTGTGAGTTCAAGTGAAAGCACTTTCAAATTTGAAAGACATACGTTGGGCTGAAATAAATTATTGATACCCTTACTTGTGAATCGATGGCTTGATATGATTAATGATTCTAGTTTTTCTGATAACGGAGTTTGTAAAATTATTTTGATCAACTTGTCACCGTTGCAATTATTGTAGGTAAGTTTTAAGGATTTTAGGGAAGGAAAATGTTTTGAGATAGCTTTTACGTCATTCGAAGATAGTTTAACCCCGGTTACATTGAGTTCTGTTAACGATGCATTGGAAATGAATTGAATAGCTGATACATATCGTAATGTCAATGTTGATATTTTAGTCGATGTAAATATAGAGTAAAGATGAGATTTGTTAATTGTGAAGTGCTCGATATACACTTTGTCGAACAATAAGAACACATCTCCGAATTTGGTTGGCAGTTTTTGTTTAGATAAATCAAACAACTCGAATACTAGTCGAAAAGTAATATCATGCCGAGAGGACTTGACAATACGTCTCCATGATGAACAAACTCCAGCAAATCTAATAACGTCATTTTGATTTAAATACGGAATAATGTGGTAACTGATGACGTTTGCATCAATGATCGAATGGTTGTGGTTGTTTTCAGCCACTTCAAGATTCTCTTTGACAGGGAAGAAATAGCGAAACAAATTCATTTTTTTTCCATAATGTCAGTCGAAGCGGAGTAACTGGCCCGTGTCAAGTTTTGATGATGATCCATATGTTATCAAGAACTAAACACCACAATTCTTCATCTTCTACCAACGTTTTAAATCCACTTTTAACACCGGAATGCAAAGAAGAAGTATCTGCTTTGTCAATAGTTTTCAAGTACTTTCCACGAAAGAGAGATCAGACACAGAATTTGTTACACAAGTTTTGTATTACTTTTCCAGGTGGTTTGGAAATGCAAGCGATGCAATTTAAAATGGTCAAGGAAGGAAAAGGGAAAAGTGATCCATCAAATTATAATTAAGTAGTAGATTCATTCATTCACTCAGCTAATACTTTTCTTGTCTTGGATTCAAAATACTTTTTCAGCTCCAATTTAGGGTAAATGGTATTTTCTTTTTTACACACCACAAAGTCCTCTCCTCTCTCAATAATCTCTACCGAATGATTACCATGAATTGAAATTGTAAATTTGTGTTGAGCTTGGCTATTTAAAGGTCGTTTGAGGTCTTTGAGAAGTTTTTCAGGGAAAATTGAGGTTAAAGGTGTAACATGCTCTTTCAACACATCGAAAGCAGTTTTTCCTGCCTTATTTCTCGTGATTTGAAGATGTAGTCCCTTATTTAACATGAAACCAACTATTGGCATTAATGATTCAGTTTTTTTTCTCAATAAACGTTTCACAATAAAATGTGACAAGTCATCTCCTTCCTCAAATTCTTCGTCTAATTCTCCTCGTTTCTTCAATTCTGGAAATTCTGTTCGATTCAAACGAAATTCAAGAACCTCTTGATTTTGATGCTTTTTCAAAAAAGTTTGTACTGAAACCAATACCAATTGCTTGGGATTTGGTTGGTCTTGTGTTTGTTGTTTGTTAATATATTCGAATCCTATTGGGAAAAGATCTTCCTTTAAAACCTCAAATTGTGGATAGGATACGAAATTAGTGATGAACGCAAAGATATGCATTAATCGATTCCAACCAAAATGATCAAAATATGCCAAGTAATCAAAACTAGGTAGTATTTGGTTTGTAAGTAATTCTCGGTGAATTTCCAATAAACTGTTTGTCAAAGTATGAAGAAGAATCACATTGTCCTTGTCATTACAGGTCACACATTCACGTAAATCATTTCTAACTGAGAATAATCGTGTTTTGTAGTGACACCAATGTTTTCCGTTTTCATCCCTTGCATCAATATTCGGATAATGTTGTGATTGAGCTGTTGCGTTAGTAAACTTGAGTAATATTCTTGATGGAGTCCATTTAAGCCCGTGGCATTCTTTCATCCTGTTTTTTAAACTTGCACAATGATAATTCGGGTGGTACGTTAAAGTGAATGAAATTTCTTCGTGTCTGAATGAATGTTGTAGCACATCAATCATAAATGGTGTCACACCGAAATGATTGGGTTCATGAAGAAGTTTTGATATAGCCTCTTCTTCCAAGTTTAACGCTGATTTTTCTGTGGTTAATAATGCTATTCTGAAAAAGTAGCAATAGTGTAGTATGTTGTTTCCATACATATCTTTTAAATAAGGATCGACTTGTAGATTATTGAATATGGTTTGAATTGAGGACTTCAACGAAATATATTGTAGAGGAAATGGAATACCAAATTTTTCTGTCTCTTCACTGTGGTCGTTGAAACCTTTGTTTAACGAACTGTTTTCAAGTTGATAAGAACCAGAAATATTTTGGTTCTTGGTAAAATCATATCCTTGAATATGTGTTTTTACAAAATCAATCATAAAATCTGAAAGCACATAGAGTAGTGAACATCCATAATGACCAATGTAAACACCATATTGATCAATCAATAATTTCAATAGTTCTAAATTCTGGTTATCGCTCATTGAGTTTAAAAATTGAATGCTTAAATTTGGCATTATATCTTTTGGATCTAGAATACCATATTGTTCCACAATTTTGAGTTGCTCAACAGAGTTAATGCTCAACCGCTGATCACTATGCCCTTGTACTTGTGTTTTATGTGAGCTAACACGGCTATTGTGTCACAAAATTCATTATTTATCGAATTAAATTCGAATGACTCGTTGCTCGCAATGCTCCAAGCATATGAAAAGTAGTCTTCATCAATTGTGAAATGGTCAATCAAATAACGGGCTTCATTAAACTTGAAAGCCTTTAGAAGAATCAGAATATAAGGCTCAACTCTAAGATACTGTTTCGGAAACTTTTTCACTACTGAACAAATGGTTTGTACAATCGCATCAATTTTTTTTGCGTATCCAGAACGCCAAACATCCCTAACAATATTTAGCGGCAATGACCACGAGCTCAAACCTGCTCTCTCAACAAAGTTCGCTGTAACGTTTTCCGGTAGAGTCTCAAGAACATTAATGTTAACACCAAGCATGTGCAGAGTCAAATACTTTAGCTTGGGAAATAAATAAAAAGGAAATCGTATAGGTGGCACATCAGGAGACAGCACACAATTTTTCCCGGTCTCAGAAAAAACCCCTACATGTTCTACATTGTGAAAGCATGCTTTTCTTCGCTTTATAAACCTTTCCAAATAACCTATCCATCTAGAGTGATCCAAAATCCTAAATTTTTGTTTGTTGTTTTGGAAAACAGAAAAATCATACCACTTCTTCGTCCATAACTGGTAAGCATATGTTGTTTCGCATTCAAACCCTCTTTTTACAGAAGGGTAATTGGCGCTTGCAACATCAATGCAAGCATATCGAAATTGTATTGTCAAAGGTGTATATGATGCAATCATTTTAGCGAAAATAGAACAAGTCAACGAAAGAGGCCCCAGCTCCGACAAGTCATGAAGCTCCTTTTCAAAATCCACACAATATGGAGTTCGGAGTAAAAAATCAATTTCATGTTTTTGAATGGAATATAACTCAGATAGGGATCTCTGCAAATATCTTTGATAAAATCCAAATACCTGAAAATATGATGATGAAACACTTCACGAGGTAACTGCAAGATGTTGGTGGTTGGTTTCGTTTTGCTCATTTTTTTTTGTTCAGTTTCACCTTCTTTGATGATCATTTTGAAATTCAAAGGTTGTTGATGAAAAAGAATGGACTGTTTCGAATTGACCAAGAGGTTTGTTTATCTTTGAAAATGTAATGGCGTTCTGTTGAATATTATTAACAGATAAAAAAGGTGCGGTATCCTTATCCGTTCATAACCCAACTTTTAAAAAAAATTTCTCTTTCAGTTCAGACTGGGTGATCCGAACGTGCCATCACACATAGAACTGGTCTGAGTTTTCATCATTATATACACGAATATTACCTATTATTTATTTCTTTTGGAAGGATTGAAATTGAATTATCATTCACCTCTCATCAATTCATAATTACCAATGATGATAGCAACATCGAATATTCGGCCATCGGATGATGACGCTGCTACGAGATCATTAAAAACCAACTCGGTATCTTTCTCGGAACCACTGATACAAAGAATGATAATGGCCAAGAAGTAGACTTGTCCAATGAAGGAACTATGGTCATGTTAGACGAAACTGAAAAGCCTTCAACACTATCCACTTTACCAAACAACAAGCCAATTTTGAAATCTTCTTCGCAACTACTCACCCAACGAAAGAAGAGTAAGAAGGAAGAATTGTCCACAGTTTCCTATTCTTCGAATGCAAAAAGTTTACACACAATGGATGTGCTCCGATTATTGAGAGAGTCATCCGATGTGGAAAATAGAATTCGAAAAAATCATAGAATTTTGGAGAGAACTTCGTTTTTTGGTGGTTTTTCTGAAATGGAATTTGTTTGGACCTTTTTAACTGTTTTAGGAGTTTTGGGAGGAATGATTGGATTTTGTTTGGACACTTTGGTAGACTATATCTTTATTGGAAGAGATTCAATGATAGAAGGGATGGTTGGTGCATCTCCTTCATTGAAAATGTTTGTCTGGATTTTATATAACTTGGCATTTGTGATTTTTTCAGTATTACTGACACTATGGGTCTCTCCAATTGCTGAAGGAAGTGGAATCCCTTCTGTGAAAGCTATTTTGGTAAGTTTAAATATTGTGATCAATTAATGTTGTATATTAATGTATTTAACTGGATATTTCCATGTAAATACACAGACTGGTGTGGATAGCTTGAAGGAACCGCTTAGTTTTAAAAATCTCTTGATAAAAGTTATAGGAGTACCGTGTGTGGTGGGATCAGGATTGTTTTCTGGAAAAGTGGGTGGTATGATTGCCATTGGTGCAGCTCTAGCAGACAACCTTTTGAAACTGAAACCTTTTCGTGCCATGAGAAAGAATAAGACTCTTCGTGTACAATTAATTGGTTGTGGATGTGTAAGTATTATCAGTGACATTCCGCAAAAAAGAATGACCAATGACACTTTTTGAACTTGTTATCATCGTTACTCACTTCATGACTTATTTGCTGGCTTAATCATTCTACACTTTGTCACAATTGCCATGAACAGGCTCTTGGAGTTGGAGCAGTTTTTGGAACACCTGCCGGTGGTGTCTTGTTTGCACTGGAAGCAGTCGGAACGTACTATAGCTTGCGTAACTACTTGAAGAATTTTTATGTAGCACTCATTGCTGCCTATGTCTCACGTCTTTTGCACTCCTGGCACGAATATTCAATTTTACTAGTGCCTGTTTATAATGTTAATTTGGATGTACCATCATTCACTGTGATGGACTTCCTTTCTCTTGGATTTTTAGGAATTGTTATGGGACTTTTAGGAGTGTTGTTTACATTTTTGAATGAGAAATTGTTATGGCTTCGAAACAAAATTGGTCGAAGATATTTCCTCTTCTTTAGAAGAAAACATTTCAACATGGAAGACCAAAGAGCAAGCTCAGATTCCTCAAATATCCGCTTACCTTTGTTCAAACTCAATTTTTATGGTCCGTCATCATTTGCATAATTACATCCATATTGATTTATCCAACAGTGATTGGAAAATTCATGTCACTCTCCCCAGGAACACTCATTGAAGACTTGATGTTGAACAAGCCCTTACTAAAAGAAAACGGAGCCCAAGGAGAATGGATTCCTGCAGCACTCTCTGATAAAATCAGTGAGGCCAGTATGGACACAATGCCTTTCGAGTACTATGCTGAAGTATTCAAGAATTTGGCGCTTTTCATTCTCGTTCGTGTGATTCTTACGCCACTCTCTGTCTCGTTACCACTTCCAACATGTATCTATGTCACATTACTGATTATGGGTGCAGGTATTGGAAGATTTTGGGGAGAATTGCTGGCCTTTGCACTTCCCGATGGATGGTCAGCCATTGCTGATACAGAAAAGGCCTATTCTTATATTCGCCCAGGAGCCTACGCACTCGTTGGTGGTTTGGCACTTTCTGCAAGCGCCACACAAGCATTCAGTACTGTCTTTATGTTTTTAGAAATTGCTGGAATGGGTGTTCACTGGCCTGCATGTTTGGCTAGCTTGGTTGCTGTGAAAATTTCAAGAGCCCTTTACTACTCTGCCTATGACGCTCAAATTAAGCTGAGAGGATGGCCAGCTCTATTAGAAACAAAAACTGACAGCGAAGACATGAAAGTTAGAGATATTATGACCAATGTGGAGAAGATGATTATTTTGGAGGAAAAAACGACTTTTAACGAGTTGGAAGAAATATTCGAATCGAAAGATACCATCCCTAAGACTTTCCCAGTTGTTAACACGAAAAAGGATTTAGTATTACTTGGTGTTGTGAGCGTCATTCAATTGAGAACACTATACGACACAAAGAAGGAAGAATTAGCTTCAATAATTCTTCAATTAGAAGCACAAAGGCAAAAGGAGCTGCAAAAAGCGAACCATCAAAACAACAACAGCACTGCTGTGGTCACTGAACAACAAGTGCCTTCATCATCTACGACCATAGATTTTGATAATTTACCCGAATTATCTCTTGACGAGATCAAACAAGGTATTGGCAAGCCTGTGACCACTTCAAACTACTTTTATGACATTTTCGATGAATTTATCGGATTTAAGGATTATGTTGGACAAGCTGAAAATATCGAACAAGCTCATGAAGAAGAAGAGGGCAATGAAATTTTCCAAAAAATTGAACAAATGACAGGTATCGATGCATTGAACAAGACTCCCTTGATGGATGAGCAAGGAAATACTGTCAGCAGCTCTCAATCCGTAGATAGCATTGAACTAGAAGAATCTGCACCTGAAATGGAAGCCGTTCAAGAAAAGAAGAAACAACCCATCCGATTAGATTATGACACTTGTCAAATTAGCATTGCTGAAGATACACCTGCTATTATTGCTCACTTGTTGTTCTCTCAACTGAGATTAGATGACGTATTTGTGTTGTGGAATGGTAGAGTCATTGGTCAACTGCATCGTGAAGTATTAATTAAGGGTATTTCTGAAAAGAAGAATTTATTCTCAAAAATTTCAGAAATGAAAAAGACCAAGTAGTAATATGGAATTAATATTTTGAATTTAAATTATATTATTGAATGCAATACAACTTTTATTATTCTTACTAGAACAGACTAAATTTAGTGATACGAACTACATGGATGATCATATGATAGATTGAACAAGAACGACGCTTCATTCACAATGGAAATCAAACGCCTTTTGTGGTTTTGCATAATATGACAAGATCAGTTGGAACTTGTTGTTCGAAATATCTTACTTTTAAATCCAATTGAATCTTGAAAAAGCCCTATGACCTATTCGAATTCAAAATTATGAACGAACAGTGTAATCTCCAAATATGGCAAATGGTGTAAAAGGCAAACTTCCCAAATCATGGACCAAACCTTAGAATACCAAAAAGAGATCTTAACACATCTTCCAAATTCTCAGAAAAACGTTTTTTGAATAATTTTACAATCATCAACAAAATGTCTCTCACCAACATTCTTCCAAGTACTCTCTCCAGTCATGGCGGTGGCTTGTTAGATCCACAGAAACTCTTCGACGAAATTTGGCAAGCAGATGTGAATCGTGTGACTCCCCTGAACGCCCTTCCAACTCTCCTCTAGCCATGCATGCTAGTACCGAAAATACTTCAAGAACTCATCCCTATATTTGTGTCGTGTTAAGTCAACTCAATTCCAATCAACACCATTTATTTAATTTATACAAGTACAATGAACGTTTAAAGAGTTATGTGAACACCAATCCTAGAGAGTTTTTAAAATCTCGAGTGGATCAAACTAAAACTATTCGTTGGCAGCTGCGCTGTTTGATAATTATAAGGAAGATCAACGTTTGAGAGAAACGAATACGGAACAAGAATTATCGGAAATCAATGAATTCCTGGATGGAATTCTTGAAACAAGATGTATTCAATTGTTGGGAGTATATTTGAAGCAAATTGGAAAGATTGGTAGAATTCGTGAAGAAGATGTCATGAATGATGATAATGATGAACGGAATAGAGTGAATCGACAATTGCCATCTTTGAAAATGTTTTTATGGAACATGTGGTTTCAACAATATCCGTTAGGTGACAGGAATAAGGACTTGTCAGGATTTGAGCATTGTGTGGTTGGAGAGAAGAATGGGCAGAAAGTGTCGGGCTATCATTATTGGTTTAAGGTACGTATACCACGTTTACAAATATTGTAAACTCTGTTGACCATTCGTTACAATATGTGTAGTACTATTATGACGACTCTGTTTACAATGAAAGTGAATTCGATTCCATCTCTGCCAGTGTAAGAAAAGATGAACAACTCACTCCCGATTTTGTTCAAGTTCAATTCAATAAGGCTGTTCCAAACGATCCTTATCATTTCTCACAAGGTCGAAAGAAATCATTTTGGGTAGGGCTTTCACCTGAATGTTATATTGCCATCTTGACGTTGGCTCAAGTGATTAATTCCTCTCCTTCGCACAGACATATTCTTGATGAAATTCCAGTTCATGGAAGTTGGTATCGAATTGTCGTTCAGTCGGCTGTTGACAATGAAACAGGAGAGGTGTATTTGAGAAGTGTCTATCCAGAGTTTAGAGGATTGATCTTAATTAGTGGACCTTAATGAGTGTACATTAATTTAATACTCATTCTGGAATGAACATTTTGTGTCATGACGAATAATCATTGAAATAAAATTCTTAATCGTACATTTATCAATAAATAAATGGTTTGAAAATGATGGTACAGGATGGTTGTGTACATGATCGTTGTTAATCAATCGAATAGTAATGATCTTCAGTAATTGTGTAGGGATACTTTCGAATCCAGTCGTCAATAATTTCTTTTAAAGTCAAATTAGGATATAATTGTTCTGGTGTTAGAGGTTTTCGTGTTACAGGATCAAATAATCCATTATCTTTTAAATGTTTCAAAATTGCTGATCTTTCGTAGGAAACGCCTGATGGTGTCACTACTGGATCTCTCATGATGGTAAATGTAATTTTACAACATAGCATTTCAGGTACTTCCAATTCCTAATTAATATTTGAGCGTGTCACAAAGATGGTAAAATTACACCAAGAGTCAACTCACCTTTGTAGGATGAATGCTTTGATCAAAAAACGATTCTAATTGAAATTGTTTCAAATTAAATTCTTCTCTCTCCGAGTCAGACAGTACAACTAGTTTCTCATGTGTGTTCATCAACTTTTCAACAAACTTCTTCATTTCAATCACCACATGTTGACGTTCCTGCTCTTGTTTTTCATATTTTCTTGCTCGTGATTGATCGATGCCCTTATAAATGCTCAATAACATGGAACTCGATGTATTATGCAACTCTTTTGCCAAAACTTCAGCCTTCAAAAAAGCCTTCTCTGCATCATCATATTGCATGGAATGTAAATAGGCATCTCCCAATAAATAATAAGCCTTAACAAATTTAGGACTCAACTTGATCGCAATCTTACACTCTTGAATGGCCTGTTCATACTTCATCATTTTAATATAACACAATGCAATATTAGTCTTGAAAAACGGATCACTATCATTGGTATAGGTAAAACCTTCTTGGTAGTTTTTAATGGCTTGCAAATATTCCTTCCGTTGAAAGTGAGTATTTCCTTTCTCCTTTAATTTTTGTGCTGCTTTATCAAAATCCATTTTCTTTTCGGGTTCTGTCCAAAAGATCAATGTATTCAATTCCGATGATGAAAATATGATGACTCTTGATGAAAAATATTCTTTGCTGTTGTTTGAGTGGAATGTTTTTTTTAAATTTCTCAACACAAAAAAAATTTGTGCGCAATTTGTTTGGCGCCGCATTAAATTGAACTCGGCGCAACAAAATATTTTGATTTTATTTCCACATTCCGAATCATTAAGAATTGACGATATTTTGGATCCAATCTTTATAGGTGTTCGAAGAGTGCTTGATTTTTATTGTTTTTAAGTTATTTTGAATTTTAAAAGAATATTAATTGATCGGAAATGAATTTTCATCAGTTACCGACGAGTCGTTGGATTAAAAGTGTATTGGTTCCAATAATTTCACTGAAAGGCATCAAGAATCATCAAGTATCATTGGTACAATTCAAAACTAGCAGTAAGACTTCTTCATCGAGCTTCCTTGTAAATTTCCTGAATATCAATCGAGGACCTCAATTATTTATGAATTACCATCAGAGTTGTGGTTTCCGAAATCAATCAACAACAGATACTGCTTCTCCATCATTATATGATTTAACTGCACGGGATATTCATGGTAAAGATTATTCCTTGAGTGATTTGAAAGGAAAGGTTTGCCTTATTGTAAACACTGCAAGTAGTTGTGGCTTTACAAAACAATTCGAAGAATTACAACAACTCTATGACAAGTACGGAGGCAGTGGAAAATTTGAAATAATTGCGTTTCCCAGTAATTCTTTCAATCAAGAAACAGGTTCGAACGAACAAGTTTGTCAATTTGCAAAATCAAAATTTAATGTGACATTTAAAATCATGGAAAAAATAGACGTCAATGGCGACTCTACTCATCCAGTGTATCAATATCTCAAAGAAAAGGGACCAAGTGGTCTGCTTGGAACTACTGCCATCAAATGGAACTTTACCAAGTTCTTGATTGATAAAAACGGCAAAATTATTGCAAGATATGCTCCAACGACAGCTCCATCTTCGATCACCAAAGGTAGGTTTGTGAAATATTTGTGACCGATTCATTGACACGTTTGGCATGCTTTCAGATATTGAGAAAGCCTTAGAACAATAACGTCTGCTGTAACATTACTGTACATAATTTTTTGATAAAAATCCATAATTAGAAAATAATGGCCTCTCAATTACTCATTCGCGGCTGACCTTGACATCAAAAAATTATGGTTATTGACAAAGAGTAACCAGAATTTGTCCACTATTGACCTCTTCAAAATCCACACGATTATTCTTCAAATAATTTGTAATAATTGGTTTGATTTTTGGGCCTCGTTTATCAGAGTGACTTCCCGCTCCATGAATAATTGTCAATTGTTTGAAACCTTTCTTTTTAAGTTCGCTCATTCGTTGAATCACAATATCGAGAGCAAATTGAGAATACTGACAATGCAGGTCCAAAACATCTAAAGAGTTGTTCTTATTTCTTTTCGTAAATTTCATAAAGAGTGGGTTTTAAATATTGACATGTTCAAGTAATGACACGATATATGATTCATCGTGTTAATATTGTGTTAAAAAATTTGAACACTACTCACACAAATTTAAGCATTTCCTCTGAGGATTGTTTTTGAAACTTTTGCATTAATTCTTGATGTTTTTTGCCTTCTTCACTCAACACTTTCGCTTCCGCTTTCTTGTCATGTTTGAATGCTTTTTGTGACTTGGAAAAACATTCAGACATGAGAGAGGCTTCTTTTTCAATATTTTTCTCGAGATCAGCAAAGAGTTTTTGAGCTATTGTTGAGTTGGTGTTGGCATGCACAAGTGAATGGAGATTAATATGGAATTCGTTAGAGAAATAGTAAAATGTCAAAATATTGACAGGTGCCCACAAACATCAACGTTCCATCAAAGGAATGGATTCCATACCTATTGGCGACGTTAATATTACTCACCTTCTGATTGAATTTCATAAAAGACTTGTCGCTGGCGATCAAATCTCCATCCAAAATCACGCAAAGTCTCTTCAATTAATTTCCAAGCCAATTGAACATGTTGTTCCTTCTCTCCTCCAATAACCACTCCTCGACTATTTTCTTCAATACTCACTTTACATTGAGATTGTTGTTGAATTTCATGAATATTCTTTCCTCGTTCTCCAATGATGAATTTAATGACATGGCTCGGAGAAAGAGGATAACGTTTGGAAAATGGAAATTCGTCATCATCGTAGAACAAGACTCTCTCATCGTGATGGTAGAGGATGACGAAGCAGAGAGAATCTTCTTTTTGAGAGGAGAGGATAAAGATTGGGTCATGATGGTTTTGAACATAATTCTTCAGAAAACCGTTACAAATTTTTTAATGATCGATTAGAAAAAATCACAACGTGTTCTTGTTATGATGTCATTGGGTTGTTGAGTGTTGTTGAAAAAAGGATAGAGGAGGACAACTGTAAGATGCTCTCAACATGAAGAGCTCTTCTCTGCTACTACTACTGCAGTAGTTTGGCGCCGCGTGATGACGACTCATTCCATGGGGATGAATCTCTCTCAAAAAATTAGAACCTCTTCATCTCTCTTTTTCTGAATATGAGTTCTACAACAGAAGTAGAAGCAACTACAGTGGATGGATATACCATTACTTCTTCAACCGGGATGGACGATGGATTGAATACGAGTATTAGTGTTGGTTTGGATGGCCCTCCTTCTCTTCAGAATTTTATTGAGCACGATGAAATTACAACTATTAGAGATCTTTCTCCGATCGTCTTAGAAGGAGGAGAGAATAATGCTAACGAGCATTTGAACAATTTTGTACGGACACCTTCGTCATTGAATTCTTCTCGGGTGAGCTCGGATCAAGTGTTTGATAGAGACAGCTCTTCCTTGAACGATGATGATCATCATGAGATCCGACGGGAAGTCATGAATAGTATTGCAGGTTTAATCTCAGCTCGGAAAGCTACTGAGGTTAGTTTCTCGGAAGAGTTGGAGAAGAGGTTGGATTTTCAGCAAGCCACTCGTTCCATCTCACTACTCGATCAAATTGCCCAAGAAGAATTTAATAGGCAAAATCGAATGAAAAAACAAAACATGCTCCTGGAAGGAGGTGGTGGAAATATTGAGGATATTATTGCACGAGAATTGGATCAAGAGATTGAGGAATTAAATTCGTTATCGAACGAGCTTGCAAATACAAGACTTTTTGCAGAATCTATTTCTGAGCAAGAGGCCAATTATGAATCAATATTGGGGAGGATGGACATTGTGTTGGATGAGAATTCTCCAATTCCATCGAGTCGATACAGCCAATCAGATCAAGTAGAAACACAGCTGAGCGAAGAGAAGGCAGATGAAGAATATGAACACAAGAGAAAAATTGGCTCTGCTCATGCCACCTCTCGACGAAGGAAAAACAGAGGCAGCAATGCAGCCGACTCTGCTCCAGTACACAGTGGTGTGGATGCTTTTCTAGAGAGATGTGATAACTTTTCCTTCTTCAATTTTCCAGTGTTGTCCATTATTGAGAAGTTTAATCAAAAAAATCTTGACCTGTCTCACCTTACTCTTGGCGATAAGGGAGTTCAAGCCATTAGCTCCATGTTGAGACTCAACAATGTCATTCAAAAATTAACTTTGGCCGATAATAACATTTCATCGGTGGGGTTTGCCGACCTTGTGACTTCACTACGAAAGAATACCACTCTAAAACATTTAGACATTTCAGATAACAAACTTGGATTGGTCAATTCAGGAAATATTGACATGCCTGTCATGAATACTCCATCTTCAAGCGAGGGATCACGTACAGAGAATGGCAACTCTTCGAATACTACTCCTACCAGCGGGTCTATAGAATCTCAAGATGCGTGCAGCCAAGCAATGCTCAATCTACTCAAGAAGAATGGCGTTTTGGAATCCTTTATTGCTCGTGATAATCACCTCACAGACCAACACTTGAAGTACATTGTAGAAGGTCTAAACGATAACATTACTCTTACTTGCCTTGACATTTCATCAAATGATTTTACAGATAATTCTGGACAAATTTTAGGTCACTTGTTGGCAACTACTCGTCTACGACATTTGGATTTATCGTGGACCTCCCTTCGAAAACAAGGAATTTCCAACATGCTACTCGGACTGAAGACAAACAATTCCCTTGTAGAGTTGAATCTTTCTTGGATTGGTCTCAATAACGACCACTGTAAACTCCTGTCTCAATTTATTGCAGAGAGTGATGCATTGTGCGTTTTGAACATTTCTCATAACAGATTCGATGAGGAAGGTCTACAACCTATTTCTAAGGCTTTGGAGCAAAACACCTCACTCACACATTTAGACCTCAGCTACAACACGCTTGGAAACAATGCAGTAATGTCTCTGTTTAGATGTCTTCACAAGCATCATCATGTGAAATGGTTGAATTTGGTTCAGACCAATTTGAATGTCATGATTGATAAGAATGCTCTCACATCAGAGACCACTCTTCAACCCGTGTTTTTACAACAACCAGAAAAACAACCTCAACCACAAGCAACCAAAGGTACAAAACAACAAGGCACTGCCAAAAAACAAGGGACAACCTCTTCCAACACTGCGATGTAAACAACAATACTTTGGATGCCAACGCCAATACCACTGCAACCAACTCGACAGAATCAAGTCCCATTGAAACAACAGCTAAGAAAAACGGACGTGAAATGTGGGTTGCCTTGCGATATCTCAAGCAACAGTATCAACAAAATCCTGAATCCCTTCACATTCTTCTCAGTACAGACATTGAACAAGTGGTCTCTGTTCGCAACAAGCAGCAGTTATAATAGTTATGTGAAAAACACACCTTTAATAATCATTTTCTATTGTTGTCAACAAAATCTGATTCTTTTAATTCTTGAATGAATAAAAGTGGAAGTGAAGGTCAGAGAAAATGAGGTTAGAAAAAAAAGCATCAACAAAAAAAATGCCCAGATTTGTTCGTGAGAAAAAGTTTTTTACGGTACGGGTGGGTCAGAAAAGTACGTACACTTGCTTGTTCATTGTTGATCATTGGAGCATCATGTCGTGTATAAATTTTTCATCATGAATTTAATCTCACCAATTTTTAAATTGAAAAAAATTGTTCCGACTGAACGAATGAATACATGGGATGTGTGTGGACATGATGATGCGCAACTATTGAAAATTTATTTCGGAAATAGTCTTACAAAATGTTCCAAAAGATACCAATTTGATGGATTTACTCGTCAAGAACAAGATTAATTTTGCATATCCTTTCAAATTTTTTCTCTTTCCACTTCTCGCTAAGGGAATTATTAAATATACGAAACTTCCGAAATTTCAATCCACTGTTGCGTGTGGTACTCTGACTGGAAAATACAAACATTTACCGTTTTTGAATTGCTCTCAATGTTTGGTGGCTGTAAAATATGACAAACAAAGCGTTCACAACAAGGAAAGCACGATGGACAAGGTGTATCGATCCAATGTCTTTTTACAACGATTTGCACCTAAAGATAGCTTTGTGAGATATGCATGTCGAACAAAAATTGATGACGATATGGAGGTCATGACTTATTGTGATGACACTAAAAGCCGTAGTTGGATTGGTATCACATTAATGATGTTCTTTGCATTTAGTGCTGTAGCAGTGGTTTATTCTTGGTTTGCGCATATTAGGAATTTACAGATTTCAACTGCTCTAACTAAGCGGAAAGAAGATGAGTCATCAGAACAAAGCCCAATCACAGATAAAGATTTAGAAGAGTGGATGAAAAAGGTCTCTGACACAAAAACTGAGATAACCTCACCTAGTAACGCTGCGATAACCACTCATGAAATTAAGCCAACTACAGAAAAGCCATAATAACATGAGTTGTCTTTCCTCATCAGTCTAGAAGAAGAATTTTGAATAATTGAGAAATATTAATTTTGGATAACATCAATGCAAAATTTTGGGATTAGAATATAGTTAGCGGATAGGTCTGTAAATAGTGGTATGATCATTTAATACGATTGGAAATTGTCAATGCTCCTTAATGAGTCAATGATTTGATTTCGAACACTACTTTAAGATGATTTGAAAAAATTTTCACCTCAAACAAAGATAATTCCAAACCCATTAATTGGATGGAATATAAATCAACAATCCAATCAAATCATAAACTTGATTCACTCGGTATGACAAGGTCTTTAAATCCACTCTCACAAAGAATGACTCTGCATTATGATTCTCATAAAACACAAAGTAAAATCTCGAATCACTTGAAATGGTAGAAGCTCCCAATTGTCGAAAACCGATTGATGCAAAATTCAAAGCTTGAATGGTTACAAACTTTCCGCTAGTCAAATCCAAATACGCGAACACATCATTCACTAATCCAACAATTCGATTCTCGCTGGCATCATAGGCAGCATTGTCCAATGAGAAGGGAACAGGATAAATGTGGACAAGCTTTTTCAACTCCACCAACAGCAATAATTTGATTTTGAAACAATTTCCCATCAAATTGCACATCCACCAATGCATCTTGTCCTTGCAAATACAATCGTTTCATAAAATGCAAATTCGATTGAATAATGGAATATATATCCAAAATATTCATTCCATCTTCGATACCATACAAGAAGGCACGCGAGGATGTGGAATCATAGGCTGCATTGTCATAACTTGGAATATATCCTCCAGGAGGAGTACGAGCCAGGATTGAGGCGTTGAAGGTTGACAAGAGTGAAACTGTATCATTATTGGCACGAGTGAAGGTAGTTGCAAGTAATGCATCATTTTGACCGGAGAAGAATGCATTCTCCGAAGTAGGTATGATTCGACGACCAGTAACTATGGTCGTAGTTGAACATGAGAGGATGATGAAACCGAATAGAATCAAGTTACATATGGGTGCTAGGGATTGGATTTTCTTGTTGGACATTTTTTTCAAAGATTTTTTTTAAATTTTTTCACATTGATTTACTCCCGAAAAGGAAACAACATATTATTCCATCAAATGTTTCACTCATCCCACGGAATCTCCTCAATAAATAATCTCAATGTAAGGAAGTTCATTAATGGTTCCAATTCTTAAAGGAGGTCCATAAAATCCACTTCCACTAGAAATTGTTAACAACAATTAAACACAAACATTTTACAAGATCAACATTCAAGATAACATTCATGAAATTCATGACTACTACTACTACTACTCACCTCACAACATATAATCGTGGAGTAAAAACATCTTGCGAGATGAACTTGGTATTTTCTTCGAAATGAGTTTGCATGACCTTATTCTTTTCTTGATCAAAACTGTACCATGCATAATCTGGAGCTCCTAATACGGCATTGACAAAACCAGTTTTTAAATTCTTAAAGAATTTCCGTCCAGAGAATTGACCTCCATGAAAATGTCCACTAAAGGTAATGGATGGAGTGGGGAGGAGTGTTCGCTTAATTCTGAAGCAGCATATTGAAAATGACTTGGATGATGTAATAATAAAAGTCGTAGTTTGACATTGAAATCCAACGATGATTGCAAACTTTGAATGATGACAGTTTTGGTTTTTTCTTCAGCATTCTTGAAAGCAAAATTAAATCCAACTAGTTGAATGTTCTTGTCCTTCAAATATAGAGATTCATCTCTTAATACTTTGAATTTCAATTTTTCTAATTGTTTCAATACATGTTCAATGAGATCATAATCATGATTTCCCAAAGCAACATATACCTTATCATGGTGTAACTTTGAAAGTGGTTTCAATCCTTCATAAATGGCATCTTCATAGGCAACGTTAAATTCAGATTCGAATGTGAAAAAATCGCCCATAAATAATATAAGAGTATTTTCAGGATCTTCATTCACGAGAGAAATAATCTCCATGGACAGTTTTTGCAAATCTTGAACATTCATATAAATTCCCAAATGAACATCACTGACTGGAATGATTTTCACTACTTGTTTTTTGCTTTTCATGGATGATGACACGTCGAGCGTGTATCTCATCACTTCTCTTTGACCCAATGTATGAAATAAACCAAAGAGGCACAACACGAGTACAATGACAAGCAGGGTTGCTTTGAGAATGTGAGCAAATTTTTCAATTCGTTTTGTTGCCAATGTGAAATATAATGGAAGATAGAACAATCCCATAAAAATGGTAAAAAACATGCATGTCATTTGCCAAAATCCACTTGCATAGGAAACCAAAACTCTCCATGTCCATGTTCCCATTCTTCCATTCATGTTTGAAAATGTTTGTAAATACATGGCTACATTCAAATAAATTAATACATAAATAAACAAAGTTCCCAGAGTTGATTTTTCTTTCAAGCCAAATTTTGGGAATATTTGATTCAACAATTGGGAAACGGTGAACCATGAAACACTTGTAGCGAGTATCAAGAGTAACATATTCTTTACAAAAACATCTAATTTGATGGCTAGTGTTTTAAATGCATCCGATTCTGTGCTTAGTAATCGTTTGTAGACACAAAATAAACTTAAAACGATCAGTGCAAGATAAAAAACTTTTCGGAATGTCGGATACCAATCACTTGAATATTGTTGCTCTGTTTTAATCGTGGTGGTCTTTACAGAGGAGGATGATTTAGTTTCATGTTCCGATTGCTGCCATGAAGAGTGTTGTTGTTCTTCATTCCCAACACTAGCAGAACGACGCGTTTGCATTTTTTTGTAAAGCGGAAATTGTTTTTATCTGCTCTCCTAATATGCGCTTAATTTATTGAGAACAATGTAATTGGGACATTACGCGTATATTACTACGTCCTCATCAGCGTGTGTCCGACTTGTGTGATCTGACAACAATATTTTACTTTTGTTCTTTTCGTTTCTTTTTGAGATTTCCAGATCCTGAGTTGCCGCCACCACTCTTCTTTTTTCCAGCATGTTCTCGTTTTGCGGTCAAGGATCGAATAGCATTGTTCAAAACTTCCTCTTCCTCAGTAAATTCATCACTCTTGACAGGCAAATCACCCTTCTCCATGTCTGACATTTTCTTTTTGGCTAATTTTGCTGCTTGTGACACTGTATTCGTTAGAAGCATTGCATTTTCCTTATTCACAGGACAAGCGTCCATCTTCTTTTCTATTAAGGCTTCAATCTTTTGGAAATACTGTAAGTCGTATTGAGTCACAAAAGTTATGGCAAGACCTTGATTTCCAATTCTTGCTGTTCTTCCTACACGGTGAACGTATTCTTTAGAGTGCGCTGGAATGTCAAAGTTAATAACAATTTCAACGAGAGGAATGTCCAAGCCACGAGCAGCAATGTCAGTTGCAACAAGAATTGGACGATCTCCACTGATAAACTTTCTGAGACAATGTTGTCGATGTGTTTCATCCATGTGACCAGAGAGTGGTACTGCTGGGAATTTAAGTGATCGTAGCATGATACTCAACATGATGCATGTTGCATTTTGACCAGCAAACACTAAGATTCTCTTGCCTGGATTTTCATTCAGCAAGTATACCAGATATTGTTCCTTATACTTCTCAGGCACAAGTAAATATTGTTGGGTGAGAGTGTCCACAGTGTGATATTTCGAGCTTGTTACTTGAATCTTTACAGGATTTGTCATTTGATGCAACTTGAGCAGTTTGTCAATTTTCGTTGTCATGGTAGCGCTGAATAAATAAACTGTACATTGTTTTCTCTTCAATTTTTCAGAAATTACTGTCAGCCACTTGTCAAATTCACTTCCCAACATTTTGTCAGCCTCATCTAAAACTAAAAATCGGGTATGATTCAAATTAAAGTTACTCTTTCCGTATTGCAATAAATCACACACTCTTCCAGGGGTTCCAACCACAACATGATATCTATTCTTTTTGAAGCGAAGAGAATCATTTGCAATGGTGGTTCCTCCAATTAGAGTTGTTGATGTAATACCAATCTTACTTCCTAGTGCGTTTACATGGTATTGAATTTGTGTTGCTAATTCTCGAGTTGGTGCCAAAATGAGAGCAGAGCAAGGAGAAGGATCTCCTTTCAATTGAAGCAATCTCTCTAATATTGGAAGAACATAGGAGGCTGTTTTTCCAGAGCCAGTTTCAGAAATACCAATGATATCGTTATATTTGGTAAATCCAGTCTCATCATCATGGAAGGCCTCCTTAATGGCGACTGGAATTACTTCTCTTTGAATTTTAGTTGGATGTTTATAACCGATGTCTTTTAATGTATCACACAAGACTTGAGAGAGTCCGAGTGCAGCAAATGTAACAGAGGTATCAATGACTGACGAATCAGCCTTGTTTGGTTGTTGTTCCGTTGCTTCATTGTTGGATGGATTAGAAGATGATGTTGCTACCACTCGACTTTCCGACTCCTCTTCCAAAGTAGTGTCGGAAAGTTTTCTCTTCAATCCTTGTTGTTTTGTTATTTCTGATTTATTAGGAGTTGTTGTTTTTGTTTTTTTGGCTACTACTGATGCAGATGTTGGTTCCGAAGAAGACGATGATGCAGAAGAAGTTTTACTCAAAGCCGATGCAGTAGCACTAGTTTTCTGTAACGATTTGAATGTTTTTGGTGCTTTTTGTTGAGAAGACATTTTTTTCAATTTTGAAAATCATTAATTTTGTTGAACGGGAGAATGAGGAAGGCCTAGTTCTCATTTTGTGAAAGGGAACATCATGACTCTTCATCTCAGAGGATGCAAAGCCAATATTGGATTTATTGGGTTGCAGCATATTCTTCGAGACCTTTAATTGAATCTTAAATCTATTCATCGGGATAGGAAAATTTGAAGGAAATTTCAAAAATTTAAAGCAACTAATGTGTGGGAACATCGTCATGCAGTTTTGAATTTTGTTGCATCGTGATGATTGGATACAGCTCGTAAGATGAGTTTGAAGCTGATCATTTTCTTGAAATTGAGTAGGACCCATGACATGTTGACCAGATCATTATGATGATTTGAAACAATTTCTATTTGGATCACACACACGACATATCCTTCCATTGATCCGAAGTAATACGTTCTATACAATCATCAGCGTCATGGATTAATGTTCAAATAAGATCTCGGGTTGTTTCTCTCTAATTTTCATGTTCGTCTGATGATGATGAGGCTTTTCAAAGAACCAACAAGTACCCATCACATGGAGGAAATCTCGACATTTAAAGTAACACTCCTCTTCTTTGTCTTTCCCGAGAGCCAATTCGTGCAAATTTCTCGCACAAATTTCTCTCATCAATAAGAACGGTCGTTCATGAAACTTCTTCATTCATGAAGCCTCTCCATTATTGCTGAGAGCCACACCAACAGTTGGTCATATTCAACAAGATTATTGGAACCAAGGTAGGCACCAACAGGTGTCATTAATATTCTGTTTCAACGTATGATCGGAAAGAATCGATCGTTGCAAACACTCATGATTACTGCAATCCCAGAATTGGGGATTATTATATTCTCTCTTATGGCCACATGAGGTTCAAAGATTCTTCTAACAATGTTAAATCTAAAATGTTGAGGCTTCACAAAATTGAGGCTACACTTTATGTGATAATTAGGCGTGGATGACAGGAATGTGAACAAGCACACACACGGGAAGGTTTTTATGACCCTCTCGTGCATTTCCGGAAACAACACCAACATAAACGGACCCTCATTCCGAACAAATTTGGATATTTCACTATTTCATTGCTTGGGGTTGAATCACACATGTTGAAGAAGCAAAGGATGACAATGAAATTTCCATAGTTTTCAGTAAGAATTCAACGGATATGTTGACTCCTCAATTCAAACACTCGTAGATATTTGATGCAGAGTTGTGAATTTTTGGATTGCTATGCTGATCAATTCTGAATGTTGTTGTGGATACGATCCTGCTTGAAGAACCTTCCACACCACCACTTTGCAAACATTTGAAGGTTTTTTAACGAATTAAGCTTCAAACTTGCCCTTTGTTTGAACATTCGAAAAAAAGGCACCACACCTCAGCGTACCTATCAAGTCACACTCTGAATCACTACCACCCTATTGCAAACTTTTACTCAGATCACACACTCACCCAGAGCGTAATTTTTATTATTCATACGTGACTTATACTTCTCTGTGTAAATATCCTCAATTACGGACCGATCACCGATCACAACCACTCACTATTATCATCATCATCATTACTGCTATTCCATAAACGCCAAGAAATGAGCAACCACAATCACAACACAATTACAACTGATAGTTATGCTATCGTTGGTCTCTCGTGTCGTCTTCCTGGTGCCAAAGACAAGCACGAATTTTGGAGGCTCTTAACTGAAGCCTCAGAACACATGACAGATACACCTGAATGGAGATGGTCAGCGAAGAATTATGAGTCCAGTGACGCTTCCAATGTACCTGGCTTAATGTCATCCTCACGTGGAGGTTATATTCCAGAAGATCAAATCAAAGGTATGTTCTATTTTCATGTGTATTCATATAATCTTTTCGAATGACTTTCAATTGGATCGTATTGTTTGTACACTCACTCAACATCATTCACAGGCTTTGATTGTAACGTATTGGGCGTAAGCCAAAAAGAAGTTGAAGTCATGGATCCACAACAACGTTTGCTTTTAGAATTGACATGGGAATGTTTGGAAGATGCTGGAATTAGACCAAAGAAAGACTCCACCAATTCTAACTTATTCGATGAGACCGGTGTATTCATAGGTATTGGCCAGTTGGATTTCTATTCTGTCCAATTGGATAACAACAATTTTGAGAGAATTACTTCATATACTCACAATGGTAACACATTGAGTATAGCTTCTAACCGTATTTCCTTCCTCTACGATTTTAGAGGCCTTCCATGAGTATTGACACTGCATGTTCTTCATCCTTGGTAGCTGTCCATCAAGCTTGTCAAAGTTTGAAGAACAATGAGTGTGAAATGGCTATTGCAGGTGGTGTCAGTTTGATTTTATCACCTGCTCCATATGTTGAATTTAGTAAGGTTGGAGTTCTTTCCAAAGACGGAAAGTGTAAACCTTTCGATGAGAGTGCTAACGGATTTGTCAGAGGTGAAGGAGCTGGCTTGGTTGTATTAAAGCCTCTTAAGAAAGCTATTGAGAGTGGAGACTACATTTATGGAGTCATTCGTGGATCCAGTGTGAATGTCGACGGTGCTGCTGAAGACAGCTTGATCACTCCATCCTCCATTACTCAATCCTTGAACATGAAAAAAGCATACGAGCGATTACCAAGTGAAACTGCACAATTCTTGTCTCCTTTCGATGTTGACTATGTCGAATGCCACGGTACAGGTACTGCAAAAGGAGACGTTGTGGAAACTGTTGCTATTGGAGATGTCTTTTCAGGTGAACAAAGAAGCAAACCACTCTATGTGGGAAGTGTGAAGGGTAACATTGGTCACTTGGAATGTGCTTCTGGTGTTGCTGGTCTTATTAAGGCCGTACTCATGATGGAAAAACGATTACTCTGCCCAACCATCAATGTGAAAAAATTGAATCCAAAAATTCCTTTAGAAAAATATAACATGAGAGTTGTGACAGAACCAGTTCCGTTAGTCAAGAAGAGTGGATCGAAGCCACTACTTTTCGGTGTCAACTCGATGGGTATTGGTGGTGTGAATGCTCACGTCATTTTGCAAGAATATGAAAAGGAACAAGTTGAGCGAACTGCCACTACAACCACAACAACAGAAAAACAACTTTTAATGCTGTCAGCACAAACCATTCCTTCACTACAACGATTTGCTCAAGAATTGACAAGCAAGGAGTCACTCTACGATGAACAATCACGCCTCAATGTTTGTACAGTTCAGAACCAATTCAGGGCTCATCACAAACTCCGAACATGCCTCGTCACATCAAGCGTTGATGATTGCTTGAAGCAATTGAAGACATTAGCAACTGAAACTCCAGATGCTTTAAAGCAAAAAGGACTCGTCACCAACACCAACCGAAGTGACAAGGGTTTGGTATTTGTGTTCCCTGGTCAAGGTCCTCAAACCAAATCCATGGGTATCATGCTCTACAACAAGTACGAAGAATTTAGAAAGGTTCTCGATGAGTGTGACGCCTTATTCTCCAAACTTTCTGGATGGTCATTGGTTGGAAAATGGATCAAGGAGAAGAGTCTCTCTGATGACGACATGGATCATCCAAAGTATGCTCAACCAGCCATCTTCTTCCTCCAAGCAGGTCTCTATGCCTTGTTGCGATTGTGGGACATTCAACCCTCCGTGGTGATTGGTCACTCTGCTGGTGAGGTTGGAAGCGCATACGCTGCTGGAGTCTACACTTTGGAAGAGGCCATCACTATTCTTTACTGGAGAAGCACATTGCAAGAAAAGACATGTGGAAGCGGTAACATGTTGGCTGTTGGAGTTTCTCCAGCTGAATGTGAAAAGTTTTTGGATGAATATTTGGAAAATCCAACCGATCGAAGTGCCGTTGTTGTAGCTGCTATTAACGGTCCAGCCTCGTGCACACTCGCAGGATCTCCTGATCTCATTAACAAGCTAGAAAAGGATATCTCCAAAGGAAAGGGTGTATTCTGTAGAAAATTGAGAGGATATTGTGCCTTCCACTCTCAATATCAAGAACCTATTAAGGAAGAAATGTTCAATGCATTGAAAGGATTTACTCCAAAGACTGTTGGAAAACCAACTCTTTTCCCACTCTTTTCCACTGTGACTGGTAAATTGTATGACACAACTGTTGAAACTATGGATGTTAGTTATTTGTGGGGCAACGTCAGACAAGCAGTGTTATTTAGTGAGCCAATTACTGAACTTCTCAGACAAGGATACAAGGGCTTTGTTGAAATCAGTCCTCACCCAGTCTTGGCTGCATCCATCAAAGAGTGTGCTCAAGAACTTGGGCTTGAAGATATCAAGTGCTTTTTAACATTGAAGAGAGGTGTCGACGAACAAGATACCATGCTTGGATGTGTCAAAGATTTGTTCCTCAATGGATTTGTTCACAACGCTACATTCACTAAAAATATGAAATGGAATGACTTGTTTGGTAAGGTCAAAGTTCCACACTATCCTTGGGATCGATCACAACTCATTTGGAATCAAACGGAAGAACAAGCAGCTGAGTGGAGGCGAGGATACCCAACTACTTTGGTTGGTCACAAGTCGTTGAGAACAGGTAGTGTGACATTCCAAAACAGAATTTCTTTGATCACTTCCCTAACTTGAAGGATCACGTAATTCAAGGTGACATTATTTATCCAGGTGTGTCTTATGTGTTGATGTCTTTGCATGCAGCAGTTGCTCAAATTAGATCCAATGAAAAAGATTCTGAACAGAAAGAACTTGCAAAGCAATTCATCTTGCAACACTGTGATTTCAAAGATGCCCTCTCTCTTTCTCAAACCACAAATGGTGGATTCATTGTTGAGACAGATGTCACTCCTTTGAATCAAGCCACTCAAAACAGTCAAATGATTGAAATTAGAAGCAAGAGAGGTTTGGAGGAGTGGAGCAATCATTACAAGTGCTACTTGAGAATTTTACCCCAACTAACCTCAAGTCGCATCCTGATTTGAACGAAGCCAAAACTCGTTGCATGGAAGTATCCATGATAAAGACTGAGCTATATTCCAAATTGCGAAAGATGGGTTTGGAATATGGACCTGTATTCCAACAATTGGATAAGATTTATGTTGGTAAAGGAGAAGGAGTTTCTGAACTGTCGCTGAAGAAGAATCTATCTACCGTAAATTCTGATAGTCATGTGAAGAAGTCTATTTTGGACATCAAGAGAGAAAAGTCAGTATTGGAAGTTGGTATTTTGGACTCTTGTTTGCAATCGCTTATTGCCATTGCAGAAGAAGACAGCATTGTTTACATTCCAGCCTCTATTGAGACTTGTGTCCTCAATACTGATGTTTGTTTGAATCAAAAGGTTCCAGATATGGACAGTATTTCAGTATACTGTAAATTGACCAATCAATCTCAATACGAGCTTGAGGGAGACGTCTTTATTTATGGGCATAAGGCTGGTTATCCAGATGTTCCAATTGCCTCCTTCTTGTGTGTCAAATGTAGAGCCATTACCCAACCTTCATGTCCAACTATTTTCACACTTTCCTCCAATGACTGTTTGTACAATGTTGAATGGAATGCCGTGAACAAGGAAGCCCTTGAAAAGATCTTTACTACGCCTGATGAAGCTAGCCCTGCCGAAGAAGAAACCCCAAGATGGGTAGTTGTTTCTGAAAAGCCATTGAGCGACTCAGATGACGCGACAAAGTCTGTGTTTGCTTCCTTGGAAGACCTGAACGTCTCCGTTGTGAATGGAGAACAAGTCATTTCCATGTTGCAAGAAAAGCACCAAATTGATGGTATTGTTTTTGTTTCGAATGTGACAGTATCTGACCAAGTCGCTCAAGAACCAAACACCTGGTTATTGATGAAGATTATTAAGGAGCTTGTGAATATTGAATTAGATGCTGGTGAATGTAGTACCAAATTATGGATCGTTACTAAGGGAGCTCAACTTTCATACACAAGCCCAACCACAGCTCAATTTATTGGTGTTGGAAGAACCTTCAGAAGTGAACACCCAAATATTTTGAGCTTGATGTTAGATTTTGATGAAAAATTGAACTTGAATGACTCCTCTGTGGTTACTTTGTGTGGAAAATTGCTCAGAAACGCAAGCTCATTGGATTTCAATGAATTGGCCATGTCATCAGATGGTACACTTAAATACTTGAAGGTCGTCAAACCAACTCAAGTTACGAAACCTAATGCTCCAGTGACCTTAAAATCTAATTCCATTGGTTCAGTAAGTGAATTGACATTCCAAGAGGTTGAGGAATTTGTTCCACTCGAAGCTGATGAAGTTCGAATTCAAGTTAAGGCATCCGCATTGAGTTTTAAGGATTTAATGTTCGCACTGGGTAGAATTCCAGATAAGGCCTTTAGAAGAGGAGGTAAATGGAATCCTCCATTCGGATTGGAATGTTCTGGTGTCGTTGTCGAAGTTGGTTCACAAGTTGCCTTGAATGGCCAATTCTCAATTGGTGATGACGTTGTGTGCATTGCTAGAAAGTGTTTCTCGTCCTATGTGAATGTCAAGGTTCAACTGGTTGCCAAAAAACCATCATGGATGACTTATGAGCAAGCTTCAACCATTCCTTCAGCATTTTTAACTTCATGGTACAGTTTGGTTCATGTGGCTCGTTTGAAGAAGGGTGAAACTTGTTTGATTCACTCAGCAGCTGGTGCTGTTGGTTTGTCTGCGGTTCAAATTGCTAATCATGTGGGTGCAGTAACAATTGGTACTGTTGGACGTGGTGAAAAGAGAACATTTTTAGAGACGGATGCAACTTATAAGGTGACCTATACGACAGATTCTCGATCGACTCAATTCCGTGATGATGTCATGAAATTCACCAATGGAAAGGGTTGTGATGTTATTTTGAACTCGTTGGCAGGAACTGACATGTTGTCAGCAAACTTTGAATCTTTGGGACCATACGGTAGATTTGTTGAAATTGGTATTAGAGACATTTATGATGGAACTTGTGTGAATTTGCAACAAATGCATAGAAACTTGAGCTATTCCTCTGTAGACTTGGATCGAATGATGGATGAAAAACCAGAGCTCGTTCAACAAATGTTCAAAGAAATCATGGATCTCATGGAACAAAAACGTCTCTTCCCACTTCCTCTCGTTGTCTATGACAAGGAGAAGTTGCATGACGCCTTCAACTTTATGGCTCATGCCAAGCATATTGGTAAAATTGTGTTGAACATGACCAATGAAGATCTCTCAACTGCCGTTCCAAGATATCAAAAATTGAAAGAAGAAATGAAAGGTTTGACCTTCTCTGATGATAAGACACATCTCGTTGTCGGTGGTTCACGTGGTGTTGGTTTGTCTCTTGTCTTGTGGCTCTTGGAACAAAAGCAAGTGAAGAATTTGGTCATTTTATCAAGAAGTGGAAAATTGACGGATGGTGCCTCTAAGGATCGTATTGAGGAATTATTAAGACAAGATAATTCGATTAGTCTTTCTGTGTTGGCCTGTGACGTTTCAAACAAGCAACAAGTTCAACAAGTTGTGACTCGAATTCGATCCGAATTGAACTTACCTCCTTTGGAATCTGTATTCCATCTTGCCACCGTTTATGAAGATGCATCCATTAACAACATGACTGAAGAAAAATTCAATTCTGTCATTAATGCTAAGGCAGTTTCTGCTTGGAATGTTCATGAAGCCACACTTTCTGAATCTTCTACCTTGAAATACTTTGTCATGTTCTCTAGTTTCGTGGCTATTAACGGTAACATGGAACAATCCAACTATGCTGCTGCCAACTGTGTCTTGGATGCTCTTGCTCACTACAGAAAATCAATTTTGAATTTACCTGCATTGAGTGTGAACTTTGGAGCAATTGACGATGGTTTTGTTTCTCGTAAATACTCGACAAAGGTAATTTTGAGATCGAGAGGTTTCATTTCAATGCCAATTCCATTATTGGTCAAGTGTTTGGAAAAGGCATTGATCGAACAAGAGCAGGACACTACCACAAGTGCACAAAAGATTATCAGTTGTATTGATTGGAAAGATCACTCGGATAACTTTAAGCATTTGAAACAAATGTTTGGTGAATTGTTCGTTGAAAGTACCACTAATAATGCTGCTCTTGATGCTGCCACTAGTCAATTATCGGTCGATCAAATGATTGGTACTCAATTGGCAAAGATTTTAGGAGTTCCTTTAGAAACCATAGAAATTACTGAACCACTGAGACAATACGGTATGGATTCATTGATGGCCACTCAACTCAAGAACTGGCTTGATAAGACTTATCCTCGTGGTTCCATCACTACCATTGACATTTTGAAGAAGGACACGACTGTGAAATCTCTTGCTGCCAAGATTAGTGAAAAGATGACTGACTCCTCCAATTCCAAGAAGGATACAACAAAGAAGAGTGAAACAGTGGTCAAGAAGCCAAGTACCTCCACGGCTGCCTCTGCTGGTGCTCAAGATAAGGTGGTTGTTCCATCTCAAGTTGTCACGACCATTTCCACGAACAAACCTGCAACTCTCTCCTCACCAGCCATCTCAACCAGCGTTTCACAAAAGACTCTCTCACCACCTTCTCAACAACAACAGCAACACGTGAATGAAATATTGTCGAAGACTTTACCAAAGACTGGACCTGTGAAGGACTTTATTACTCACGCACGAAAGGCCAATATGAAAAATGCTTCCAATTCATTCATTCTTGGTATGGGAACTGCTAATCCACCAAGCAAATCACAAGAAGAGCTCTTCCAAGGTATCATGAAAGATTACAATACTGCCGATGAAAAGATTAGAGAAAGAATTTACAATCTCTTTAAGGGATGTGAAATTAAGGAAAGATGTGTCGCTTTCGATTTCACTAAATATTCTACCAATGATTTGAAGACCATTGAAAGTCGAAACGAATTATTCCATCAAATTGCTCCTGAATTGGCCTATCAAGCTGCCAGTAAGGCTCTCGAAGAATGGAAAGGAGATGCCAAAGAAATTACTCATCTCATTACTTGTACTTCCACAGGTATTGCTGTACCAAATATTCACTTGAAATTTATGGATCGATTGGGACTTTCTCGTTCTGTGGAATATTTCCCAATTAACATGTCTGGTTGTGCTGCTGGTTTAATTACATTGAAGACTGCTCGTGCCCTCAACGCTCTCAATCCAACCAAGAATAGAGTGTTGATTATTTGTATTGAATTGTCCTCTGTCCACTTTAGAATTTCAAATAATACTGATGAAAAGATTGTCTCGGCTATTTTCGGTGACGGTGTTGCTGCTATGGTCGTTGGTGCTCAACCCAATGCCTCAAAGGGAGAGAAACCAATTTTCGAATTATTTGAAACTCATTCCTACACAACTCCAAATACTGAAGAATGCATGACTTGGAGAGTTTTCAATGATGGTTTCCATTTGAGCTTGTCACCAGAAGTTCCACAAATTATCAACAATTCTTTGAAGGAATATGTCAATACACTCCTTAGAAAATCACAACACAAGGATGAGATTGTATTGAAGCAAAATTGTAACGTATTGGCTCATCCTGGTGGTAAGGCCATCTTGTATGCTGTTGAGAAGGCTCTTGAAATGAGTCGAGACGAATTGGAGGCCTCGTGGGAAATTATGAGCAAGTATGGTAATATGAGCTCTGTCACTATCTTGTTTGTCATGGAATACTATAGAAGAACTCAACAATATCTTAACAATGAATGGTCTTTGGCTGTTGCATTCGGCCCAGGAGTTGCAACTGAGTCCATTATTTTGAGAAACACTTGCGGAGGTGCTTCCACTTTGCCTTAACAAATGTAAATAAACAAAATTGATTTAAGATATTTTGTCTACTTTTTGAGTACAATGGAATTACAATCATTAGATAATGTTACGGAGATCAAAAGTTCAATTTTTAATGTTGGATAATACAGTTTGTTCAAATGAATCATTTTCAATAAATTCTTTCAATTTCGAGTTCATATGTTTTTTAAGGAATTGTTCTTGCTCTTGGGTGAGAGGTGAATTCAATTTTTGAAGTGCTCCTAATATTTCTGTTTTCTGAGAAATGAATTCGGATTCTGGAATTTTGTGCAATCGGAACGAAGTTTCCAGTGATGATAGTTTTTCCTTGATTTGATTAGTATTTTGCTGTGCAAACATTTGAATAATTTCCAATGTCTTAAAAGTCTCTACACAGGCGGCACGAACAGCCATTCTAAACGATCGAATATCATCCCGAAGTATTTCATCATTTTGCCCAATTTGATTTAACGTTTGTTGAAATTCTTCCAACTGTTGCAACGTTTCCCTCTTTATTTCCAAATATTCCTCTTCCGAGTCCAGCATTTCTTTATCATTCTCCACGTCTTGTAATTGTTTCAATAATCGGGAGAGTTGTTGTTGAATTTGTTGTTTTAAAACATCGGGTGGGTGGTTGGACATTTTTTTTGTGTTTTTATATTAATAATTCCTTATTGAGAGGAATATATTTTCTATCATTACTTATATGTTGCACTTTAGTTGGAACAAATCAGATTTTCAACGAATTGGCCATCAGGGTTCTTTAGTTTTGTTCGAATCACTCTTTTCAGTTTTTGAATTACCTCATCTTCAAAGAATAATGGTTGAAGATACAGGTTGTCATCAAACTAGGTTTGAAAGAAAATTGGAAGATATTAAGGAGGAAGGGAGGACTTTGATTCAATAAAGGAAGTGTTTACAAAAAAAATGCCTTGTTATACTGAGCCTCCTCCGCCGTGTGATGAGGTTGTGAGCGCGGAGAAGAGTGTTCGTCTTGAAGATACTGTCATTCGGAGATGGTTATTGGATATGAATGATGCTCCCAATCATGATTATTTCAACGACGCTTTTAATTCAAAAAGGAATCTCAAGTACCACACATCTGCAAATAGGTCTTCAAAACGATTTCCCTATGATGATCTATTCTGCGTGATGGTCGAGGGTAAAACAATGACACTTATTGATTTGTTTTGGGGAGCATCTGTTCAAAAACAACTAGATTCCATTCGAATGGTATTTGTGAGTAAGAGAAAGGATGATAATAACAAGAACCTTCTTAAAGGAATTACCACAAAACCGATAAATCTCACTTTTGAAACTTGCAATGCTTATCTGAAGGAAATGAGTATTGATTGCATCAAGTTTGGAATTTATGAACAGTCTGTATTTCCGAGCCATTTGCTGTCTCCAAATGAACGCAAAAAACTCATGGAAGAGCCACAACAAGAATTTAAGAAATTTTGCACAACCAAATTGGTGGATATCTATGAAAGCCTTGTGACGAATGAAGGAAATCAAGACCGAGCGCTTGTCACCGACGTAATAGGAATTTCAAATCACGAACGCTCTCACGATTATTCCTATTTTGTGACAAATCATGTGGTAATAAGCGTATTCGAATTTATTGATACATATACTCTTATTCAAACATGCAGCAATGTTTGTTCGAGTTGGCATTCCATGATATTGTATGACAATCACAATGTTTGCCACTATCAAATATTCGGCAAAAGAATTGCACACGTTTTTTTGAGAATTGAACGAAATTGTTTCAATGCAATGGAACAAGAGCTCCAATTTGAAAATTCAAATGCTTTGTTTTTTTTTAATGATGAACATTTGGATATAAAACTGTCACGAATCAAAGAGATATACAATCACAGGAATTGGCTGGATATTTACTTACTGAGTGGAATGTTTCATTTAGAAGTCACCGAAGAATATATTTTACAAAAATTGAATCACCTCACTCACACAAATGATACTAACACAAGTGATTTAAGTAAGAAGTATTACTATGCTTTGTTTAAATTTGACATTCTTCAATTTTTTCCCCAGTTGCATGAAAATCATATTCTGGTCAGAAAATTTTCAAAATCAAGGAAAAAGGTGGTTGTGGTGACCAGTGAAAAGTTGCCACCGAATTATCACCAATCATTTCTTTCCTCTGGAAACGGTATGATCACGAACATTGTCCATTTCGAAAATGATTCGCCTTTGAACAGTCTCAAGATTGTGGAAAACATGATCATTCGGCAACCATTGTTGTCACCAATACGAGCCACAGAAATTTTACCATCGAACACTTTCAGTATTGACTTTAAGAATGGCATTCCTCTCTACCTTGAATTTTTGGAAGACATTTCACACTCGCTCTGCAGTCAAAAGAACTTTAAACACATTTTAGATTTCAAACCCTTGAATCAAGTGCAAAACATACGGCAATGTTTATTGAACATGTTGATGAAAGCAAGGCATTTTGCATACGTTATACTTGCCAATCATCCACTTCAGAATTATGCAGTTGGAGATGATGTATTAATTGGGCTTCATCTTTTGCTGTTGAATGATTTCTATGGATACGACAAGTTGTTGAATCTTCCGCTCATTAATTTCACTCAATTACTTGCGACAAGGAAGATCATTTCACAAAATCGACAACATGGAATTTTGAACACAACAGAAACAGTTTATTTTGCTCAAACTTTGGAATTGTTTCCAGAATGGATGAAATTGGATTGGCTTCAAGAAATGATTGATGGAAATAATGGAGGAAATTTTATCGACATGAACCAAGAACTGCTGTCACCTTTTAAGAACGCCTTTAACGCTATCGACTTTCTTCAGGAGCACATTGTTGACATGAGTGAAGCTTGTCCAGTGACAGGTTATCAGTACGAAAAGAAATGCTTTGAACATTGGTTACATACTTCATTGGAAGAGTACACATCGCAACTACATGTCCTGGAACGACTTTCTCCAACCAAAAGTGTGGACCTGTTGTTGCATTTTCACTTGTTGCATCCACATCATTTTGTTCAAGATAGTTTTCGACTGGCCAAAATGGTGAAATCTCATAATTTCAATTTTCTCAACTATTACAAGATGTTCATTCATATTCCCAAAAGTAATAATGTGACACATGTCATGCAAGCCCATGCAAGTGACAAAACTCTTCAGATGAGAGTGTTGGATCATTCATACGAAACCAATACGAGTGGAAATAATTATGTCATGCAATTGGTGCCTGTGGTGGATCATCTTTCAGCATGGTCATTAACTTTTCCATTTCTCAAAAAGGCCATTCATGTGAAGAACACCACAACGATTGACCTCAAGCAAGCAGAAATTGGTCTTGATTACTATTTAAAAACTGAGAATCAATATTGGAGACTGCATGAAGACCAAATTGCTGAACACATGCCAGCTCCCATCGAGTTCATTTCACCCAAAATTGTGAACCCTGCCACTCGCGACAAGCTCTATCTGTTTTACGATGAAAATTTCGGTACATTTTCGCTGAGTGACAGCGATGAGTGTTTGTTCAGCTTTGAAAGAATACAATGAGTGTTCTAATTTTATTAGATTGGAACTTTTACTGTTCAGCTCCTGCTATTATCTTTTGGATTGAACCAAGATCAAGGAAGGCACATACATGAAATTCAAGTACTTCTTCTGGTAGGGTTTTGACGTGCAGCATATTTTTCCGATTGAAACTATTCCTAGCTATTTAATACGCTTGAACTTGAGCATGCAGGTTTGAACTTAATATTTGTCGCCAAGGTATTATAGTAAGACTGGCCCTATCACGTTACTCACGCCTTCTTTTGTTTTGCTCATGCCGTTCAACTTCAATTTAACTCGAGAATTTTGTCGTGATGTTTAATACTCTGGGTTCAGAACAAAAAAATGCACAGCAAGCAAGGCAACCAGTTGCTTGAAATTTCTCGCAAATCGTGCAAGCACATTGAATTGTTACAACATGGCGGAACGGTCTTGCAAAATTCAGAGCAGGCGTGTAAACAATTTGAAGAAGATGATGATTATTTTGATGATGGTAATGGCTTGTTTGATGATGATCAGCAAGATCAATTGGCACCTCCCGCACCTCATCAACAACAACAACAATCAATCATCAGTTCCAATCAAGTTGCAAGCGAACCCTACACATATTGGTATCATAGTGTGCCATATCCTGAAGAATCACATGCCCTGACCATCCTGTACAAGAACCGATTGTTTGAAGTGAGAATTTCTATGCAAGATATTGCCGTTCATACTCTTTTGGACGCTTTAAATGTTGCGTTGATAGATCCTGAAAAGTATTCGGGTCCTACGGGAAGAACCATCGACGTTGACTCTGAAGATTATAAAGAGATTGCAAAATTGAAATGGCAAACCTATATGGAAAGTCGGTTTTCTTCGAGAAAACCAAAGCCGTTACCAGCCAGCAACAATAACAACGACGAAATGTACGACGATGAATTGTTAAATAGTATGATCACACCACATGTGATGAGCGAAAGAATTTCTTGCAATATGGCATCGTTCAATTCTACCAACTTGAGCTTGCAAGAGACATATGTTTTATTCCAAGCTATATGCGTCGATGAACAAACTGGATTGGCTTACATGTTTGGAGGAGCCATTCATTCGTTTCCACGAAAAGTTTCCAAACTGTTTGTTGCCATCGATTTGGAAAGATTATGCATTATTGAAACAGCTGAAATTGATGATATTGTTCCTCTGGAAGGCCATAGCATGGTTAAGAGAGGTGACAAGCTCTATGTATTTGGAGGAAACACCACAGGTTCATTGTTCTTGAATGATTTGTTTGAGATTGATATTTCAGAATTTGAAGAGTATTGTTTAGAATTGAGACGCAGAGATGAGCAAGGGCTTGGTACCGATGATCTTGTCATGCCAACACCAAAGGCACGACAAATTACGGCTACCAATCACAATATTGTGACCAATCGAGCATATCATACTGCTGAATATTTGCCAAAGTATGACGTTATGGTCAGCTATGCTGGAAAAGTCAGAAAGGGTCCTGATGCCCCCATGCTGAATGAGATTTTAATTTATCACTTTAAGAGAAACGAATTTCAAATTATTCAATCTGAGAACATTCTGAATCCGTCTATCTCCACATCCACTTTACCACGTGCTCACGTATGTCATTCCACTCGTGTTTACGGCTATGAAAAACATTATTTTAATGCCAATTACAAATTTGCAAGTGGACTCGAAAATTGTTATCAAATGGGCGTTTATGGTGGTTGTAAGAGCACAGAATACGATGACGATGCGACTCACGATCCACACCTTTACATTTTCTCATTTATTCCACATGGACAACATAAGAACCCAACTGCATTGAATTCATCGTCAAGTTATCTCTTGGATGTATACATTACGAAAATTCTCATTGTGGAGCGAGTCAGCTCAACCTATACCAATGTGACATGGGTTCCACAATCATCCAGCTTTTACTTCTTGGGATCGTATTCGGCTCAATCTAGAAACAAGCTCTCGATCTTTACAATGAATTTTTCAGACACTGGAACCATAGAAAGGCAATTCCAACACAGACTTGTGCCCTTACTGAATGCCAAACATTTTACAGACATTTCTCTCGAGTTTAGTGCAAATTAAATAGAACATTTTTCTTCTCACAAATGTCATTGGATTGAGGCACGTGACTCCATGTCGCCTCAGTCTGATCGCCCGTGAGAATTTTGCCAAAACATTCCTTCTCACATCAATTACAAAATCCAGTAGGAACAAAAAAATGAAACGAGGACGGAAAGTGATTTCAGTAGATGAAGAGCAGACGGAAGCGAAAACAAGGAGTTCACGTAAAAAGACCAAAGCATCAACAAAGGCTTCCAAAGAGGATGCAGCCATTGTAGACAATCCCAATAAACCCTCTCCTAATCATCATCCCTCAGCATCTTCATTGTATGGCATATCGGAAGAAGAGTTGGAACGTATTTGCAAACTTGAGAATATCGGAGAGTATGAAGAGCGATTCCATCATCTCGATCAACAAATCTTGGAATTAGAGGCGGAACGCCAATCCATATTGAAAGTATTGAAAATACATCCATCCACCCGAGTGACTTATTCGACCATTAATCGATTCGAGAAGACAAAAGAAGGTTTGCAAAACACCAAGTTTCACAAATTGGCTGCCGATTGTTTGGGGTTGATTTTCAATTTCATGTTTCATCAAGAAGTGGTTGAATGGAGTGTCATTAAGAGTTTGACTGAACTTTCTACCAACATTAGGGATGCGATTCATCAATATAGTTCCTGTATTTTGGGCTTGTGTAAAATAACCAAACTAGCCAAGAATACAACACCTCCTCCGTTTCAAGCGTTGACTGGTGTTGAAATTGTTGCAAGTTCCATTTGTAATGCTGCAACAGACGCTTTATTGAAAACGAATCCCAATTTAACTCAACTAATCATTAGAGAAGACTTGGACAAGACCACACTGACTTCATTCTCAACTAGTATCCTTGACAAAATTGATACATTGATTTGTTATGGTAGTCATAGCAAGGCATCGAGCTTATCTTTGGATGAATTTGTCAATGTGAAAAAGTATTGTTACATTGCCTACAAGAAGATTCCCCATTCACGGCCACCCAATGCTGTTCAAATCGTTTACGGTTATCCAATGTGTCAAGGTTCTCTGGATACTCTTGATGGCATTCCTGATTCCGTTGAAACATTAACTATTTGCATACCAAACTGTCCACAAGCTGGAGGAAATGTCAACTATGATACGGCATCTTACTACATTGAACACAAAAAGAATTTAAAATCTTTTAGATATTTTGGATTCAGTTCAAAAACAAAACGACCAGACATTCAAGGATCACATTTATTTGAATCGAAACTTTGTACCTTAGAGAAGCTTAAGCAGGATGAAATTGCTTCAGTGTATAACCCAAAACTCTCCAAGGCAACCTGTGCCCAATCCTTTTTTTTCAATAGTGTTCCTGCTCAACTATTTCATAACTTACGCCATGAATTTGATTTCAATGCCTCAAAATTTGATGTGGCTGACCTTCCAAAAAAGTATCAGGAATTTGTGGCCACAAGAATTTGCAAGTAATTTTAGTGGGTTGTTCTGACACCTGCCAGCAGCGTGACAACAACAAAAAAATGAAAGCAAGTAACCAACTCACGCGACCCATGTTTCTTTTAAAACAATTACAATTTTAAAATTGACTATGTCATCTATGACAGGGAAAGTAAAATCTTCAATTTAACCAGATGATGTTTCTCTAATCGAAATCTAATTTCAATTCTATTTTTCGAATTGAACCATACTCTTTTTTGAAAACATCGATTAATAATGAAACAGTACGATATCATATCATCACTTGAATAATTTGACTCAATAATTCGAACTGTCCAAATCCCGAACATCTTTTTCCAAAAGAGAACTCTACTCAAATCAAAATGTAATATATATAATTTGACCATAGATGGAAGCGCTAAGCACCTGTTTTGTAAAACTCCAAAAAAAATTCGTCTACGGTTTTTTTAGGTCACTCGAATGTACGCGTCATCTTCATTACGTCAAGAACATCGAGTCTATAACAACAACAACAACAACGAATGCCCGAGCAGAAAAGTAGAAGGCTCTCCACTCGAGCTCGGGTTGGATGGGAACAAGGACAGTTGTTTGAAAAAAGTAGAACGAGAAACCAATTTGCCTTCATCTCTCGGAATGGAAACCTCCAAGAACAGGTCAACTTTAAGCATCATCTCTAAAGAATCTATTAGTACAACAGACATGACCAACAATTGCACAGAAACGAACCAAGAGAGTGCATGTACCGCGCCAACACCATCTCCAAATGAAATTATTACATCATTGTCTTTGGAGAACAAACCAAAAGACAAAAAAACGGTGCTCCAACAACTGTCAGAAGGTTTTGATCCAAAAAACTTTATTACCGACCAAAAGCCGACGAGTCTAGTGGAGAATGTTCTCACGAAATTAATTATCAGCCCAAAACTGGTGACCATTGTCTTGATTGTTCAATATTCCTTTCTACTTTTACATACCTATCTCTCGCAAGGCACTACAACACTTTTCATCATGCTACTGACTTGCGTTGCTGCATTGCTTAGCAATTCCAAGTATATTGCAGCGTCGTTATGGGCAGCTGTCGATTCTGTTGTTGATGATGAAACATCTAATTATAGGGAACGAAATAGAATGTTGTTTAACATGGTACTTTTTTCAGTACGATATTTTTTACTTGAACCTGCGAATCGTATCATTTTAGTTCCTATTTATTTGATGGTCATAACTTCTGCCAATGCATTGAGGGGAACGTATGCTATTTGGGCTTTCCTCCCTCCCTACTACATTGCTGCGCATTATTTTACAAGTGCATGCTTCAATTGTGTACAGGTTATTCTGGAACAAGGACTGTCACAACATTCTCTCTTGACAGTCTCTCAAAGTATATCTATAATGTTATGCATATTGTTGTACAGCTTTTATATTGTCACGATATCCATTAATTTGAAAAGTAAGGTTAAAACTTTAGAAAAAACTGGTGACCAATTAGAGAAAGCTCTTTCAGCAAAGCAAACTTTCTTAAGACATATTTCTCATGAATTTAGGTACGTAGTTGACGTATATTTGGAGAATGATTATTTATATAATAATATTTGAAAACATTTTTGAAATCATGTTTTACCGTTCATGAAAAATCTGGTGGACATACAGATCTCCATGTTTAAGCAGGTACGTTGTTTATAGTAGTAAATAATGTACGAAAGCCTAACATACATGTAAAGCCTGGGAAGTGTCGAGTTGTTGCGGGAAACTGCGCTCACACCCATTCAACAAGAGTTGGTAGATACAATTGGTAAGGAATTTATGTTAATACAGTTAGATTTACACATTTTCAAATGACACAGCCTCCGCTGACGGAATTTTATTGACTCTTATTGAGGATATTTTAACTCTTGTAAAGCTTGAGTATGAGCAAAAATCGGAAAAGAATGATTTCTCATCTATGGGATCATCGAATCCATTTAGAGACATCAAAACGTTTTCACTTGGACAGAGCACCAAAATATTGGAAAATATCATCAAAAGCTACGCGAAACATTTTCGTGTCAATTTTAAAGTTCAAATTGATGAACAAACAAAATCAACAGTCGTTCGAGGAAATCAACAACGAATTCATCAAATTATTACTAATTTGCTCACAAATGCTGTAAAAGTTAGTATTTCACAATTTCATTCACTTTTCATATGATGACGTTGAACTATCTGAACTCATTTTCATAATAAGGCATCAAAGCCAGATGACACAGTCGAGCTTACTTGTTGTCTTAGTGGACAATCGAAAACGAGTAATGGGAACCTGTTGCAACAAGACGTCACATTTCAAGTCGTAAGTATCTGATCCAATTATTTTGCTCCTTACATGTGGTTATTTCAAACAAGATGGATCATGGATGCGGCATTCCAAAAGAAAAGCAACGAATAATATTTGAGCCATTCTCTCAATTGCACAATGTCAATGAAAGTGTTTATCCTGGTTCTGGACTTGGACTGAGCATTGTGTTACATCATGTTCGATCCATGGGTGGAACCATTTTATTGAACTCAGAGATTGGAAAAGGTAAGTGAATAGAGGTTGGAGAACAGTATTTCCTTGTAATGTAATCCTTCTAATTCCCTGATCGTAGGTTCTACATTTACGATCACTCTTCCTCTCGAAGTTGTCACAGCGGAGCACACTGACGAGGCTCAAGTAGACACTCTAATTCAAAGGCAGCTCTCCATTCAAGAGGAATATTTACGACACATTTCCCAATCGGAACAGCATGATCGTCCTATCACACCAAACGCTCATATTATCATTGCTGACGACAATTCTATCAATCGAAAAATCATATCTAAATTAATTGAAAGTATAGGTTATGCAGTCGATTGTGTCAATGATGGACAACAATTAATTGAGAATTTTAATAAGGATCGTCACAATATTGTGATTACTGACTTGGTAAGCTATTGTGTTGGATTATTGATTTTTGGTAACTGCTTCATCATGGTGACTATCATAATGTTATTAGAACATGCCCAAATTGAATGGATATGAGGCTGCTAAGATTTTGAAAGGTAGAAGTCGTAACGTGAAAATTTTTGCATTAACCGCTGATGTTTTAGCTGAGCTACCGTCCACTATTTTCGATGCAGTGCTTTTCAAACCCTGTCAAAAAGCAACTCTTAAAGAGCTACTAGAAAAGTTTTATCCACATGAATAGCCTTCAGTATTTTCGTCATTTATTCCAAATGCGCTTGCAAGACACGGTGGTTTTCATAGTCTGCTACAACAAGAGTTGATTCATGCACTGATATTCCTAATGGTTTGGCTGGATGAAGCATGTACGTGCTGTATGATCCAACGGATTCAATAACATGTTTGCATTCAGAGTCCAAAACAACAATTCTCAAATTATTCGAATCACAAATGTAAGCGTTTCCACTCTTATGGTCTACCGAAACACACAAAGGTTGCTTGAATCCATGATCTGTCGTTCTCACCAAGGAACCATCTTTTTGAAAGACATGCACACACGAATTTCTATTGTCGCACACAACCAAGTATCCATGCTGGGAAATGTCAATCGAAAAGGGTGAAAACGAAGGGCCTAATGAAAAATCGTTCAAAAACGCTCCATCAGAAGACAAACATTGCACTCGATGGTTTCTACTATCACATACATATATCTTATTGCTGTCACTTTCATCCACAACAATTCCAAGAGGAAAATGGAACTGAGACTTGCCGCTACCTTCTCCTCCAGCTTTCCATATTAGCTTTTTTGTCTCCAAGTTGTACTTATAAACAAAATTATTTTGGCAGGACACCACAATAGAATTATCAAATGAACTCACGGCGACGCAATGGGGGGTGGAAGGAGTCGAAATGCTGAACTGAAAATCGTGAGAGTGCATGTTAAAAAATTGGATTCGAGAGTTATTCGAATCTGAGATTATGATTAATTGATGGGTTGGATGAATCTTTACATCGTATGGGCCATTTAGTTGATTGTTATGTTTTCCTGCAACTCTCGTGGTTCCAATGTGGCTAGAATATTGCAAAATTTTCTTAAAATCCTCTTGTGAAGTTGTGGTGTTGGTGGCGTTGTTTGGCTCATTGGGATGACATTCCGGTTGCCCCTGATCGGATGCTGATTCTGCGGCGCTGACAAATGAGGAAAGGTTCGTGCTGCTTTTACCTCTTAATACTCTTCTTTTCGTTTCGATCTTCTCTGTGTTGTCGATACGTTGATGGTCAGTATTTGGTTGCAAGCTAGGAGCAGATTGATTTTCCAAAAATGCAGAATTATTTGAAGTTTTAGATAGATGAGATCGGTGGTTGTTTTGAGTTCGTCTGTCAAGATTTTTTGATTCCGAGTCCTTTGGTTGCATTTTATGCTCTTCTCTGCGAGAGACTTGGTTCATCTTGCTTGGTGATTGAAAAACTCGAGATGGAACATTGGAATATTTTGATTTTTCTTCCTTTTTGCTATTTATCAAATCGTTGCTCGCCGCAACGGATTTGAGATGAAGTTCCTCCAACAATTTAAGGCGCTCCAACGCTAGTCTTCTTTCCTTATTTTGAACATCGGCTCCTCCGTTAATCTTTCCAATAAGCTGCATCGAGGTAAGGAAATACCTGGACGACAACCTTTGGTTCCGAATGTTGAGTCTTGATTTTTCCTTAATTTCCTCCCTTACTTCACTCCCAGTCTCGTATGCCGTACATGTAATGGGCCCTTCTTTCATTGGAGTGTTTCTCCTTCTGCTATGGGAGCTTTGAGGACGAGTTTTTTGAGTGATGCTTCCAAGAGGATATGCTTTTGGTACTTCATCGGTTTGGACTGTTCTCTTTCCGATGCATGAGGCACTAGCTGGTCGTTGTTTTTTCATTCCCTCTGAGGGTATTGCTGGGGTTGCACGATGAAGAACGGAATTTTGATGTTGCGAACGTTTCATTCTCCCTGATGATGAACAAGAGAGCGGGTTCGGTATTTTTTTTTTGTGATTGCCTTAACTGCGCTGAAGCAACTTTTCTCAATCCGATGCGAGAATAAGGTATTTAATTGTTAAACAATAATCAGTTTCACTTTTTATTCATGTCATTAGGTGTATTTATTGATCTTCCTCTTCCTGAGTACTCTTCTGTGGATTTTTAGTACTGCTGCTGCTAGTGTTCAATGGGTTACTTGAATTTGTGCTTCCTCCTGCAAAGACCTTTTCCAAATTCCACTTGTACAACAATGGAATTTCCATTCTCGAAGAATTTCCAGTAGCAAACATATTCCAATGACTATGACTATTGGATGATGTTCCAACACCATTGCCAGAGCCACTCAAGAATCCATTCAAATATTTACAAATCGTTCCAAATTGTTTTCGTTTCATGTAGAGAGCTTCTCCACCAAGCATTCGATATAATCTCTTGGAAGATCCCTTGTTGCGACTCGAATCTACCATGGAACGGCACTTTTCAATGAGATGCTTTCGAAGTTGAGTATGGAGTTTTAAAAACTCTCGTTTTCTCTGTGTCATGATTTTGTCTGTCTTTTTGAGTCTTGTTTGAACTTCTCCTTTCAAGACATCCAAAAAGAGTTTAACATGTTGCAAGAATTCTTCTAGGAGTGATGTTTCTTTCGAGATTCCAGTGGAGCTCGACTCTGTTGCAGTATTGGATTTTTGTTTGGAACGAGAGTTGCTGCCAGAGGCTCCTCTTCGATCCGTCTGATGATTGCTACTACTGCTGGTACTTGTCGAAGATGTGTAGAAACATTTCAGAACGGCCTGTATGAGTCGTTCAAATCTTTCAAACGAGCAGTCACGAAGAGCTAATTCCTGTATAATGTCATGACACAATGCAAACAATGAAATGTCTTTGAGAGTCAACACATCGAGGACACCTTGATCACAAAATATCCATTCCTTGTTCTCGGACGAGGATCCTTTGTGGTTGTTACTGGTCGTACTTGGGTTGGTGGATCTTCTTGTAGAATGTAATAGATTGACTTTGGCTTCAATATTCATGGACATGATGATTCCAAAAGCTAAGGCAAAGGTTTTGCTATTGACAGAGAATTTGTGATAGGACTCTAAAATGTCAGGAGTGAACTCAATTTCTTCCTTATTGGAATTGGTAGATGATGATGAAGGATTTGTGAGAAGTGAAACTCTATGTTAAATTTTTCATAAATTGGAACAGGATGAACAACGATTGTGAAAATGACTTGTCAACCATAAACAACATACCTGTAAATTCTATTGAATGCCTTCACTGGTAAAATGGAATATTGACACGACCCCAACAAAATCCTTCTTGGCATTCTAGATTTGGAAATTTCAAAACATTCCTTTCGATGCACCTGAATCACGTTGGAAGGATTTTCTTCCTGTTTCTTTCTCAAATACTTTTCAACCTTTTCATGGAAAAGCTTCTTACTTGGTTTCTCAAATGGATAAATGATGGACAGACTTTTTGGTTCAATCATTTGAACTGGAGGACGACATTTGTTCAAAACTTGATTTCTCAAATAATCATTCGGTGTGGTGCAATTGGAAAAGGGATTCGAATGAGTGGAGGATGATGAAGAATTACTTGGAGAGCTTGAAATGTACAAAATTCCACCATCAAAAAACAAAGTTGGAGCTTGTGAGTCATTAAATTCATCCTCATCGTCATGTGTGAGTAAACGGTCCTTCTCAAATTCTTGTTGTTTCTGTAAGAGTTGTCCGATCAGTGAATTGAATTGTGAATTGGTAGAGTCGTGTTGAGGGGCTTTGAAGAGAGTCACGAGAAATAAATTATCTTTGAAGAGAGTCAATAATTGATGATTTTCAATGGTAGTGCTGCTGATGGAACCACCTTTCGGATGATGAGAACCATCTCCCGAGCTTGCATTATTGGGCTCATCCATATCCCAAACAATTAATTCCAAATTCAATTCTCTCAGTAATCGTTTGTAAAAGACATAGGACTTGTTCTGAAGTTTTTCACTGCTCGTGAGTAGGACTGCATAGCGTTCATAAAGTGGCTTGGACGTCGATGATGAAACAAATAATTCCTGATGATGATGATGCAATCGGTTATGATGAGCCCTACGTTTGCCTAATGAGGACGCGTTCAAGAACGAACCTTTGGCAACGACTTGTTGCACGGTTTTCGGAATACATTTGAAAGTATTGACTCGTCGTTCTAAAAGACAATCTTTGTAATAGATGGAAATGATGATGGAGCCTTGGCAAAAACCTAATAATTCGTCCAACGGAAGAGATGATGATCCACTACTACTACCTTCACCAGACGTCTGGTGTTCTTGTGGCGATCTTTTTTTGCTTCTCTTCATCAGGATCTTGTGCAAGTCGAAGAGTTTCAATTGATAGACCCATGAGGATTCCGAGTAAGGCTGTAAAATCTCCAAGTGTTGAGAGAAGACTTCATTCCGTTCTTTCTGTTGCTGATAGATGGAAAACAAGTCATCGTCATGACCCTTTTTTGCATGACCTTCCGTCGTCATTGTGTTGACCATTTGGGATTCTTCTTCGAGATGAGTCGTTGAGGTCATGACTACGGACTCAATGACTGATAATTGATCATTGAAGAGGAGCGATCGATCATTCTTGCCAGCTCCTCTTGCATTATTCGGCATTCGAGAGGAAGATGAGAGAACAGAACGAACTGGCTGACAATTACCGCCTGTAGTGTTGGTTTTGGAGACATCTTCGAGAGTGGGAGGTAAACTCAACGAAGAGACCTTCTCAACCACAAAGAAGTAACTCTTATCAGGTAATTGTGACGACCCAGATGATGAAGGTGCTGAACTTTCTGGTTGCTGCTGTGGTGTGGAGGAAGAAGGGTCTTGTCGAGACAGTTGTGAACTGTCTCTTCGTTCATGACGCACATCTTGTTGTTGAGGTGTTTGACGAGAACTAGTCACGGTAGCTGGCTCACCTGCTTCTTCATCCATCCGAATTTGAATTCGAATCTGAACTTGATTGTGAATACCAACAGAGGAAGTATTTCTCAGTTTCACTTCAATCATCGCACCAGAACCTTTTTCAGTTGGTTGTGAACGAGAATGAGTACCAATGGCTAGTGTTTTTGGAGTTGAAATCTCGCTCACCACAATTGGGTATTGAATGGGAATATTGGCAATGACTCGTTGCAAGGAGTATGCATTTGAAGTTGCATTCTGCCAATTCAATGATTGAGTGGGAATGTGTGAAATTTCACTACTAATCATACATTCTTGGTGGATAGAAGTGAGTTTCGGTGACGTAATTCCTTCTGAAATCATTGATTCGTGAGTTGATTCTTTATCAATCCGACGAATGCGAGCAATGAAAGGAGTCGAAACGGAAAATGTCTCTCCATATCTGAGTGACGGAATTTTCACATAGTCATTCGACGAGGAAATGGAAAAGCGATTGCTGCTGTCAGAATGATCGTCGTTCATCGTCGAAGTACTATTTCTTGCCTTATTTCTTAGTAAGGGAGTGAGGGAGATCTTATCAAACCCTAAGGATTCAAAAAGTGCATTTCCTTTGAAGGTGAACAAACAACTTTCCGGTGTGGATAACCCTCCCAAGTTTTTGACCTCAATTTCTGAGATGACAATTTCCGATCCAGGTTCTGCAAATTCATCGAGGTCTACCAAATCATATTCAATGTTATGGGCAAGGGCTTTTGAAGTTTGTATCACTTCTTCCGCGCTACTGATTGCAGGTTGTTGAGAAGTAGTGCTCTCAACATCACTTTTCCCAACATTGGTTTCCTCAGGTGATGGCTGGCGTTCAATGAACTCATCGTCATCGTCCTCAATAATGAGATTACCAAATACTTTTTGCCTTCTTCCATGAGTTTGTGGTGTATTAGAAACAGGAGGTTGCTGCTGCTCTTGAGTTGGTGGAGGTGGTTGTAATTCTTGGCATTGCTTGTTCTGTTGCAAACCACTAGTACGCTTTGGAATTCTTCTTTGAATTCTAAAATTGGTTAATTCCAATGCGAACATGGAAACTGACTGTTCCACAATTATGTCTGGATCCTGATCAGAGACAACCACAAACTTCACAGATCCATCTCTTCCTTTTCGACCATCGAGTCCTCGAACTACATTTCCAGTCATGGAATTTGCTCCAACCATTCCCTGATCGATGAACGAGTCATGCGAGTCACGAATTTTAGCAGCTTCTTTGGTTGGATTGTAGAAACTCAATTGAGAGAACGTCAAGACTTCACTCGAAGTGACCGAAGTGGACAATGGCACTTCAGCAGGAAACTGGAACGAGTCTCTTAGAGGCATGCCTCGCTTACTTTCGAATTGAGTAGTTCCTGCTTCTCCTCCTTCCCCTCCACTGCAATTTACCTCAATGTTAAACAAGACATGTTTCAACCGTTGAGAAGTCACAATGGTGATATTACCTCCATCTCCACCGTCGAAACCGTTCAGCTGTGACAATGAGGTGGAAGCGTTGGACGAGGAAGCGAACGAGGTCGAAGAAAAATGCTCGTTGAACAGATTTGAAGTCGGTGAAATGTCTCCAAACAGGTAAGGAGCAGAGAATTTGGATTTTGAACCGAGTGAGTTTGGATTGAGATTTGGAGCTTTTCCTCCTCTGTATTATTGTTCATTTTTGGAAAATGTAAGTTTTAGAAAAAAATTAGAGAATAGAGTAATTTGGACATTGTGTCAAAATTGTTCGGACAGTTGACAAACAGACGTTTCGATCATGAACAGACAGTTATCGTTAAATAATCCACGTAATGGACAACAACTTACCTTCCACCCTTTGCATACACTTGAATATGAAAGGGTTTTTCTTGATACTCTGGTATGGTATGAACACTTTCAGCAACAGAGCCATTCAATGAGCCGTTTGAAACTGGCTGTGATTTATACACTTTTATGAGTAATTGATTCTTTGATCCATTCTCTTCATCTTCTTCTATGACTACTAAAACATCTTGTCCATTGAAGCCACTATGTGAGAATTCCCAATTACGAAAATCTGCAATCAATCATAGAGAAATGAATACAAATACTTACGTTTCGTGTAGACCTTCAGATCCAGAAGCATCAATGAGTATCTTTCTTTCAGAATCCAGCTGTATTGCATTGTTGTTAGAAGAATACATATATCTTTCCGATTCATAAAACGCGCTCATGGTCGATACAGCCGAAGTAGGAGTTTCCAAACGATTCAATACGGCTGCAGATGAATCCATTCCTAAATTCGAAGAATTGTTTCTTAGTAACTGTTTTTGCTTGAGATTGGAGGATCTTGCAACAGAGAGTGCGCTTGCTCCCTCACTCTTTGTCATGGAACCATTGTTGTTACTATTAAGAGTTCGTTTTGGATGAAGATCGAGTTTTAATCTCTCCAATAACAAGTGCTTGCCCGAGTGAAGAGGTGGTTGAGGATGCTGTTGCTGAGAAGTGGGAAGCATGGATTTTGTGTACTTGGTTTCGGCACTACGAAAAGCCGAAGAGCTGTTGAAAAGGATGCTGTTGCGTTTTGCAAGCAAAGATCAAAATCAGAGGTTGAGCTGGAAACACAACTATTTTTCTTGTTGTGAACTGTGTTCAATGTTATTATTAATATGAAGTGAAATTGGGCCATCCATACGGGTTCTTTGTACCGATTTGGAAAGTGTAAAATGGATTTACTTTTTTTTTGGAAAAGTCATTCGAAAGGATTTGACATGATTTGAGGGAATGGAAAAAAAAGGTGTTGGCAAAGCTTGATGTTACTATGCCAAGTTCTATCTTCATAAAATGTTTGAAAAACAACAAATTAAGGAAAAACGTTGCCAAAAAATTCTACTCCCCCAAGTGGGCTCGAACCACTGACCTGCAGATTAACAGTCTGACGCTCTACCGACTGAGCTATGGGGGATGTGTTCTTTTCATCATTGTTCGTAAACTTCAGTCGCAAGTAAATGTAAGTCACATGCGACAACTGGTGTTACTGCTACATATACCATCATCAGGCATGCAACAACGGTTGCGTCTTGTAAGCCTTTGCGAACTCTTTTCATCAATACGTGGATTGGATCCAATTGTTTTTTTGAGGTTGTGTGGCATTTAAAAGATCAAGGGTTGTTGCCATTTCAGAACCAACAGATCTCGTTTCATCTATGACTGATGAAGGAGTCGCATGTCCACAGCATGTTTTGTGCGTTCTCATCATCAAATAGTTTCATTGAGGGGTTTTTCAGAATAGCAATTCATCCTTTCCATCCCGTTTTTCCTCAAAGAAAAAATTGTTCATGTCGATTTGCAAGCTGGAACACGCCTCCAATCACACAACAGTTTCGGAAATTCTAGGACAGTGGAAGTCTTCAAAATTCGGAATCCATAACGATGATGTCAAGCAACAACTCGCCCAATTATCCATTTCCTTAAAACATGATGAAATTCCGATTTCGGGCTCCTTACAAATCAATTTCTCTAAATTTAAAGAGTTACTTCACGAACATGAGGAACATCAATATTCCAAACACACAGCCATGAAAATATTAGACCAATGTGGTTTTCCTTCAAGTAATAAGGAAGAGGTTCTTGTGGCTCGCTCCAGACTGATCCGAGTGTTGAGGCCAGGAATTTGTTGTGCTCACTCTACTTTGGATGCAAGTGAATTGGAATTATCCAGGACTTGGTACAGTCCATTGCTTGACCTTGTATCATTATTTCCATCAAAATTTAAAACAGATGGGTATGTTCTTTCTACATTTATGAAAATCGAGATTACTTTGTGGTCTAGGAACGTGCAAACAAACACGCTAGCAAACATTTCTGAGCAATTTGAAGAGAACTTGAAACAGGTGATTTCTAAAATGAAACCTGATCGATTTGTACAGTTTCAATTGAACCCTTTTTCAAACCAAAGAATTTCTGCCCCATTGATAATGATACGAGTGGTGGAAGAGGATAAAACAATGGATAGCTCAGAAGGTCATGAAGATTTTATAAAATTGGTTACAGAGCTACGAGTTTTACATAGCTACAATGTGAGGGCTATTTTTTTGGACCAAAAACAAAGCTTTCATGAAACATTCGCAACCTATGGACTACTTGTGACTAAAACCTGTGTGGATGTGATTGCAATCACAGTAGATCTAGAAAAAGATAACAATCAAGACCGCATGTATTATAATCTTCATCACATTGGTTCATTTGAAGGTGCACTAGAAGGCTCCCAAAGATCACGCTTGGAATTGTGTGCATTGTTGTTGGCAATATTTAAAACGTGTGCTGACGAACAAAAACAAATTGAAGAACATTTGCAACAACGAAAGAATAAGAAATCGAGCAAATTGAAATCAGCACGTAAAAGTGTAGCAAGTCGCTCCTTTCAACTTGTGCGTAATGATGAGATTGTCCTTAGTAATGGTTTTGGTTACGAAATTACGGGCATTGTAGAGTCTTGTGTGGATTCATCCAATGACAAACAAGTGGTTTTGGTGAAATCGAAAACAACATCGTTCTTCTTGAAAATTTTTAGTCCCTCACTCAACTACTACGATTGTAAACCATCTTTTTCTCTGTACCTCACTGATGCCAAATCATGTACGGTATACCGTAACAAGACATTCCACGTAGCACCAAACGATTTTGAAGTCTCTTTAAGTGGTACATGCTTGTCCCAACTACTTACGTTCCTTCCTGTGGAGAGCAAGAAACGTGTACTTATGGACCTACTTTGTGAAATGAAATACATTCATTCTAAGAATATGATCCATAATGATATCAAATTGGATAACATTGTGATTTATACAGACACAAACCAAGTTCAATATTCAAAACTTATTGATTTTGAGTGCTGTAAAATGTTTGTCAAGTACAATATGAAGGATGAGGTGTGTTATAGAAATAATGAAGATACGTTGTTTTCTGGGTCAGGTACTCCTGGATATCATCCTCCAGAAAAACTTGCCATCATTAACAACCCAAATAATTTGGATCTTTGCAGTTCTTTAACACCCAAATCCGACATTTATTCATTGGGCATTGTGTTTTTGGAACTTCTTACTGGAAGATATATAAGCGAATCGCAGGAAATTCAAACAGCATTAACAACACTCTCGAACGACAATGATTTTGCTCATTTGCAAGAACTAATTTCAAGTATGATTGATCCAGAAAAAGCAAAACGCCCCATGGCAAGCACAATTATAGAAACTCTCACTCGTGAGAAGGGATGGGATACGCAATTGGCACAAGAAGCATGGAAGAAAGCGCGAACACCATTGACTTACGATTTCTGGACAACACACGGCACCTTAGAAATGGATGTGGACAGTCAACCATTGGACACTGGAATTGATAATACCGAGATGGAACAACTGTTAGAAGTTACAAGCGGCTTGGAATCGACAGAAAACAAGAAACGAAACCACCCTGTTTTGGACGTCATGGACACCAAGAAAAGGAAACATTGATTTCTCTATTTTCTAACATTTGCGTCATATCCACTCCACTAATGCAGACCATTGCATCAGATCCACCTCCTGATCCAATACCATTGACCCTTCGATCAGAATTGGAAACAGAGACTTGGAAAACAATCACCAACAAATGGCTCAGTTCACTACCCCGCCAATTCCGGTTACAGTTTAAAAAAAAATTCGCGACTTCTAGCCTTCGTTTTTCTCTTTTGATATCACAATACTAAGAAATGAACCAATAATGGTAGAAACTGTGCTTTCGTCTCATCAATATACTTCGGATGATGATTCTTCTTCGGATTTTCTTTCAGCTTTTGAAAACAGCAAGTTTCCTCATGCAACGACAAAAATTGCAAAAACAATACCTCCTCTGAAATTTCCCAAATCATCCTCTCAACAAGATCTATCGCTCAGGCAATCATCATCACGAAGAAATAATGACACCATCACCACTCCTAAATCTTCATCGAGGGATAGGTACTCGAAAAATACTACACCCTCCAAGCAAACACAATCCTCGTCAAACAAAAATTCGTCATCGCGTTTACTGAACACCCAATCGAGTCAAGTTGCCGTTGACAATAACAACGTAAAAGATGTAACTTCAACACCAACAAAATTAGCTAACTCACGAAAACAATCAGTATCTTCGCTCCGACAATTAGAATCCTCTCTTCCAAATAAGCCTCTCCAAGACAAACCCAACAGCACACCACGTTCCTCCAGAACAAGTACAAATTCTCAGCAATTGGGAAAGTCAACAAATCAAACTCAAAATAATTTACCTCATGTCATCAACAACTCCAAAATTAATCATCAAGAAAATTCCATCAAGCGATTGACATCCTCTAAAGTTGTCAAGGACTCTTCCAAATCCTCCAATCTCAACACTACCACTCCAAGATCTTCCCGCACCTCTTCTTCCATTAATTCCAGTTCCAGCAGTACTAATAATTTAGGACAGCTTGTAAAATCCCCCATCCCTCCCTTAACCCATGCTACCTCTTCTAATTTATCAACGAGTAACAATGTCAAGACTGAATGGAGTAATAACTCTACCTCAGCCCTTTATTTCTGCAGCAACAATTCCGAGACGAACAGTAAGGAATTAAATAGCTCCCTAAATTTTAACAATTTATCACAGAAAACAGTAACGTCTCATGAACGTTCTGCATTGCAATCCTTTGATACATCACAAAAAACCATCAAACCAATATCTGATATGAGCAAAATAGATGTCAATCATAGCGTACAAAAATGCATTGATAATCCAACAACTTCATCTCGAAAAGAACTTTCAAAAGCAACCAAAAGCTCTTCTTTACCGAACAGTTCAAGAAAAATGCAAGGAAATAGCTCACAACAGAAAAAATCACCACTTGGTACAAATGTTGTTCTATTTTCACATGATTTCGGTTTTGAAACAGATTATTATCCAAACATTCAGCCCAATGAAATTGATCATATCATTCATGACGACGATGATGGATCACCAGATGACTCATCCATTGAAGTACTCACAGTTCGTTCTGCAGTTGAAGACATGTTTTATAAAACCCACAGTAATTCTCAGACTCCTAGACTCGGAAAGCAAGGCTCTCAGAGCTCATTGTATGGTTCCACTTCTTCATCGAGGTCAAAACATAGCAATACAAGCTCCCATGACAATGAAGAAGACATACGAACCTTTAGTGAGAAGGAACTACGAATGCTTCAGCAAAGCTTATCCAAACACTCAGGAAGCAACCATGTAGTTCATGCAAATATTGATGATGAAAAAACAGAGAATAATTTTTGGGCTCAAGTTGAAAGAGATCATTTTTCGCTACTGAGCGACAGTGAAAAGATGTACACACTGTTTTCGAGGTGGATACAAGAGGAACAAGAAGATGAAATTAAGGATCTCTACAAGCTCCAATATCATGAGTGTGATGTTCAATCGACGGAAAGTTATGATCCACCACAATTTCAAACCTATGTACGTGACGAGTTAAGCAAACTGAAAAAAGCATCATCCATCATCTATGAAGAAGCATTTGTTCTAATTGTAGACTATTTCGTGAATATTATTGTATCACGGCATGACCAATCCTCAGTGTCGACCTCATCAACAGTCGATTTGCTTTTAGAGTGGTCCGAGTACATTTCTCTCGAGTTTTTTGATTACTTAGATATTAAGCGGATAGGAAGTACTTCAAAAGAGTCTGTTTTTATGATTTTATGTCTGATATCAGCTCAATGCAAACGAAAATTATGCCTTTTTCTTGAAATATTTGGAGAAACGATTTTTGAGCTGTGTCGTTCTTCCTCAATTGTGTCCTCTAGTCGTAGCTTGAAACGCTCATCAACTCAACCAAAGATGACAAGTATTCATGAGGCAAGAAAATTGGCATTCATGTGTGGTATTGATGATATTCAGTTCACAAAAACTCTTGTGAGATATAATTATCAGGATTTGGAATGGCTCGACTTGGAAACTTTTTTAAAAGTTTACAGGCACATCTTCCTAAAGTTCGACAGAGGAACACTTCATGAGAAGGACTACTTTGTTCCTCCCATGATTTCACCCTCGACTGACCGTGCCACAGCTCCTCCAATCTCTGCAAGAAAAGTAGGTGGCAGTTGCAGTAGCGAGACGAGTAGTAGCAATCGTAGTGGTGTACACCCTAACACACCTATGGCTGTAGCGTCGACTATTAGCACCATCGTTTCGTCAACAACGAATAGTAACAACAACAGTGCACATCCTTCTCTTGAAGGCACAGCTCTTCATATGGACAGTCTGTGCTCCACCATTAACTCCTCGTCGTCTGTTGTCATTGAGACAGCGTCAACATTGTCTGAAATGTGCCATCCTCCCTCAAATGCAGTCACCTCGAATCAAGATGGTGTCAACAAAGCTCAATCAACCCAGCAACAGCCAGCAGGTACTCTCTCAAGCGTTGCAAATGCTTTAGCCATCTTGGCGTCGTCAACGGTGACACCTCTTGCAACATCAGTAACTCCTAACACTGAGATGGAAAACTTTTATGACCCTCCTTCATCTGGACGAACACCAAAACAAATCTACAGTAGCTCTAAAAAAATTGCCTTTCCCCTTAGAGGTATTTCACAAACTCAGCTGGTTGACACTCTTTCTGAGAATTCCCATCAGAACAGAACAACAACGAACAAACACAGTGAAAATCTTGGAAAAGTACAACACTCTCTCAAGCATGAAGAAACTCCCTATTTCATTGAAGAAGAAATCAGCAAGAAGCAAATACCATTAGTCAGTGATGAGAAATTCTTGGAAGAAACCAAAGAAAAGGTCTTTGTACCTGCCCATCCTCACAACGATGTTCATTCTTCAAAAAGCAAATCCTCTTCAAAATCTTCCACAAAATCCTCAAACAGCAAACGCAACAAATATCTGGTCAATGCCACCAATGATGTCACCAGTACACACAAGAAAACAGTGCATTCCACCAATGAAAAGAAAGGCAGTAGTCGAAAGAGGTGGAAATGCTGTATCATGTAATCATCTTTTCGACAGTGCCGGAAGCCAAACGGAAGAGAGTTTGTATTGCGAGAAATAATAAAAAAAATTGGCTGTTGTATTTTGCCCTCACATTTGAAAACGCTTTGATAGCCTTTCCGTCCAATACAAAAATTCATACAAAATGATGATGGCACCAAGTATCAACCCTCTCTACATTGATGGAGAGAGAACTACAGGAAATGAGGTTAGAGTAGAGAATGGTAAGTTTTATGATACAGAGAAATGTTGAAAATTTATATAAACCTAATTCCGGTGTATCAAATGATTATTGTTGTCGTCTTGATTGATGATAATGATAAATGGATAACATATATCTTCACCATGTTGGCAATGTTGTATCATCAAAACGGAACACACGGAAATTGTCGGCTTTGGTATTTATTACGTACCTCTGAAATCATCATTCACTCTCATCACCACCGTCTTTTAATACACTCATTCTGAAACAACAACAACAATCTCTCTTGGAAATTATTCTCCCTCTAAACAACAACAACAACAACAACAGTGCAAGCATGTCAAACCATTCAAAATATCATGAAGACATCCTTCGGTCCTCAAGGTCTTGACAAGATGCTTGTCGATGAAGTAGGTGATGTTACCGTAACAAACGACGGAGCTACCATCCTCAATCTCATCGAAGTCAACCATCCAGCAGCAAAGACTCTTGTGGAGCTTGCACGTACACAAGACGAAGCTGTTGGTGATGGTACCACATCTGTAGTATTGTTAGCAGCTGAGTTGCTGAAACAAGGTCAAGAATTAATCAAGGAAAAGATTCATCCAACCAATATCATTTCCGGATACAAATTAGCTGCTAAAAAGGCTACTGACTATATCAAGAACGAATTACAAATTTCCACACAAACACTCGATCGTGAATCATTGATTAATGTTGCCAAGACATCTATGGCTTCAAAGGTTTTGGGTCCAGAATCCGACTTGTTTGCCAAATTATGCGTTGATGCATTGTTGGCAGTAAAAGTGATTACAGGCACAGGAAAGGAGAGATATCCAATCAAGGCTATTAACATTCTTAAACAACACGGAAAGTCAATGAAGGAAAGTACTTTGGTCAATGGTTTTGCCTTGAACAATACTCGTTCTTCACAACAAATGCCAAAAGTCATCAAGGGTGCCAAAATTGCTCTTTTAGATATTGCTCTCAACAGACAAAGAATGAAGTTGGGAATTAAATTCCAAATCACAGATCCAAAGGAATTGGAAGGCGTTCAAGAACGTGAACAAACCTTAATTCGTGATCGTATTCAAATGCTTTTGAACGCAGGCGCAAATGTTATTTTAACAACAAAGGGTATTGATGATATGTGTTTGAAATACTTTGTTGAAGCAAACGCCATTGCTGTCAGAAGATGTGATAAGGATGATTTGAAACGTATTGCTAAATTGACTGGAGGTACTTTGGTTACCTCTTTTGCTGATTTGGAGGGAGAAGAGTCATTCTCTCCTGACAATTTGGGACATGCGGACGAAGTTGCTGAAGAAGAGCTTGCTGGTGATTCTTTAATTTATATCCGTGGAACAAAGCTTACTTCATCTCAATCCATCGTTTTACGTGGTGCCAACAGCTTCTTGTTGGACGAAATGAGCCGTACCATTCATGACGCCATGTGTGCATTGAAACGAGTTTTGGAATCAAAGAATGTTGTTCCAGGAGGTGGATGTGTTGAAACTGCTCTCTCTGTATATTTGGATCGATTTGCAATGACCATTGAAACCAGAGAACAATTGGCTATTGCTGCCTTTGCCAATGCTCTTTTGGTGATCCCTAAAACTCTTTCTGTTAATGCTGCTCTTGATGCAACAGAATTGGTCGCTAAATTGCGAGCCTATCACAATGATGTTCATGAATTGAAGAAGAAGGAATATTTAAGATATGGTTTGGATCTCATGGCAGATAACGTTAGAGATAATTTGGAAGCAGGTGTTTTGGAACCAGCCATGTTAAAGGTGAAATATATTCAATTTGCCACTGAAGCTGCTATTACCATTCTTCGTATTGATGACATGATTCGTATCAATGAGCATGAACAAGAGGATCCAAGAAAGAAGAGAAGGTAAATGTATGTAGAACACTAGGATTGTGAAGACAAATTTTAACATTTCTCCAGAAAGAAATAAATCTTAATTATTCCAAGTCCATTCGGTGCTCCAGGAGCAACTCCTGTCAACTCCGTTTTTTTGCTGACAGTGAAATTTGAATCTCTGTCAAGATTTTCTTCAACAACAAAAATGACACCACTTGCATCATCGTCGTTAGTGGCCTTGACGTTGGCCCTCTTGCTGAACACTCTCTTGTTGGTATCATCATCCGAAGGAGTTTGCAACTTTGAAGCCAGTAAGTACCATTTTTCCATTTGATATATCCCAACTCTAACATCATTCCATGTTGTTATCGGGGAACGTTTCAATTATTTTCATCATCGTTCCATGATGACCCATCAACACAACAGACACTCCCATTCCATTTGATGAAATCAAAAACTGTGCACTCAACACCACTCTGGATCCCACCATCTTTTCTCAAACTCTCTCCAGTATCCGAAAAACCATTCCCATGTACGTCTTTTTAGAATATGTCAAGGATGCTTCGGATCCTCATTTCAACATTCAAGTCGATTTGTTGGCCGAATTGGAAAAGATTTCTCAACAGCACTATGAGAGAGATTTTGATTTTCATCAAGATCTCGTCGCCTTGTTTAGAAAATTGAACGATGGACATACTTTATATTTTGGACCACAATGTTATGGAAATTTAGTTTACAGACAACCATTTTCAATTATTTCGTATGTGGATTCATCATTGGGAAGCGCCGTTCAAAAAATTGGAATTGCTTCTCTCAATAATGCTTCGGGAATTGTGAATTATTATCAACAACTTGGTTTTGATTTGAATTCACATGTTGGAAGTGAAATTAAGGAAATTGATGGTCAACCTGCATTAGACTTTATTTCAAAGTGGGCCAATGAATATTCTGGCGGTTACAAGGATCCTGGAGCTCGATTCAATGTTGCAATTAGTAACTTGTTTATGACTCGTTCATTGAATCGTTTGCCCATTCCATCCAAGTCAACTGTCACCTATGTGTTGTCACGAGATGGAGCAGCGGATGTTACTTTGGAACTTCCTTGGGTTGGTTCATCATTGATGAGTTACAATAATTCTACAGATTTTTATCAATCGTGTTTGTCCTCTCCCTCTTCTTCGGAACACGCCTCAAAAAGAACACTCACTCAACAACAACGTACTCAATTGAAACGTCAAAAATTATTACATCCATTACAAGAGGAGAGAACAAGTCCACTTCTTTCATTGTCGACTCAAGTCGAGCATAAGGTTGTGAATCTTCTCAAAGGTGATCAAGTGAGCTATTTTGAAATTGATGGACAAGTGGGTGTCATTACTATTGATTCCTTTGTTCCACAGTCTGAAGTTGCTTTCGCTAAAGATTTTCAAATGAGCATGTATATGGCAAAGCTCAACAAAATTCCAAAACTCATCATTGACGTGACGAATAATGGCGGAGGTGAAGAATGTTTAGGTTATGCCTTAATCAAGTACTTGTATTCATCGGCATTTTCACAAAATTTTGTGACACTTTTTGCTCGAACCGATATGATTGCTACAGATTTGGGTAAAGAATTAGCTCTCAAGGGAGCAAGTCAATTGGGACCAAATGACGACTCGATTTGGAATCCAGCTACATGGAGAGATATAGATGGTATGAGTTTTACAGATGCTTCATGGTATACGGAGCAACAAAATTATACACGTGGTACCAATGTTCCATCACATGCCTATACTTCAATTTTGAAAGAAAATTATTGTCAATCATCATTTGATAATTATTATTTCACTGGAGAGGATTTATTGAACTATTCACCAGATAATATCATCTTGCTGTCGAATGGAAGATGTGCAAGTACTTGTGCACTTTTCACACGACACTTGCAAGAATCCAAGAAGGCCAAGACAGTTGTTGTGGGAGGATTACGTGGTCAATCTCAACAAATAGCTCAAGTACCTGGAGGACAAGTCTATGAATTTGAAGATTTATTGGCTGATATTCAATCTTTAAAGATTAATAGTGATTTGGCTCCAACTCCACTTCCTGTGAAATCTCGATTCAGATTTGCCATTCGTGAAGCATATGCTTGGTCTGAACCAGATTTGAAACCTCTCGAATTCTTCTTCGAAGGTTCTGATTTCCGATTGGACTATTCCAAAGAGAGTGCTGTGGATCGATCCAAAGTTTGGATTGATACCCTCCAATTTTTCGATGTTTGTGCTCCATGGCAAACCAAATCGTGTGAAATTCCAAATGGAAGTGGTCAACAATCGTGTGTTGGAGGAAAATACTCGGCTCAATGTCAACTCGTTGAATGTGCTCCAGGCTATGGAGTGGACTCATCCGAATGTAAGCCATGTCCAGTTGGACACTATAAGGGCATTGGTGGAACGACATGTCTCGCCTGTACCAACAAGCCATCCTCCGATAATGCCCAATACACCAACGCATCGACGAGCAATAACTGTCCATTCGAATGTGTGGAAGGATTTGTTTTAGATTCTGTGAAGAATGTTTGTGTGGAATCTCAAAATTTGACCATTGGAAAGGTATTGTTTGGATTTATTGTCACGTTATGTGTCTTGTTCCTTCTCTTTGCATGTGTATTGTTGGCCTCAACGATATTCTTGTTCGTGAAAAATTATAGAAATCGAATGGCCAATAATGAAGCATTAAGGTTGATTTAAGTAAATTTGGAAATTTTGAAACTTGACGATTGTTAAAAAACAAATTCCATAATGTGCATTCCTTAATCCACCAGGGGTGATGGCGGATCAGGCACGATGTTTACAACATTTCGAGATTTTATTCCGACCATGTTTTCGCAGTATTTGTGGAGGACCGGAAAATTTTAGGAGGATTTTGCATGAACAAAGAATTGACGAAAAAACTTTTCGGGACACACAACACAAAAAAACAACGCGATAGGAAAACCTTGAAGCATATTGATTTCAACAACAAAGAGATTAGTCGTCGGAAGAAGAAGAAAATCTCACTCATACAATCAACCACCATTTCATTCCTATTTATTAATACTTGTAAAATGTCGTCGGAATTCAACAATTCTATTCGTCGTATGATGAATATTAAACAACATTTAATACCAGACCATCATCCGATCCATGGTTCTTCTTCATTCTCTCAACCATTATTGATTGAACTTAATGAAACGGCTGCCTCTAATACTGTACCATCCTCCTCGAGCGTGATGAATTCTCCAACACTCGTTTCATCTTCCTCCAATCCATCATCATCATCCGAAAAACGTTATATAGAAGTCAAAGACTCCAAGTCTGGAAAAATCATCAAGATCAACGTTGAGGAAGGAGATGCCATCAAATCCGTTGCTTTTGAACAATTAAATTTGGTTTGTTTGGATCCTGGTTTTATGAATACAGCCATTGCTCGCTCCAGTATCTCATACATTGATGGAGAGAAGGGAATTTTACGTTATCGTGGTTATGATATTGAAGAATTGGCTGAAAAATCATCATTCCTTGAAGTTGCTTTCCTATTGATCAATGGAGAACTTCCCGATAGAAATCAATTGAGTTTGTGGGAAGATCGGGTGACCAAACATTCCTATCTTCATGAAAACATGGTAACCTTGTTGAAACAATTTAGATATGATGCACACCCAATGGGAATGGTCATTTCATCAGTGGCTGCTTTGGGAACTTTTTATGAAGATGCAAATCCTGCCTTGCAAGGAGCTGATTTGTATTTGAAGGGAGAAGGAAAGGATCCTATCAAGATCGATCAATTACGATTTAAACAAATTTATCGTCTTTTGGGTAAATTGCCAACCATTGCTTCATGTGCCTATCGTCACAGAATTGGTAAACCTTACAATAATCCAGTGAATAATTTAACATATACTGGAAATTTCTTGTACATGTTGGACCGATTGAGTGAGACGAACTATCATCCAAATCCAGTGTTGGCACGTGCTCTTGAAAAGTTGTGGATTATCCATGCAGAACATGAAATGAATTGTTCGACTGCAGCCATGCGTCACTTGAGCTCGAGTCGAGTAGATCCATATACAGCCATTGCAGGTGCTGGAGGTGCACTGTACGGACCATTGCATGGAGGTGCTTGTGAAGCAGTGTTGCACATGTTGGAAGAAATTGGAACTAAGGAAAATATTCCCAAGTTTATTGAAGATGTCAAGAATAGAAAGAAGAAACTCATGGGATTCGGTCACAGAATTTATCGTTCCTATGATCCTCGTGCCAAGATTGTCAAGCAAGTGGCTGATGAAGTTTTCGAAATTCTCGGCAAGGAACCAATGATTGAAATTGCTATTGAATTGGAAAAGATTGCCCTCAACGATCCATACTTTAAGGAACGAAAATTGTATCCAAACGTTGACTTTTATTCAGGACTTGTCTATAAGGCTCTGGGATTCCCAACTGATTATTATCCAGTGTTGTTCTTGATTCCTCGTGTGGCTGGATGGTTGGCTCACTGGATTGAAAGTTTGGAAGATCCTGATGTTAAGATTTTCAGACCAAAACAAGTCTATACTGGAATCGAGCATCGAAAATACATTCCTGTGAATCATAGAAAGCCTGCCCAAACTAAGAATGCCACAGCACTCAAGTCATTCATTTCTCCAATGTCCAAGCGTAGATCTAATGAATAAGACTTTAATGTAATTGTAGGACAAAATCAACAATGATTCAATTTGGTGAGTGTATGTGTGTGAGACTTGTATTTATTAAACCCTCTGTGATTTCAATTTAATAGGTTGTGCCATTTTCCAAGTGAGGAAACCTTAATGATATTCTCAAGAATCCAACACCTAGTCAGACAAAATATTTCAAGATTCGAAGATTCGAACTTTTTTATTCAACGATATTGGAGTTAGGCAAAATTAGACAAATTGTAAGCACACTCAAAATTGTTTAAAATTCCTCATTGTGATCCATAATGACTTTCATAATGTCGGTCAATGTAATGACACCAGTGACCTTTCTCTCGTCATCAACAACCCAAACTCTGTGCATGGAATGATCGAGTTTAACAGTTTGTCCGTGCAACACGTCATGAATTTCTGGGTGCACCAATTTTCGTACCAAATCAACAAACTTCAATCCTTCCAATTCAACAAAGAATGGCACAAGAGATTTTGGAGAGTATTGCTCCAAGAAGGAACGTGTAGTCAATTCAAAGTGAGGAAGTCTATCCAAGTAGAATCCTCTCAAATCTGAGGCACTCAAATTACCAACCAATTTTCCAGAGTGGTCCACAACTGGTAAAGCACTCACACCAGTCTTTGCCAAAGTCTTCATACCATTCAAAACAACATCATTTTGATTAACGGAAACAGGAGTTGCCAAACCAAGTCCCAAATCCTTAACAAGCTTCTCACCCAAATTCTTCATCTTGCCCATATGCAAGTGCTCGGAAAGCTTCTTGACAATATCAGTTTGTGAGAGAGTTCCAATGTACAAGTCAGTGGTAACGTCCTCCTCAACAATACATCTGTGGACACCTCTCGAGAAGAGCTCAATAGCCATTGTGGATGGAATGTTGCTCTTCAATGGCATGTATTGATCACGAGTACTAAAGCCCATCACGTGCTTGGCAGTTTGCAAAGTAATGCATCTACCAGCAATGGCCACATCGGACAAGTTTCTCAATTGATCCATCTCTGGAGCTGCAGCAACAATATATTGAACGATATCAAGCATGGAGAGCATACCAATCAACTTGTTGTGCTTATCCAAGACTGGAGCAGCCAAAAGATGATGTTGAGAGAGTTGGTTCACTACTTCTTGGAGAGTTTCATCTTCCTTCAACAAGACGAGCTTTTGTCCCGATGGAATCATATCCTTCAATGCGATATGATGAAAGAATTCTTGAATACTATTCTTGTGCATGGTGAGAGTTTAAGGGTTGTTGGTTTGGGTGCTTTTTTTTGGCTGAAGAAATCTACAAGCTGCTCTGTCAGGTTGAGTTTAATACAAGGTTGGTTTTACAATAGGCGTTAGCCAGCTCCAGTGATTGCACTACGAGATTTGATGATGCAAAAATCTACTGCTGCTGCACTTTTAAATTTTGACTTTTTTGCCACGAGTTCAAAACAAGAGCTCTCAAGAACTTTTTGGGTTCATCAAGTCCAAAAATGTCTTAAAAAAATTCTGAAAAATTTTGGATCAGTGAATACTGATGACGATTCTCTCACTCACTACAGTGAAAGGGATAGGTTGTGAGAGTTCAATGAAAGGTTTTTTAAAATCAAGAGATTTCTGCCTTAAAGATATCTAATTTTTGTTGCCAGATTTTTCTTTGTTTTAAATCAATCAAAAACGAAGAGAGTAATGGACAGAAGAAGGTTCAAGCATCGCCAATAATGTTTTAAGTTATTGGTTTGAAGCAACTTCAACGTGCAAAAAACTTGTGTTTCTTAGGTCAAATAAGTCATGATCATCTTGCCTAACACAGGTCTAATCAAGATTTCCAGACAGATTGCGTTTTATTAAATTATGTGTACACAATTGATCAACCTGAATGTCCGCCGCTACATGATAATGCTGTCGATTATGAATTATTTACATCATGACCCAATCCTCGTCTTTTGGATCATATTTTCTCTTAAATGCTTTCTTCTTGCTTTGAACAATGGAAGGAGTAGGCATGTTCATAATTGGAGTATTCGGATTGCTCGTACTATTTACATTATTATACGTATTGGTAATGCCAGGAAGCGTTTTCTCGGGTTGAACACCAAGAAAGTTTGTTGGCTTTTCTGAGTTTGTCGATTGTTCTTGTGGATTGGTTTTAGGAAAGTCTCTCATGTTGTGTTGAAGTTATTGTGATCAAAAGTTGATGAAGTTATTGAAAAGAAGGGAATGAAGATGAAGGGATTTTTTGTTTGAAAAGATAAGATGAGGGCTGAGTGTTGTTGTTGGCATCAATGATGTTTATTACCATTTTGGTGATGCTTTCTTAGAATGTGTATTTTCTAAATATGTAAATGAACTTTGTAGTATTGTGGATCATATGAGCTCATACCAAGTGACATGTGCTTTACTGTTTTCTCTTTCGGTACATACACCAAAGTACCAACATTGGATGAATCAAAGAGGGTTTTTAAATAAGGTGTAGGTAGTTTCTATAAAATTCTGAAATAAAAACACATGACCACACAACTTGAACAAATGTTACTATTGAGTTTAAGCTCCCATAAATAAGCTGTCCCTTATTCGCTTCAGCAAACTCTTCTCCTTGATTTGAACGAGATATGTATTGTTGCTATGAGAACTACAGAAGACTTGCCATCGAATACCTTCCTTAGCCTTTGCGACACCACTCAAATTCTTTGGCTCATTGACCGTGTAGAAATGACCTAAACCCAAATTTCCAAATGTGTTGCATCCTATGAGTGGTGTGAATCAAACATAAATATTCAAAGATAGCCAAAGAAAATGTAAAATATTATAACACAAAGATTCATAGAGTTAGCAAACAGACAGATACCAATCAAGTAAATGTTCGAATTAATAAATAGGTATAATACAAAATATTTCTTCTTACCTGTTGCATAGAAATCCTGTTTCGACGAGCTATCCAACGACGTGGTCGTGAAATACGTATGAGACATGCCACAAGTGGCCTGTAAAACTCGAATATTCTTTTGTTCAAATTTTTCAATCATGTTAAATTCAAATCGATTCTTGTAATCTCCAAGTCCTAGTTGTCCATCTTCGTTTTTACTATTGAAGGGTATGATATTTAAATAACATTAAGGTTGTCATCAATCGATACAACAAAAATGTAACAAGAAGGTCATATTGCATGTATAAATCTTCACAATAGTAACTTACCCACATGCATAGGCCTCTCCAGATTCAGTCACAAGAATTGTATGATCCAGACCAGCAGAGATCCATTTCACTGTTGGCACATCATCCATGTATGGCATGGGATGTAAAAAAATTGGAGTCACTGGAGTGTACGAGCAACGAACATCTTTTCCAAGTCCAATTTCTCCATGTATATTTAATCCACAAACAAAGACTTTTCCTCTTTTTGTCAAAAAAACAGTGTGACAAGCACCGGTAGCGACCTGCTCAATGTAATCACCTTCATAGGCTAAATGATCAAAGCAGTCCAGTCGAATAGGTTTTGACACGTAACTAAAATCGATTTGCTCTCCTTTGTGTTGAAAATAATTTTCTTGTTGAATTCGTCTTTCCATTTCTTTGGGATTGAAACCTAATGAAAGTATTAAAAGATGAAAAATTGACAAGTATTCCATGATTTGTGAAATTGGCACACGATAACCACATTGCAATTGTGTTAAAGAATTTTTACAAATGAAAAATTTTGTATTATACCTACCTAATTGCCCGAATGATTTGTGAAATTGGCACACGATAACCACATTGCAATTGTGTTAAAGAATTTTTGCAAATGAAAAATTTTGTATTATACCTACCTAATTGCCCGAAAATGTTAAGACCCTAGTAACATCATGATGTTGTTAAAATTCAAGGTCTAATGGCGTTGAATGATTAGTGTACTACCTACCATTCCATAAATATGGTGATTCTCAGTGAGAATAATCGTGTGATAAGCTCCACATGAAATGTTTACAATTTTTTCATGTTTTGGAAAATTAATTCTTGTAAAGTAATTCTTATTTTTTGTTCGAAGATCTAGACCTAATTGTCCATATAAATTGGATCCACAACTATACAACCTCCCTTGCTTGGTTGCTATAAAGCTAAAATCTCGTCCACAAGCGACGACAGTGATATAATCTTTTTTGGTAATAATAAAAAATTGAATTCAATATTAGAAATATACACAAGAATGTGACACATAAAAACACAACACGATAAAACAAACCTCTTTCGATTGTTCCAGGAGGATTCAAAATATGGTCAATGTCAATGTGAGTACTGGAGGTCACTTTCTCCATCATTTGCTTACTCGTTGCTCCTTCTGGAATATTCACCAAGAAAGAGGTAACATTTCCAACTCCAACCTGTCCAACATCGTTACAACCTATTTTCACATGAATAATTTTAATATTTCAAAAGAGATTTTCATCCATTGAAAGAATTGTAAGAAAATTCATTAATCCGTGTTTCACATCATTTCAGAAATATTGAATATTGTTGTTGATCCAAAGAGACTAAGATGAAACCTACCAATACCAAAAAGCCTTCCCTTGTTTGTCAAAACAAACGCATGTTTCTCTCCGGCATCAATCATTCGGATCCGTTCTTCCTTATCGGAAAATAATATTGCATCAGAGGCAGTAAATACATTCCTATTAATATTATCATTCAGAAAAAGTTGATAATGTCCATTAAATCCACATCCAAATAATCGTGTATGATACGATGAAAAGAATCTCCGTAAAAGCCTTGACATTGAATAATTTAAAATCAATAATTTAAAAAGTTGCAAGTAATGGGTGTAAAAGATGATGGTCTGTACACTCGTAGAGTGCTAAAGGAGAATGAATGATGGATTTAAAAGATGATGAGCGATCGGAATGTAAGATGAAATGGAATTTTTTTTGATTTGTTTGAAATCTAAAATAAGGAGATTCTTTTTGATTCAAACACGACAATATCAAGAACAGAATCAATCAATAAATGTGAACAATTTGGGGTGAATATGTTTTTTGAATCAGGTGAATTTGGGGATTATTTAAATATTACAACAAAGAAGCAAAAAAAATGAAATCATTGAGCGTGAGGAAGAATGAAAGGCATCATGATGAAGAAATTAATTCCGAAACGATATCCGTGATGACGCAATTTTCATTGGAATCTACAAGTAAAAAATTTAGTGCAACGAGTAGTGCAATGTCTTCTCCAAAAACACCGCCATCATCATTAAAACAGAAAAAACGAAAATCGCCATCATTAAGCACTCCGAGACAAGTACAGAATTTTATTGCAACGGTCGTGCTTGAAAAATTGAAAAAACATTTTGAATTATCAACATCAGATCAGACAGAATTCTCTGAAAAAACTAGTGTAAAACAAAATGCTCATAATGATGAACATGATGATCGTGAGAAGGACCGTATCTCTAGAGTGAAGAAGAAAAAGAAAAAACCAGCATGGATGGAAATTATTGAAGAAGCAGAAAGAAATAATTATCATGTAAATGAGGATACTAAACCTGTTGAAAATGAAATGAGCGTTTCAGCAGAGAATGATTTTTCAACGCAAATGACGAAAAAGACTTCTCGAAAATCAAGAAGAAAGAGCATGAATGGGCAAAATGATTTTTTAGTAAATGAGGATTCAGAATTGTCTGAAAGTGACAACGTTGAAATGACTATCAGCTCACGAAAAAGAAAAAAGAAATCTACAATTATTGTCACTTCTGATTTAGATATCAACGAAGACTATGAAAAAAATAGAAAACGCACAAAACAAGCGAAAATTTTACAATTTTTCACCAAACAAGAGAAGTAATTGGAAAATGTTAAATATTGACTTTTATCCAAGAAAGTAGCTTAACCAATTGGATTTTGCTAAATTGCACATGACGAAAATTGTGCAACACCAGCACCATTTGGTTCAAGTTTTTGTCAAATCGATTCATCCACAACATGACATGACGGCAGAAATGAATTGGAATTTGCTTCAAAAGTCACAGAGCCAACAAAGAACTGATTTTGAAATTTCAAAAGTTTCAAATATTTATTCTAGCTCAATGTCCATGCTCTGAAGCTTGTTGCTCAGCCTTTTTCAATTCACCCAAATAATCCTTTCCCTCCAAGACAATGGACTTGAGATAAGAAGCATTGGCTTTACCAGTTTCTTCAATCAATGAAGCAAATATGGAAGGTTCTTGTCGGGTGAGTAAATTCTTTGGAGAATCAAATTCAGCCACTTCTCCTGCTTTGAGGCCAAGAATACGATCCGAGTCAATAATGGTGTTCAATCTGTGAGCCACTGTTAGAACAGTTCGGTCGCTAAATTCTGTACGAACAGTTTGTTGAAGGAGAGCATCTGTGTGAATATCGACACTGGCAGTGGCTTCATCCATAATTAAAATTTTGGTCTTTCTTAAAATTGCTCTTGCAACACAGAATAATTGTCGTTCTCCCAATGAAAAGTTTTCTCCATACTCGGCAACTTTGGCGTCGAGTTGGCCTTCCAGATTCAAAACCTTCTCTTTGATATGAGCACGTTCCAATGCTTGCCAAATTTGATAGTCTTCAAATTCATTGAATGGGTCCAAGTTGAATCGTAAAGTTCCACTAAACATAACTGGATCTTGCGGAATGATGGCCAATTTTTTACGTAAATCATGTAAACCAATTTGGCCAACATCCACTCCATCAATGATAATTTGCCCTTGACTAATTTCTGTAATTCTGAACAAGGCTAACATGAGTGTTGATTTACCACAACCTGTACGCCCAATAATTCCAACCTTGTCTCTTGGATTAATGTGCAAACTCAAATCTCTCAACACAAAATCTAGCTCTTCTCTATATTTAAGATAGACATTTCTGAGCTCAATTTCTCCCTTTTGTGGCCAATCTTCTGGAGGTTTAGTACTCTCAATGGATTTTGGAGCTTCTTGAGGAATTTCTTCACAATAATACAAGACTCTTTCGACAGAGTTCATAGCGGCCTCAGCTTCCACGGCACATCGGACCAACCATGAGGCAGTACTTGTTAAACTGAGGGCATAGGTCAATGTAAGACCAGCCATGGCCGATGAAGAACCTCCAATGACACCTGACAAGGCAGCAAATAAAACAATCATAGCTCCAACTAATTCCAATCGGAATGCAAGCCATCTCTGAGAAACCAATTGAGCAAAGTAAGCTCTATTGTTTCGATCCAAAAGCTTTTCATTCTCACGCATGAAATCTTCTTGTCTACGATAAGCTCGAATAGTGGCCACACCAGTCAATGTCTCTCCAAAATGAGCAAAAAGAGGACTTCTACTAATGGAATCCAAACGCTTCAATTCTCGACTCGTACTTCTATAATATTTCTGAACATAATAGTAAATGAAAAGAATTGGGAATATTGGAATCAAGAACAAGTAATTCACAGATCCAATGAGGAGAAGAGTACCAATCACTTGGAACAAACATGACATGAGCATTTTCAAAGTTCCAATGAGAGATGAGTCAATACTCTCAGTATCTTTAGAAAATCTGTTAATGATACGACCTGCTGGATTGGTATCAAAGAACACAGTGGGTGCATTCATGATCCGTTCGAGAGCCTTGTTGTGCAATCGCTTCGATGCTTTTAGTCCTGAAAGACCAAAAGTCAACTCTTGGAAAAAGGTGAGAATTGCAGCACCAACACCCAAGCCAATATAAATTCCAATGTACATGGGTAAATTGTATCCAAGATCGTGATTATTGTTTCCACCGCCATTGCTTTGCAAGACACTAGTACTTGATAACCATTGATTGACAAAGAATTGTGTGGGTCTATCTCGACCATCGTCTGGTTGTAATGAAGTGGTGGCAACATTGGACCACTCAGCTAAGAACCAATTGGTAATCATATTCGAAGCTTGAGTCAAGCTGTATAACAGTAAAATGATACCAAAGACGAAATATCCTCCTGCGTACTGAACATAGGATTTGTAGACACTGAATTTCACACTTCCTTCGGCACGATCCTCTGTACTCATGAGCTTACCGTTATTCTTCTTTGCTGCTTTTCCATCTTTTTCCTTTTCTTCTCCTTTTTCTTCTTCCTTTTCTTCTTCGTGTTCCATTTTGAAATAACTTTTTAGCATGGAGGAAAATGGAGAGTCACTTCTACCCAATTCTTGGTGAGTTCCTTGAGCCATAATTTTACCATCCTGGATGATGATAATATGATCAGCATCTTTGAGGTATTGCCATTGGTGGGTCACTAACACACGTGTCTTGTTTTGTAAGAGTCCACAAATGCAATTCTGGAATACAGATCGTCCAACATGTTGATCCAGTGCAGAGAGTACGTCATCAAACAAGTACACATCTGCGTCGGCATAGACGGCTCTAGCCAAGTTGACACGTTGTTTTTGACCACCTGAAATGTTGATTCCTTTTTCACCAATTTCAGTCAAATCTCCTGCAGTCAACACTTCCAAATCATGTTCTAGACTGCATGCTTCAATTGTTTGTTGATATCGTTCAGAATTAAATGGTTTTCCAAATAGAATGTTGTCTCTAACAGTGGCATTTCTAATCCAAGCTTGTTGAGGAACATAGGCAACTTGGCCTGAAACTTGCAAATTTCCATTCTCTTTGAACATTTCTCCAATAAGAGCTGATAATAGTGAGGACTTTCCGGAGCCCACTAGACCTACAATGACGACCAAGTCACCACGCTTCACTGTAATGTTAATATCTTTGAGTCTAAAGTCAGGCTTAATTTCATCCTTCTTTTGAGAATTATTTTCTTGAACAGCAACAGCAGTAGATTTGGTTTCTTCTTTCTTGTCGTCATCAACGAATTGAAGACCACCTTGCTGATTTGCTTCTGCTTCTTTTTCCTCTTCTTCATTGTCCTCCATGGAGAGCTCAATACGAACTTGATCATCTCCTTCATCCTCTAACTTGTTATATTTCTTCTTTTCTTCTTTGACAGTTTTGGAACCTGTTGTTGCTGGTGCAGTATCTGTCAATTGTGGAGTTGAGGATTTCTTCTTCTTAAAGAGTGACAACAATTTTGCAGTCTTGCTCTCAGCTGGTTTTTTGGCTCCTTGATTTGCTCCTGCTTTTGCGGCAGCTGCTGCTTGAGCTCCCTTCCAAACAAAATTACCATTTTCAACAATAACAGGATATTCAGAATCGGTTCCAACAGGCGTCTCTTCAGTCTCTTCAGCGAGAAGATAGTTTTGAATTCTGTCCAAAGAAACTCTTGCTTCTGCCAAAAGTGCCAAAATGCTTGGAAGGAAAGTAGTTGGGAATCGAATCAAATTGAAGTACGAGAGAGATGGGAAGATAACTTCTGCGTCCAAAATATTTCCTGTTGCGGCATAAATCGCAAATGTGACAATACCGACAAAAAGTGGTGCCATTGACATGAGCATGGAAGTCGCAATACCAATGAGAGCTGTTTGAGTCACTTTCCAAATTTCCTTATTTCTGATTTCCATAATCTTCTTGATAAATGATAACTCCCAAGCATAGAATTTAATAATTCTAATGCCTTGAATGACTTCGTTGACCATCTTGATACGTTCTCCTGTAAATTTGAGTAACACTTTACGGATACGTGCTACTACTCTTGCAATGAGTCCGTTCAATGGAATCACAACAATAATGATAGCAAAACCGGCAATAGTAGACCATCCAATCAGAGAAAATAGCATGATTAAGCAAACTGCAATTTGGAAAACTCCACTCCACACCATGTGAAGATAAGTCACAAGTCCACACAATTTGTTAGAGTCAATGGCCATAAAGTTAATGACATCACCCGAGTTCAATTTTAGTTTGGCAGCGTTACTCAATTTCAAACTCTTCTTATAAATAGCTGCACTCAAACCAGTCTTTAGACGCATTCCTTGTGTCATGACAATATGGAAATATTGTTGGATAAATAATGTACCAAGTGTCTGCAACAAAAATAGTGCCAACACTAGTAAATAAGGCTGAAACCAAGGGACCTCACCAGCATCACGAATGGAACCAATGATAGACTTAACCACCAAAGGGCTTACCAATTGTGAAATGTCATAAACAATTTTCAATAAACCTGCCATATAGAATCGTGGGCCGTACGTTTTGTGAATGGCATATAATAAACTTGGTTTGGATTGTTTTTTCGTTTTGGCTTGTTCGCCTAATTCATGACCCTCAAGATTGGATCTGTCACGAACCTTATCAGCTTCTCTTTCCCAATTCTTATGAAACTCTGCAGAAAGATTACCAGCTTCTTCTTCCTTTCTCAATTTGTGAAGGTCAGACATTTGAAGTACCTTTGAGTATCCAGTTTTCATTAAACCATTAAACCACCAAAATGATATCCGAGAGAAAATGTTTGCTGTCTCTTCCGGGCATGCTTGTCTGAACAATGATTGTGTGAAATAGTGTGTCATCATGTGAAACGTCAGGAAAAAACGTCACATGAAATATTTGGTCAATCATGATTGAATAGTAAATTTAAATGAAATCATCAAAGAAAACATTAAAATACATACTGATGCTCTTCCGCAATTTCAAATTCGTCCTTCTCTTGCACTTCTCTGAAATATTGATCAACATTTTGAGTAATCTTTTTAGGCTCAGCTTCCACAGCTGTTTCATTATCTTTAAAAGCAATTTGTGTATTAATAATGGGCTGTTGAGTAGAGCCTTTCGTTACAACATTTGAAAAAATCACTCCTTCTTCCCGTGAAGCTTGTGCCGATGACGATGAGGAGGGAGTATGGTCTTCTTCGGGTCGAGGCATACTTTTTAAATCAAGAATGATGTTGAAGCCGTTTCTTCTTCTTTCAATACACGATGATTATTATTAAATTTTGATTTGCCAAGTAGTGAGTGGTCGTGATGATGTTTAATGGCAAGCAATAGGAATAATGTTATTTTTTTTGAAGGTGTGTTTTGTTTGAACGCGAGCGCGTTCGATGAAAGTGGTGAATTTGCGTAAGGTCTATTGTTTATGCGCACAGAGTATGTTCGATTTTAATCTCACAAAGGCGAAAGTAATGAATGGAGTTTGCCCTAAAACTTTGTTCGATAGCAAACTCGAACTATTGTAAATGGTATTTCAAAAAAACATTGTTTTCGAACCAATGTTTATTTATTTGATCGTGTGAAAGAATGCATGCGATCCTTAAAAAACAATCATTTTCATCATTATCAACACGACCAATGAAAGGCAAACACTCTTCCAAGTGTTCACACTCGAAAACATCGCAGAACTCGTATTCTCAATATTCACAGAAACAAACGATGAATACGAAAATGGAGTTCCAAATAATTTGGTATAACATCTGGCACATGAACCAGAGTTGGAGTTGAGCCAATTTCGTAAATCAGTCGCTTCTGCAATCATGACGTGAATTTGCTTGTCCTTGATCATTTGGAAAACGTCGACCCAACCACTATTCACACGAATGACTTTGGCTGCTTGATAACTTTTTGTCACGAGAGTGTCACTAGATATTGTGAAAACAAGGTTATTAAAACAATGAAACTCTTTGAAAACTTACTAAATGGTACCTCCAAAGGTTCCGATAATGACTCGAGAATCGTTGAGTTGTGAATCTTGCTGTAAGGAAAGAGTGTCGAAATCCAGTTCAGATCTCAAAAATCCATAACCAGAGGATCCATACATGCCTAAAATGGAGTGTCAATGTAATTACAATTTACATGTACAAAATATCAATATTGCAATATTGAGCGAATTCACTTACATTGAAAATGTGCTTGAGTGGCTCTTTTCGCATCCCAATTATTTGATGCAATAATGACATTACAGGTTCCATCGTTGGCTGCAAATCGTAACGTATCCCAATATCCATATTTCTGTTCATGTTGTTATTCATTAAGGAACAAATACAACATGGTCATTGAAAGTGACATTTTCCCAAATGGACACACAATTACACATTATCATTGCTCATACCCATATTCGGAAACAGAGTTACTTACAGAAGTGTTGAGCTTTAAAAACACTGGAGTGATGGCTCTGTTATATTGCTTGTTGATTTCAGCCAACAACATGTTACCAGCTTTCTCGTGAATCTTGTCCCATGGCTTACATTAAAATTATTATATTGGGACAACAACAACATCATTACGGTTGTCACATTCATTGGTTGCACCGTTCTAGTGTCAGGTCAAAAATAACAAGATGACTTACAGGATTCGTTTCTAATTCATAACACAAAGTCATCTTGTCAGATGTGAAATCAAAACTTTTTGGATACTGAGGTGAGGAAGTACAGGTTGGCACTGTGTAGGGAACTCCAAAATTGGACAAGGCAGTTTTCCATTCAGAAGTGGCGATATAGGCAGCTGTGGCAGCATCAATCACATCAGCTGAATACAAGAATTCAATATAATTTTCAAGAGGTTTATGTTATCATCATGATTGGCATTTGACAGTCAACCAAGTTTGAATTCACTTACCAAAGTTTCTAGTAATGTTGATGGCATGAACTCCATACGATGCAGTACTTAGTGCCAATACCATGGCTATCAACAACAACAAGATGATGGTTCGAGTTGTTGAGCCTTGTTGTGAAAGAGTTCTTGGATGACGAGACATTTTTTTCACTCGAAAGATCGCACTTGACCTTCCAAGTGGCCACTTTGGGTTAAATAGGGCTTGTGAGTCGACAGATATTGAATCTGGATTTGAGTTTGCTGCTCTAAGGTAAAATCTCTTTCAGAATTACCATTTCCATTCATGGCCAGTAAACTTTCTTTTTCAATTTTCCTTACCTTGATGCATGATGAAATGCATTGCCATAAATTCATAAAACGAGAAACAATGTCCAATCTTAACGTGTATTTGTGAAATTTTCAAAATGCAAAACGGAATAGGCGGCGTTCACATGGTTGTTTAATGAGATAGACACCGTTTCGTGGCATTGAATCTGTTGTGATGCGACGTGAATATCAAATGTAAATATACATCACAATTTCATGTTGAATTTTAAATCATCGCATAAGAAGTTAAACATCCAACAGTATTGCATGCAAATCAGGAAGAGACACAAATTCAACAATGTGTGTCGAAGAGTATGGTCTTTCGGAATTGTTGTTGAATACAACAAAGTTTAACATTCGTTACCAGCCAATGAGTGACGATAGGGCAAACAAGAGAGAATTCTTGTCAAAATAACAACGTCATTCAAAGAATAACACGATGATTTTCGTTGATGATGAACCAATTATAACACTTTAGCAAGTGATGGTTTATTTTTCATAATTTGTATTCTAGCTAATGTCTGTCATCCGTCACACATTCCTTTAATGAATACACTCGTCAAAAACAAATCTCGTCTTTTTTCATCAACATCATCAAAAAAATTCACACACTTTTGACTTGATCGTCAACCACTCATCTACTACAATATTGTGGTGTGTTGAATCCTCCGTAAAATAATACACAATCCCCATCGAAAATTGATAGGAACACTTGAGTCGTCATCAAAACTCGACAAATTTTTCATTATATTCTTCACATTCATCATTATAACTTTTTGATTGAGAGATATCATCATCTCCATCATTATTTTCAAATAGTATCACCATCCACTATTAGTATTTGACAACCACAGTGTCTGATTTGTCATCACATAAAATGCCACCAAGAAAGAAGAATAATGTAGATTTGGAAATCCATGAAGATGATTCCAATTACAAACTCAAAGTTGGAGACGACATCTGGATGCCAACATACACAGCTTCAACATCTGCAGAGGAAGGAAGTCAAACTCCCTCTACACCAACAGGAGAACCTTCTTTCCATTTGGGAACAGTGATTTCAATTGATGAGTCAAAACAAACATGTTTGTGTGAAAATTCATTGACCAAACAACAAGAAACTCTCAAGTTGAATACAGTTTGTCCTGCCAATCCTCTCAAATTAGATTACTCGGTAGATATGGCCTCCTTGTCTCATCTCAATGAACCTTCTGTACTTCACAATCTCAAACTGAGATATCAACGAGATGACATTTATACCTATTCTGGTTTGTTCTTGTTGGCTGTAAATCCATACAAGAATTTACCAATTTACAGTAATGAGGTCATAAAAAAACATGCTGGAAAGAGACGAGATGATGTTGAGCCTCATATTTTCTCTGTCGCTGATGTTTCATATAGACAAATGTTGTTGAATGAGAAGAATCAGAGTATGTTGGTTACAGGTGAATCAGGAGCTGGTAAAACTGAAAGTGGTATGTTGTTTTTTTAATTTCCTTTGGTTCATGAGCTGATCATATGATCATCGTGCCCATTCAATGATGGAAATTGACTCTTTCATTGATTTTTCGAAAATCTCATTCCCTACCAATCATGTGTTTCATTTTTGTTTGTAATGATAATGAACGACCAAAACCGAAAACACAAATTTACAGTCAAAAAGATCATTCAATACCTTGCCACAGTGGCTGGTGCTTCTCATCATCATCAAGGAGGTAATTTGGAGCAAAAACTCTTGCAAACCAATCCTCTTCTCGAAGCTTTTGGTAACGCCAAAACGTTGAGAAACAATAACTCTTCACGTTTTGGTAAATTCATTTCCATCGATTTTGGTCTTCAAGGAATCATTGTCGGAACTAAAATTACTCACTACTTACTTGAAACCACACGTGTGTTGAATCAGGCCAATGGTGAGAGAAATTTCCACTTCTTTTATCAAATCTTATCGGATCCAGAGGCCCGAAACAAGTACAAATTGACTGGTGGTGTCAATTCATTCAATTACGTGAATCATTCAGGATGTACAAATGTTGCTGGAATTGATGACAAGAAGGAATTTGAGGATACTTTGAATAGTATGCGTGTGATTGGTATTTCCGAAGATGAAATTGATTCATGTTGTCGAGTCATTGCTGCCATTCTTCATTTGGGTAACGTTGCTTTTGTGGATGAAGATGAATTGTCAACTTTACCTGCAAGCAATCGTGGCCCATTGGAAGTTGCTTCTGAATTACTGAAGGTCAATCCTGATGGTTTGGCAAAGGGCTTTATGAAACCAGATATTGTCACACCAACCGATCGTATTGAAACTCACGTAACAGCTCTCCAAGCTACCTACAATAGAAATGCTCTCGTCAAATCAACCTATAATCGTCTCTTTGATTGGCTCGTTTCACGTATCAATGAAAACTTAATCTCCAAAGAAGTCATCAAAAACTTTATTGGATTGTTGGATATTGCTGGTTTTGAAATTTTCGAACATAACAGCTTTGAACAATTGTGCATCAACTATACCAATGAAAAACTCCAACAATTCTTCAATCATCACATGTTCAAGAAAGAACAAGAAGAATACTTGAAGGAAAAGATTGAATGGACCTTTATTGACTTTGGTTTGGATTTACAACCAACCATTGATTTAATTGAGAAACCTCTCGGTATCTTGTCCGTATTGGATCAACAAACCTTCATGGCTCAAAAGAACGAGGCTGGTTTGGTGAGAGAAATTACCAAGAATCATGGCAACAAACCCATCTTTGAGACAAGCAAATTCAATGAACTTGAATTTACACTCAAACACTATGCTGGAAAGGTTGTGTACGATACCAACGATTGGTTCAAACGTAATGTGGATCCTCTCAACGATGATTGTAAAAAGACCATGTTGAAATCTCAAAATCCTTTCGTGAAGGCTCTCTTCGATAGACCATCGGATCGTGATGATGCTTCCAGCAGTGGTGGTAGTAGTAGCTCCAAGAAGCAAGGAGGAGGTGGTACCCGATTCAAGACCGTTGCTGCCCAATACAAACAACAATTGAGTGAATTGATGGAATTGTTGGCCAGTACTGAGCCTCACTTTATTCGTTGCATCAAACCTAATAATTTGCAAAAGCCAGGTATCATTGAAGATTACAATGTGCTTCATCAATTGAGATGTAACGGTGTCTTGGAAGGTATCAGAATTAGCAGAAAGGGTTATCCAGGTCGTATCTTGTATAAGGACTTTGTTCGTCGTTACGAATTATTAGTTGAAGATAAGACCAAATTGGCCGATAAGAATGCATCGGATAAGGATAAGGCTAAGGCCATTCTCAATTATATTGAATTTGAGGAAACTACTCAATACAAGCTCGGTCTCACCAAGGTCTTCTTGAAAGCCTCTCAAGAAGCTGAATTGGAATCTCTTCGTGAGGTACAAATTTCCAAATACATTAATGTGGCACAAGCTGCTGCATTGGCTGCTTTTGAAAGAGCAACCTATAGAAAGTTGCAAAGAAGATTACTCAGTATCAAGACCATTCAACGAAACTTTAGAGGTTACAGTAAGTTACGTGATTGGGATTGGTGGAGATTGATTGGACTCGTGAAACCTCTCCTCAAGGAATTTGCTTCTGAAAAGCAAACTGAAAAGTTGAAGCAAGATTTGGATCAACTCAAGGAAAGTCTCCAAAAGGAACAAGAAGAGAAGAAGAAACTTGATTTGGAGAAACAAAAGATGGTTCAAGAACGTGATGTTGCTAAGGAAGCACTCAAAGCCGCTCACAATGAAATTGAAAAGTTAGCCTCTCAGAATCGAACTCTTGAACAAACCATTTTGGATAAGGAGCAAAACATTAAGAATTTGCGAGATGATATCGAGTACAAGACAAGTAATCTCACCGATCAAGACAAGAAATTGAATGACTTGTATGAAGTGGTAAAGACTCTCAATGAGAAGATTCACAATTTGGAAGAATCCATCCGTTCTAAGGACATTCAATTGAAGCAAAAACAACAAGATATTGAGAATCGTGAGGCTGATATTGAATTCTTGAGAAAGAAACAAAAGGAATTGGAGGTAAAATCTCAGACTTGGAAAATCGTTTGATCATTAGTGGTAACGAAGTTTCATCCAGAGATCAACGAATTCTATTGTTGGAGAGTGAATTGGAAGATGAAAAGTCTCGATACAACTCTGAAAACAAGAACAGATCCCAAAAGGAAGAAGATCTTAGAAAATCAGAGCAAACCAATAAGAAACTGAGACAAGAAATTGAACAAGTTCAAAAGGAGAAGGATGATCTCAGTTTGGAGCTCAACAAACTCAAACTCGAGAAGAAGAATGTCGAGGAAGAAAGTGAGAAGAAGCAAAGACAAGTCGAAGATCTCACTAGAAAGCTCGACAGTGCTCAACAAAATGCTCGTGAAATTCAAGCCAAATTGGAGAATGAACAACAAACACTCAAATCCTCAGAAACTAAGGGTAAAATGCTCTCCAGTGATTTGGAGACGGCCAATGCCAGAATTCAAGCATTGACTGAAGAGATTCATACTCTCGAGGAAACTATTGCTTCTCAAAAGTCTCAAATTCAAAACCTCACTACCAAGATTTCTAATTTGGAAGAAGTTGAAATTAGAAATCGTGACACACGTATCAAGGATTTGGAAAATACCTTGCAAGAACAAAAGGCAAGATATGAGAACGAGGTGAACATCAAGATTCAAGAGTTCATGAGATTGAAGAAACAATCCGATCAAGATCGTCAAGATGCCGAACAATTGCAATCTAAATTGGCTCAAGAAAAGAAGGATCTCTCCGACACTGTCAAGAATCTCGAAAAGGAAATCAAGAAATTGAACAAGACCATTGAGATTACCAATCTTGAGAAGAATGACACTCTCCAGAAGGTCTCCAAATTGGATCAATCCTTGAACCAAGCTGGTGACGAGAAGGAACGTCTCGCTAAATTACTCCAAGACTATGAGAATACTCAGCGACAACTTTCCAACGAGAAGAAGGTTTTGGAATTTGATTTACAAACTGCCAATGAAAAGTTTGCCACCACCAGCGCTCAACTCGAGAAGGTCACCAATGAATTAAACGCTGAAAAGAATAGAAACTCCAAACTCGAGAATGATTTGGAAGATTTGGAGAGAGAAAAGAAGTCTCTCACAGATCAACTCAACAAGAACAAGTCAGAGCTTGAGAACGAGAAGGCTCTCACTCTCAAATTGAAGGGAGAACAACAAAAGTTGAGCACCGATCTCGAAAATATCAAACTCGAGAGAGGAACACTTTCAAAAGATAAGGACGATCTCAAGAATGAAATCTCTCAACTCAGTGCTCGTGTTGAGCAAGCTCTCAAGGAAAAGGAACACGAAAGCTCTGAGAAGACTCAAGCTCAAAAGAAGGTTTCTTCTCTCGGAAAGGAATTGGACAAGCTCGAGCAAAGAATTAACGAGTTGGAGGCTCAATTGAAATTGGAGCAAAGCAACAAGGAAGAAGTGGAGACCACTCTCAAACTCAAGCAATCTTCATTGGCTGAAACTACTGAGGAAATTAAATCGTTAAAGATCAAGTTGCAATCGGTTCAAAGCGAACTTGAAATTGCCAACTCGAAACTCCAAGAAGAGGTCAATAAGAATCAACGTTTGAGAAACGAATTGAAGAATTCTGAGAATAAGACCAAGGAATCCAATGCTGAGAGAGACGACTTGGAAGATGAAATTTCCTCTCTCAATTCTCAAATCAATGAATTGAGTTTGAAACTCCAAGATGCTGAGAGAAAGACTGAACAAGAGATGCGCAATTGTAAACAACTCGAAGATGAGATTGAAAATATTCGTCGTGACGCTTCTCGATCTCGTGAAGATGTTGAAAACGACAATAGACAATTGAAACAACAAATGTCCACATTGACTCAACAAAGTGAACAATTCGGACGTGAATTGTCTGATCAACTCAACAAACTCAAACAAGAGAATTTGAAGCTCAAGAAGGATTTGAAGAATGCCAAGCGAGATCAACAAGAATCTAACACTGGAGCTGTCGACTCTCAAATTGTTGAAGCTCTCAGAAGAAAGTACGAAATTGACATTGCCAATTTGAAATCTCAAATCGATCAATTGAGTCTTCTCAAACACAATTTGGAGAATAAGAACATTACGATCGAACAAGAAAACTTGTTACTCAAATCTCGATTGGAAACTGAGGAAAAACTCAAGAAGAAATATCAAGCACAAAAGCAACACGCTGATAAGGAAATTGAAGAATTGAGAAGTTTGGCTGAGGAATCGGAAGATTTACGAGATGAATTGGTGAGACTTCGATCTGAATATCAATTAACCATTAGCAAATTACAAAGTGGTCTCAACGATGAAAAGGAAAGATACAACTCTTTGGATAAGACTCTCCAACAAACTCGTAAAGAGCTTGATCAAGTGAAACTCGATCTCATGAGTGAACGTAAAAAGTTGGATCAAAACAATGTGGCTGGAAAACAACATTACGAAATGGAAATTGCCAATTTGAATCAATTGATTCAAGAATTGAGAAAGGATAAGGTCGATTTGGTCAAACAAGAAAAGAAGACTGCTCAAAAGTTGGCCGATTTGAAACGTGATCTTCAAGAAGAACTTTCACACAAGCAAGAATATGAGAAGAAGGCTTCAAAGGCTGAACGGGAAGCTAGAATTGCTACATTGAATTTGCAAGAAACTGAAACTAGATATCGAAGAGTGGAATCTGAAAAGAAACGTTTAGAATTGGAAGATTCCATGAATAGAGAACAAATTAAACAACTTGAGAATGAGCTCGAAAATGTGAGAAATCAATTGAAACAAGAAAAGATTAAGAATGCAACAAAGAGTGAGCAAAAGAAGAGAAAGAATCAAGTGAGAAAGGTTCTTGCTGATTTGGAAGATGACTTGATGAATGAACAACAACATCGAGGTAGTGTCATGGATGAAGTTGCTACTGCTGAACAAGATGGAGTTGGTGGATCGAACCATACAGTAGTTCCAGCTGAAAGTACTCAAGAATAAGTCTTGTGTAATAAATTGTTTAAAATGATTCATTGAAATGACATGACAAAATTTTGAAAGCCACGCTGTAAAAATGTCGTCCCAATTGTTGAGTTTATTTTACCTTAACCACGAATTCTTCGGTTTGGTCTTTCTTGCCTTGGCTTTGGAGAACCAGATTGAATTGGACCAGTGACCACTAAACTAAATGTTTGGTTTCCAATATTTGTGTCTTTGGCCTTAATAATAACTTGGAATGACTTGACACGACGATGTCTACTTTCATGATCACGATTCAAACTTGCACGTTCATGGTTAGTGGATGTCGACACTGACTTGATGTATTTCACTGGAATTTCAATTCTCTCGACCGTATTTAAAAAGTCATAGGGACAAGTTCCATTTCTCAATGTGGATGGATTTCCATAAAACACACGACGATGACCATTTTTCAACGAAAGATCCATATCATTGATGAGTTGCTTGTTGGTGGCTGTAGCATTATTGGTGATGGCTCCCTTGTAATCGTACCAAGTCAAGGTGACCTTAATTGGAATTTTTGGTTTCTTGTTTTTCTTCTTCTTATCGTGATGACGACCATTCTTCTTTTTATCTTCAGGAACATGGAAAGGAAGAACTAATTCATCTCCAGGAGCCAATGAATATCGATTCAATAAAAATAACTTTCCAATCGTGTTGACCGATTCCTTGACATTTTCAAATAACAAGACATTTTTCAAATTCACGCTTCCAAAGCCATTGTAAATATTTGGGTAAGGCAAACGAGCCAAACTTTGAGAAATTCCAAATGGAGAGGTGTCGTTGGTGAGTTTCACAAAACCAGTCATTTTCTGAGCACTGTGAATAATCATGGCCTTCACCAAACTTCCAGAAATGGTTTGTGTGGAATTCTTATTGAAGAGTTCATAGTTCACAAGTCGAGAATTATTATTTTGAGAGAGATAGTCACGTACGAGAGCAGCAGCTCCTGCCACTGCTGGAGTAGCCATAGAAGTTCCAGATTTTGCAGTCAAACCTCCTTCTGGCGAACAAGAAGTTGGATTTCTCAATGCTCCATAAATGGAAACTCCAGGAGCGACCACATCAGGTTTGGAACGTTGATCGAAAGTGGGGCCACGAGCAGAGAAGTAGCCCATATTTTGATGGTTATAGAGTGTTCCATTGATTTCAGTCTTGTTGAAACGAATGTATTCTTCCAAAGTGGCATATTGAGCTCCGACTGTTAAGGAATTTTTAGAAGTGGCAGGTGACAGGACAGTGCCTTTGCTCGAAAAGTATCCATTATTACCAGCAGCCATGACAATCAACATTTCGTCATTGTCTCTTGTAAAGGAATCAACAACTAGAGCATTGTTGTCATATTGATTACACACTTCACAGCATCGAACACCATAATTGTACAAACAATACGAATCATTGACAAGATTCAAAGTTCCATATTCATAACAACGACAATCGTAGACACAGTCGTAAGGATTGGCACACCCCCAACTGTTGGACGAAACTCTGGCCTTTCTATTAAATGCCGTGGTGAGATAGGAGCTTAAGGAAGAAACATAGAAAAAGATTCCTTTCATGACATCTGTCACGTAAAGTTTGGCATTTGGTGCAATACCAATATCATTGGACATGCTGACGTTTAAGGAACCAGCTTCTAAGGATCCAGCAATGGTTGAAGCCACATGAGATCCATGTCCATTATTATCAATTTTGTCGCCCCAGAAAGTCACTGGTTGATAAAAGACAATTTTTCGATTGTTGTAATTGGGAGTTGAGAAATAATTTTCACCTGCCTTTGAAAAATAACAATGATTGACATCAACACCTGAATCAATAATTTGGACAATTTGATCCGTTCCTGTTACATTCTGACTCCAAATGAAATGATTTTTAGAATTGGATGAAAGAGAAGGCGCGTCTCCTCCTTGTTGCACGACTTGATTACTTCCCAAATTTAACAAACTTTGAGGAAATTCTCTCGAAATGGAAATAGCATCTTCTTGGGAGAGGAGTTGAGAAAGGAGAGCTTGTCCCATCGATTGCGACACCTCTTGGTATGCTTGAATGTTGTCTTGTTGTTGAAGAGTTCTTCTTCTTTGAAGAAAATTGAGAGCTTGGTCAGTTTCTTGAGGCATGGAATGACGATTTCTTGAAGTGGTAGATGGTTCTTGTTGTAAGAGAGGCCAAGCATTGACGTCAAAGTTGGTCAATGAAATGGTCATGACGTTGGTTGAGTCTTCATATTCTTCATTTTGAAAATTCAACTGAAAGACATTTGACAGTTCCTCGCGCAACCATTGGGAAGAACCAGTGGTCATTCTCTTGTTACTGGAGGTGGACGAAAGCACATTATTCAACTTTTGATTGAATTCTTTTTCAAACCATTGTTGAATTTCTAAATTTGGATGTGCAACACGAGTCTTTCTAATTCTAGAATCCACTTCTTGATGAAACACAACCCTCACGTTCGCATATTGAAGAGAATCTAAATCCAATGCAGAAAATGTGATTCTATCTTGTGCAGGTACTCTCACAACTTTGTCGACCATGGATGAGATGACATTTGACTGGTGAAGCTTTTCAATGTGTGAGAAACTCAACCAAGTAGTGAATGTCTTTTGATAACGAGAAGAAATATCAAGTTGTGTTCTTTTAACACCCATTGCTTGACATAATTCTTCAATTTTCGAATCACTCAATTTAACTTGGTCCTTGACATGAATGTACACATAAAGTTTTTCATCCTTTTGATTAGAGAACAGGTTTGAAGAGGAACGAGATAATAAATTTACATCATCGAGAGGATGAGCAAGAAGGCACACTACTTGCAAACCAAGAGCTAACAATGCAAGCAGAATTGACAGCTTGGCAACTGACATTTTTTTGTTTAAACAATAATACTACCTGACCATCAAGACATCTTCAAACTGCGAGCATATGGTCTTTTGAGAAAGCAATTTAACAGGCAGAATGTTTGGTTAAAAAATGGAAAGCATGGATCAAGAGATGACATCAAAATCATATTCACCATTTTTTGATTCAGCATTGCATTACCTCATTGGTACACCGTAATGAATAATTTCACACTTTACAATATTATTGTTAAAAAATTTTTATTGAGGTTAAATATTGACTCTTGTTCACATTAGATTCCACACCATCCAAACACTGATTAAAACCATGAATAACCACACATTTGTCAATTCCCTTAATCTCGAACTTGCATTGACCTTTGCCGTAAATGTTCCAAAATAACTTGGATCTCCAAAAATCTTGACCGTACAATCTGGACAACGTGTCGTATTCTTATTCATCCACACCATTAAATCGACAGCGTCTGCAACAATGGCATCGACTGTTTTCATAGTGGCCATTTCAAATTGTTCATCGAATCCGACGGACAATTTAGTAGCGAGCGGTAAATTTTGTTTAATGTAATCTTCGAAAATGGTTCCAGAATAGGCAGCAACTTTTAACCCGCTCTTGTTGAGGTCGGTCACAGAAGCAACACCTAAGGAGCTTGAGGTGGTGAGGTAGGCCATTGAAGTAGCTCCATAGGCGCATGACATGAAATTGACAAGTGGCAAGCGCTCAGCAACCAACGAGACATCAGCAACCACGACGTCACAAATTCCTTCATCCACCGCTCGCTTCAATGAAACGAAAAATCCATCTGTTGTATTCACCAACACAATTTCCTTTTTCAACGACATGGAATAGTGTGAATTGACTTGATCCAAAATTCCCTGAGCCACCATTTCATACACACTTGTGTAAGGCTCTGCATTTTCCATTTGATAACAAAACTTGAGATTCGATCGAGATTGAAATGGATTTTCCGACGGATATCGAATTAAATTTCCTTTCACACAAGTTGGGACTTGAAATTTCAAATGATCGAAAAATTTGTCTCGAAATTGTGAAGTCGCAACAAGATCTCGAACGGCAGCATCGATGGCCTGAACAAAATTCAAAGTAACGATCGAAGATGTTGAATTGAATGAATTTCGAGTGATTTTTTGGAATGATTGGTTGGTTTGAGAGGCCACACGTTCGGACGGGAGAGATTGTTGGTTGAGACATGAAAAGGCATGAACTATGGTCCAATGAGTGAATAGAAGTAGAAGAAGAAGTAATAATTGTTTTCGACAAGTCATTGATGGAGTTGTTACTTAGGTTTGAGCGATGAGAGATGGACTGTGATGAGGAAGGGATGAAAAGGAGGAGCTCACTAGTTTGTTTTTTTTTCAGTTGTTGAGACGGAAGAAAGTGCACACATCTCATGACGAACGGATCCTTGACAAGTGACTTGCATGGTGGGCTTTTGCAACATAAATGGTGCGGTCAATTAGGCAACAATGTTAATTGTCGCTTTGAATGAATGCAAAGGACGAAGCAGAAACAGAGATGATGGGATCGTTTTTGAAAACAGTAAAAGCGAGAGAGAGATGGAATTTCATTATCTCTTTGATTTAACACTTGTGACGAACGAAACGAATATTCTATGAAAACAATGGTTTGATGAACGTTGGAAAACTTGAATACAACAAGAAGTGTCAAGTGCCACAGTTTTGCCGCTCTTCTTGCTACGTTTAAAAAAGTCAAGAAAAAAATACATTCACGTCTCCACCATTTCCATCCTTCCAAGCCAGCTGTCATCCACCTCAATCCATACACTCCATACAAAATGTCACTGGCTAATTCAACCATTGTTTCACTTCATAAAGTTCCTCGGGTCGCAAAAATCGCCGTTGTATTACTCGTATTCGTTTGCATGATCTCAATGTTCATCGGAGTGATGTATAATCGAACGAACCCGTCATCCACATTGTTAGCTTCATCATCTGGAGCATTCCATAACTCCGAGTCGGGTGTTACTTCAAATACTGAAGCAACTTCAAAACAAGTTGCAAAGCCACTCACGTATTGGACAGGAATTGATAAACAATTTTCGAAAGCAAGAATTGCTGAATTTATGAGTAAATTGAAACCTGATCCCAAATATGAGCAAGTGTATGGAGACAAAGTCATGACATGTTTCACAAAACAACAACATTCTCTGACTTGTGGATTGACCAATCAGTTATTTGAGTTGATTACTTGTATGGCCATTACTGCCAAAGTTGGTGCCAAGAAGTTTATCATTCCATCCATGTGTACAGATGGTAATTGGGGGTAAGTCTCAATTTCGAGTTTACAACCTTAAAGTAGTAACAACTCACAAAATTGTAACATTATTTATGAATGCAATCACATGCAACATACCCATGACTAGATTATGTTACTGTCAAGGAAATGATCGATTTTCTAAATTCTTTGATTTGGAACGAACTAAAAAGTTAGCACAAGAACGATTTGGTATTTCCATGATGGAATACGAGGAGAGTTCTGAATTGTTAAAAAACTCTTCTGAAGAATTGTTCGCTCTTCAAGATCAAACCTTGGGTCAAAAAACACTCACTGAAGCAGTAGATATTATTCACCAAAAAGCAATGGAGAAACCAGGTTATTTAAATCATGCAGTGATTAATCTTGGTTATGTATGGGGAAGATGGAGAGGATTAGATATTGAGGAAGATATGCTCTATGTGTTATTCTTTGACTTGTTCACACCATCTGCTATTTCGAGAAGAGTTATGGAAGATTGGAAATGGAAAACTGAACTCGACTCAAAAGGACCCTTAATTGTCATTCATAATCAAATTCACACTCCCAATCAAAACCCCAATAGTTATCCAGGATGTCAACGTACCATGAATACTGACTTTATTTCTGTATTTTTAGGAGATTTTCTTTTCAAAGATAAGGATTACAGAGTATTAATGGTTGGTGCCGGATTCGAAGCTCTCACCGTTGAAAGTTTGAGATTGACCGAACTTTCCTCAGTGCACAAAGTTCATGTCTATCCTCAATTTGATATTATGAGAACAACTGCCAATCATCAATTGCACAATTCCTTGTATGCATTTTGGTTTGCCATCGAATCTGATTACTTTATCGCTACGACGTGTGAAAGTCAATTCTTGTCACACATTTTCATGATTCGAAAATTCTTAGGAAAACCAACCTGCTCGATTGCTGACGTTTCAAAAACCAGTTATCCTGATGCTTACCCAGAAAAGTATTTCAAAGAAAGTGCTGAACATGCTGCCTATCGATTCCCACATCCATACCGTGGCTCTTTCTTCACAGTGGAGCGATGTAAATTCCCTCTCAAGCTTTAAAAATTTGATCTTCCTCTTTCCCAAAATAAAGATTTCATTTATTCCCGCCAATTTCAAAAATTCAACCGTTATATTTCAATAAAAAATGAGTCAACACCCACACTCCAGAAGCCTCTCATCCTCCTCGTTTCATCCTCTTTCCCACAACTCTCAAGCTTACACTCCATTATCCACAACCAGCACCAATCCAAGCCTTCTCACCCGACCCAGTCTCTCTCAATCTTCTCTCTTTTCCATGTATTTGAGTAGCGGGAATGGTGCCAATAGTGTGAATTCATTATTATCTTCAGCCGGAACTGGAGGAGGAACCATTCTTACCACCACGGATCAAAACAAGTACAACCACACCAATACGACTTCGAGCCTCCCTTCCACTACGACGTCCTCTCTTTTGGCAACCAAAGCCTCTCTCTTATCCAATCAAGCTAGTAGTAGCGGAAAACAATTTGCATCATCTTCATTATCTATGATGGCTTCAAATCTAAGTAAAACCAGAACTCCTCTCTCGACTATTACAAATACTGTTGCATTGCCAAGCAGTGTTTCCACCTCTTCCTCCTCCAATAATGGTATACTTTTTCCAAGCAACAACTCGGATCCGATCAAATCCAATAAGCGAAAGAAAATTGTAACTTCAAGAGATGCCAATAATAGCGTTGCATCTCTTCTCAACATGAATTCTGCTCTTGATATCAGTAGTTTAAATACCTCTAGTACTAATTTAAATTCAACAACTCTGAGTGGACATAAACACTTACTTAATCAATCGATGAATAACAATTCGTCGGCACAACATTTGATTTCACTTCCCATTCAAGAATATCAACAATTGACAGAGAAGTCCCAACAATTAGAAGATCAGGTTCAAAAGTTGAAAATTGATTTGGACAACTCTTCGATGGATGTCAATGAGTACAAGACATTGTATGAACAAAGTAAAAAGCTCATTAAGGAGAATGAAGCCAAATGTGAGAGTTTGAAGAATAGAAATCAATTCTTGGAGAAGCAACTGAAAAAGTTGATGAATGAATCATCTGCGAATAGTAATTCGACAAGTAACAACATGACCTCTGCTGCAACAAGCAATACTCCTACATCTCCTCCTTCCTCAGTTCAAGTCACCATTGATGTGAATTCACAATTAGCTTTACAAAATCTCTCGTATCAGAGTCACATTGAAACAACTTCTCAGAAAGTGAATGCATTATTGAAACAAACTATTTCAACTTTGCATGATATGGATCAAAATATTCAACAAAACAATAGAGATTATATTTCACTCTTTGTCAAACAATGCATTGGAAATGTCATTCACAAAGTTGAAGAGGAGAAATTTGAGCAATTTGTCAATCATGTTAATCCCATGATTGAAATCGACATTCCAATGTATCAACAGACAATTCAACATTATAAGGATCAATTAGATTCAATATCAACTCAGTACAATCAATTAGTTGAATTTCATCAACTCGAATTGGATGTCTTGAAATCTCAAATTCAACAACTTGAACTGCAACACTCGAGAGAAGTGACAGAGTTGAAACAAACATGGTCTGAAAATACGAACTCCATTCAGAATCAGTATCACTCTCTTGAAGAACAACATCAATCTGAATGCAAGCAATATTTATCCCAAATTGACAATCTGAACCACAACATTTCTCAATATCAACAATTAATTCATCAACAAGATCAAAACATGGCAAATATGAGATGCAAGTACGAACAAATTCAATTGGAGTCGATTGACCAGTTAAGAAGATTGAAACAAACCAGGCAAGACCATGTTGAACAAGTGAAGAAACTGAAACACACAGTTTTGAATTTGGAAGAAGAAATTCGAAAGTTCAAGATTACAACAGAAAAACTGCAAATCGAGAAGTGGACACTGTATAATATGAACAGACATTTGACCCTGAGATTGGATTTATGGGTCACACAGTCGATGAATAGTGATTCCAATTCTACGACGAGCCATGCATGTCACGATGACACTAGTACTCAAGATCTTGAAACCTCCCTTGTAAATCTTAAACTGAAATTAACAGAAAGTCTTAAATCGTACCACATGTTAAAACAAGAATATGAAACATTGATGACAGAGTCAAAACAAACTCTCTTACGATATGATGAATTGCTTTCCCAATGCAAAACTGAGAGAACATTCCTTCAAGAATTTATTCAATACAACATGTTGCCCTATCTAGAGGTGATTTACAAGTGTGGGGATTGTGCTGAAACGACGCAAGAGAATGTTTCGACCGCTACAACATCATTGACGAACCATATTACCCCACGACAGTATCAATCCATTTTACAGTACATGATTCAACATATTTACCGACATGTCATTGTGACAGACCAACATCATTATCAGCATATGGAGGAATAAAGAATGTGTTGCTGATCCATTGATAATAACACGATCGAATGATCGAATCATTCATTTCCATTGGAGGAGTGTTGACTGGTGATGACGACAACAATCTGGTAGAATTGTCACGTTCAATCACGAAAGACATGTTCCATGGTTAATTGTTTTTTATTATGTACAACACAATCATCGATGATTCCTACTGCTGCTGAATAGCAAGCTTGTTGCGGAAACAATTTGGACAACCTTCACATTGACTGGTCTTTGTTTTGTCAGTTGAACATAATTGGAAGAGATCTGAAGTGAATACCTGTTCGTTTTCGTACATCATGGTCAAAGTAAATGACTCGGTATTAGGCAATGTCCCTTCTTGTCTTTTTTTTACAATTTTGAAACAACATGAAAATATGCCGTTCGTGACGTCTAACCCACTGGTCATCCCTGGAATTGGAATTACTGTAACCTCAAACCAAGAGGCGTATTGGGAATCGTCTCTGCATTTAGTGGTGCATTCAAGAATCATTCGAATCTTCTTGTCAGATTCTAAATGTCGCTGATTCATCGCCAAATTGTTCGCTAATTGTAAATGTTTAAAGACGAAGCAATATTGATATTCATGTTCTTTTCTTCCAGAGCTGTAATCGAATATAACTTTTCGATTTTGACAACAGTTTTGCATGGATGGGAGAATTAAATGCATTCTGCCATGATTTTGTTTTCGTTTTCTTCCAGTGAGTGCAAAGCCAGATTGGTCATCTAATTTCGAGACGTCATAATGACTAATGTTTGATTCAACGACTGGTCCTGTGTTGTGTGCGGCAGTTCTCTTTCCATGTCGTTTTTGTTTTGAAACTACCAAGGTGTGTACCTTTCTGTTTGGTCGATCCGTTTCTGATGGAATACAGGTGTTCGTCATCAATGGAATTGGTGAATAAAATGGAGAAAGCTCTGGTGGGACCATGGTTTGCGTTTGATTTGAGGAATGTAATCCATCAATCATTGAATGATTATTGACAACAGCTGTGGCATTGACATCATTGACATTAACATGAGATGGAGGATAATAGGAGAGTTTCACAAGTCCAAACGACAATGGAGACTGTTCCATATTGGCATCACAATGACAAGAAGCACTCGAATGGTACGGAAAGGGTTGTAATAACCACGGTGGATAGGTATGGACGATGTAAAGATTTTGATCACACTCCGTTCTCATATACCATAACAAGGGCGGAATTTCATTGCTCGAATTCTTTGAATGCTTGCATGCAGGAATGGAATTCATAGGTACCTGTTCCATTGCTGGCATGATCTGTTCACCAACCAATGATGAATGTTCATTCATGCATGTCTGATGATGTTGATTCACATGTGTATCCTGAATGGTTGACGAATGCGATTCGTTGCTGGTGGATGCTGGAGAAGAAATGAAATTGTTGTCCAAGGAATATTGAGAGTCTTCTTCATGCATGTGTGTGTTGGAAGTCTCGTCAATGGATGAAGATGAGTTTGGTGAACAAACTTGACGAACTAATTCGTCGAAGTCTTCTCTCATTGACGTCAAATAGCAGATGAATCTGCCGGAGTAAGATGGTCTAAATCCAGAATGGAGTCTGTTGAATTGGGAGATTCCATGATGGTAAGGAGTGTTATTGGTTGTTTTTTTAGCGTGAGTTAAAGCGAGACGCGTGAGAGAACGATTTTTTAAAGCCTGTGGATAAGTTTACAACGAGATTGATTGGTTGAGGGATTGTAATCGGTTCTTTTTCTCTCACGTTCTTGTTCACGTTTTGTTTTCAAAGAGAATATGTATATACATTCACAAGAAAACTGACAAGATCGATATTTCACGGGTTCTTATTTTGACATCAGTCGATCAAATCATTAATAATGATTTCTCAAAATATTCAACAAAACGAAAAAGACATTCTCTTTTCCAATATAACCACACGAGCTGGCTCGCAAAAGTGTGGTTGTATTGATTTTAGGTGCTGGAGTTCTTCTTTTTTGGGCAAGTGCTTTACTGACTAGAGCTACCCTTGCGACACACAGAACACCTTTAAATCAAGATTCTATATTAAATCAGAATTGATCTTCAAAGTAATGTACGAAGTTCATCTGTTTACGAATTTCTCGCTTCCAAGTTGGGTGGTTGACAATTTGTGCCTTACTTTCATGCAAAAATACAACCTCACTCAAATCCTTCCTTCATTGAAATTAATAATCAAAAAGATGGCCAATGATATCTCTCCTTGAACCATTTGAATAATCCATTTTAGGAAAGGGTCGTTAGTTCTGTTTCACACTCAAAAAAATGTCATTCGCACAACAACATGTTCTTCACAACAACAACAACCTTTGGGTGGCCTCTATTCTCATGGCATGGATGATGCTGTACTGCAGTGTGTCCCATGCCGTACCCACATCCATCTCCATTACAGGTCTTGCATCGGAGTCTGGAAAACAATTGAAGAAATATATCGTTCCTCCCGTTATGAAAATTAATGCACCGTATGCTGAGTGGGCTCATCATCATTTGGTATGGTAAGTATTCAATAATGAAAGATTTATTTAATTTATGAATTGTATTTAATCATTGGTGGAATAATATTCACATCATCATCTCAACAACAAAATAGGATGAATGGAGAAAGTCAAAACCAACAAGACTTGTTGAAATTAGTGGCCACCTATGCGCAAAATGACATTCCAGTAGGAGCTGTGGATTTGGAAGCAGGATGGTCGACTGGAATGAACAATTTTGTACCTAACCAGTAAGTTCAAGAATGTCAAATGATCAAAACCATAATGACATGTGTTCCTATATGTCATTCATTTTCGTTTCGTGGCTCTGTTCACTGAATCATGTGGAATGATCATTTAGGAGTAAATTTCCAAATCTTTATCAATTTGTGAAACAACTCCATTCCATGAATGTCAAAGTCATTTGTTGGACCACACCTCTCATTAATGTCGATTCTCCAAATTACAACACAGCTTATTCGAAAGGATATTTTGTGAATGATGGAAGATCGATTGAATGGTGGAAAGGAAGAGGAAGCTTTATTGATTACACCAATCCAGAGGCAGTTCAATGGTGGCATTCACAAATGAATAATGTGTTGATTTTGAATCAGACAGATCCAAAAGAAGGAATTGATGGTTGGGTACGTGATGTTCATATTTGAAATAAGTTTCTAGCATGCTTATGAATTTTGGATATTATTGAACCTTAAAAGAAATGTGACGGCTCAGATCCATATTTTTATGAATTGATCTATGCCTATGGTAAGAATGGACACATTTCAGAGAAGGCTTACTCGTACATGTATTATCATGATTTTTTAAATTATACCAGACAAGTCAGAGGTCAAGATTCTTTGATTGTTAACATTCCTGTAGATTCCATCTTTGGAATGGCCTACTTTGAATTTGCTCCAAAAGATATCGTCTTTAATGGATGGGTTGGAAACAAGTATGCCAATTACTTTGGTTTTAGAGAAACTGTGAAAAATATGCTTCATTCAGCTTGGAACAAGTATTTAGGATTTACCACACCAATTGGAGGATATGAAGGAATTCGAAGCTATGACGCCGATTTGTATGTGAGATGGTTCCAATTTGCTGCCTTTACAAGTGCCATGCATAATGGAGGATATGGAACTCATGAACGTAGGTATTCGTTTTGATCTGAATATTGTGTGAATATGTATTATTATTCATCTCTTTTTGTGGTTATCTTTGATGAAATGCAATTTTTCTTATTTTTGATGTCCACACAGCATGGATGTATAATTCAACCATAACAAAACTATACAGAAAATTCACTCATGCTCATTATGAAATTGTGCCTTACTTGTACACCAGCGGAATTAATGCTTTCCAAAATCAAGCTAGTTTGATCACACCATTGTCAGATTGGACCATGTTTGATCCATCTTTTTGGACATTCAAACTTGGAAAGGATATGATTGTGACTCCTATTTTTGATTATTCAAATTACACCTATGTGTTATTCCCTGAAGGTACTTGGGTTGACTATTTCGATCATACCGTCACTTTTGCAGGTGTTTCCAATGTCACATTTGATTACTCAATGACATATGAGGAATTTCCTGCATTTTACAGAGCTGGTAGTATTTTACCTTTGAACATTACAAGCGATTATGTCAATGTATTTGGAAATTCCAAATCACATTCTGGTTATTTAACACTTGCAATTCATTATCCAATCATGAATGAAGAACAGAGCCAAATGATATCCTCTCATGGAATTCAAGTGAAATATTTCCGAAATTCTAAAGACAATTCCATGTCTATCACCATTTCAGCACCTAATGGATTTAGAGCAGATTCAGAAAAATTAAAATATTTATTGGACATTCGAGGGCTATTGGCTTCACAACCTGAAGGATTCGATGTGTATCAAATGCTTGATTTTGGAGATGAACAAAAACTTGTTCCACTCTCAAAATTTGAACATAGAGCCGAATTTGATGGATTATCAACCACCAAATTTGGATGCTTTTATCATGAAAAAGATGTGAGTTATTACATGCATAGAAAAGCCGATGGAAAGGTGTTGAGGCTCAAACAACAACATTTGTGGATTAAGGTTCATGATATCATGAAGGGTGTGAAAATTTTGATTAAATAACCTCTCGCGAATAGTTCTGTATTTCTATTGTGTGAAAGAGGCCCTTCGCTAAAAGCGAGTGTGAATACAAAGAGATTACAAGCAAAAACATGGTTCGATTTCACTCT